ATTATTATAAAGCTATTAAATTAATAATAAATTTATTAATTAAAATTTTTAAATAACTTTAAGTTTTAAATAATTTATAAATTAAAAAAGTATATAATAATTTTAAATATATTATTTTAAAAGTAAAGCTATATATTAAAAAATAAATAAAATATAATAAATAAAAAGGTAATATATTAATATAAAGCCCTTCTTTTATTAAATAAATAAATAGGATAAAGGTATAATAATATTATTTTAATATAGCTATTTTCCTTCAATAATAATAAACTAATAAATATTATTATAAATTAAATATATTAGAATTTTCTATTAATAATAAAGTTAATTAATATAATAAAAAATTTAAAAGTTTAATGCTTCCTTAATAAAATAAAAGTAAAATTTAAAGTATTTATAAATAATTATATAATAAAATAAAGCTATATTTATATAAAAAAACGTTTATATATTTTTAAGGATATAGTAATAAAGTTAAAAATTATATATAAAATATATAGCTTTATATTAATAAAATATTTAAATTAATATAAAAGTTAAAACCTTTTAAAATATTTCTACTTTTAATTAAAAATATTTTAAAATATAGCTACTTTTATTAAAGAATATTATTTATATTAATAAACTAAAAACTTTAAAGTAATATTAGCTAAATTATTTAAACCTTTCTTAATATTATATAAACTATAAATAAATATATTAATAAATTAAATAAGCCCTTTATTGTTATATATTTAAAATAGTATAAAATATAAATTAATTTTAATTATAATAAATAAGCTTATAAAAATAAAATACTTTATTTTAATAATAAATATAATAATAAATATATTAATAAAGGTTTTTATAATATAAATATATTACTTATATAATATATTAAAAATAATTATATTAAATAAAGATTTATAATTTATATTTTACTTTTAGAAAAAGTAAACGATTATTTAAGTATATAGCTATATACTTTAATAATATATTATTTAAAAATTAATAGGTAAATAAAAATTATTAATATTATAATAAAATAATATTTAAAAGTTTATTATAGTTATTATTAAAATAATTAAGTAAATTAATTATTTTTAATTAAATTTAAAATAAATAATTAAATATTTAAAACTATAAAGCTAACCCCTTTCTTTATAAATTATAATTAGTACCCTATTATAAAAATTAAATTAATAGTGGATTTAATTAAAACTAAAATAAAAGCTTAATAAAATAAATTTTTAATTATATTAAATATAATTAATAGGATTTAAAAAGTAATAAAAAAAGCTAAAATATTAATAATTATATTTTAAAAATATTATATTAAAAATATAAATATATATTAATTAAATATTTTAAGCTATATAATAGAAAATAGGGTTTAAATTAATATAAAAAATATTAAAATAAATTAACCTATATTAAAATTAAGAAATAAATAAATAAGCCCCTTTAAAATAATAAAAATATATTAATAAATTATAATTATATAGCTACTTTAATAATATAAAATATTTTTAATATTTTATATATTATTAATATATTTAATAAAAGAAGGCCTTTTAAAATAGTTAGCTTTAAATAAATTATATAATAATAAAGTAAAGGGGATAATTTTATAAAATAATAATAAAATTAAAGAAATAAAATAGTTATTTAAAAAGATCCTAAATAATAAAAGAAAAAAAGTATAGGATTTAAATATAAAATTAAATAATTAACCTTTTATTAATTAATTTAGGAATTAATAATAAACTTTAAAAGCTATAAGGATAAATTAATAATATTTTATTATTTTAACCCCTTTAAACTAGAATTATTATATTAATTAAAAATACTTTAAGTAAAATAATTATTAAAAATTATACATTTATTAAAGTAAAGGTATAGGTAATAAAATATAAGCTATATATAAAAGGGGATATAAAAAAAATTATAAATTTATTAAAAAAAAAGATTAAAAATTTACTATTATAATAAAGGTAGATTAAGGAGCTATAAATAATAAAAATAAAATAATTAAATATTAAAGCGTTATTTAAATTAAAACTAAATTAAATTAAATTAAATTAAAAAAAAAAAAAAAAACTAAAGTAAAATTAAATAAATATAAAGGAGTTAAAAAAAGAATAATAAAAGCTAATAGGATTAAAACCTATATTATTAAATTAAACTTATACTTTTTTTAATTATAGCTATATTAATTTAAAACTAAATTATTTAAAGGGTAAGGGGAAAGAAGTTAAAAATTTTAATAACTTTATTATTATTAAACTTTATAGCTATAAAGTTAAATAATAAAAAATTTTAAATTAAAATATTAACGTTATTATAATAAAAAAATAATAAAAATAAAAAATAGGAAAATAAAGGTAAAAATTTATTAAAAAAGAATTGTAAAAATTTTCTTTAATAAAACGTTAAACTATAATAATTATATTTTTAAATTAAAAATAAAATAATTAAAAGTTCTTTTAAATATAAACTTCTTCTTTATTATTAAAATAAGGATATAATTATAAAGTAAAGGTAAGCTAATAATAATAATTAAGGTAAATATTATAAGTAATATAATCCTTTTAAAAATAAAAAAAAATTAATAAATATTAAAAAAATAATTATATAAAGGTAATATATATTATTTTTATCTTTTTAATATTTATAAATATATATACTTTATAAATTTTCTTTTTTATATTTTTAAATATAAAGGTAAAATTAATAATTAAAATAATAACTTTATAATATAATATTAATAAATATATATATTAATATAATATAGTTAAATTAATAATAATAGTAATAATATTAATAATATATTAAAAATTAATATATTAAAATAAAAGTAAATTTAAATTATAAACATTTTTAATTATTAAAGGTATTATTTATTTAAAAAAATATAATTAAAAATTAAAAATAATAAAGGAAATTATAAAATAAAAATAAAATATTAATAAAATATAATTAATATATTAACTTATATAAATTATAATGCTTATTATATTAAATATAATAGATTAAAAAAATATTACCTTTAAATATATATATAAAGTAAAATAATATTAACGCATCTCCCACTTAACCTGGCCACCCAATTGAGCTGGCCACCCCCCCAGCCCATACAAGAAACGTCGGTGCGCTAATCACGTGATAATTTAATAACTTTACGAATATTAGTCGTATTAAATAATAAAATATACCATTAGATTCGTAATAAAAAGAACTATTTAACGGTACCCTTTACTAACTCTTACGACTTATATTCGCGGAGTTATTAAGCAATACGCTAAAGTAAGCGCTAAAATAATCCCTGCTTAGCGCCACTTTAGCGTATTGCTTAATATCTTGCTTAATAAATTTTATAAAAAATAGTAAAAAATACCTCTGGATTCCCCTTTAAGTAACGGATTCAAAGGTACTAATTATTAAATCGTACGGTTAGTATTCGTAAAGTTATTAAAGATTGAAATAATGGGGTTTTATATAGATTATTGGGGTGGCCAGGTCAAGTGGGAGATGCGTTACCTTTTAAATAATATTACCCTTTTTATAATATATATTAAAGTTAATTTAAAAGTAATAAAAGTAAAATTTTTTATTTATAAAAATAGGTATATATATTAATATAATAATAATAATAATAAATAAAAAAAAATAAAAAAAGGTATAGGTAAAGTATTTAAAAAAACCTTTTTTAAAAAATTAAAAATAAAGCTAAGTATTATAATTATAAAAAAGTAATAAAATAAGCATAAGAAAAAAGAAGGAAAAATAAAGAAGCATATAGGATAAATAATTAATTACTATAGTAAAAAATTCTATTATAAAGCTATAAGGCGCTACTATATTACCTTAAAAAAGAATATAGCTTAAAATAAATAATATAATATATATATTATATAATTATATTATAAGTAAATTTAGACTTATATAATTAAAGTTAATTACATTTAAAAGAGGAAAGTATTATTATAGAATTAAGGAAGTTTAATTTCCAATATATAGTATAAATTAAAGAACATTATATATAACGTTAGGAAAGGGAATAAGGGGCGAAAACTAGAACTTCCCTCCTTATATAATAATAGAACAAATATATAAAACCATAGCTGGGCAGTACTGTAACAAACGGATAGTCTCCTCGGTGGTCTGCTCCTTTGCATGTAGTGCAAGTTATCGCTTTGCCATCACCACAACGAGCAACCCTGTTCTCGATGTACTGCGGCATTGCGCTTAATATCTGACAAAATAAGTTCATCGGACAAGGTTCCACATTCACTGATGCTTTCAATTTCCAGCTCAAGCCTCTGCCCCTATCGGCTGTTCTGTTACAAAAGTCATATGGGATGAGAGTTGCTACATCGGCTTCAGTCAAGGATATGTCGGAATTTTCAGGCCGATTGGTGGTGTCCCCTCGGGTTTCTTTTCTTTGCCCATGATTATAGGGAACGTATCGCGCTGTTCTCGCTGACAATGCGATGAGATTGCCAGCTACTTTTGAAGATGGGAACGGGGAAGATAGTGCAATGATTCGAATTTAAGAGAGGTCCGGGATGTCTGAATGTAAGACTTGGAATATTTGCTGAATAAGGGGGTAATCAGTGATAAGTGCAAACGACGGGGCAAAACTAATAAGGTGTAGTATCCAAGCCTCCTTGCAGAATCATGTGTTAAACAAATTTCATTTACTCGCTCTCTTTGAAACGCTTTAGATCTTCAAATATTCATTCATTGCAGCCTAGTCCCTAGGTGTTCTATTTTCGGGGACCTTACGGGCGACTCCAGCTTAAGAACATAGATGCGCGTCCCGCAGATTAACAAGTAATAGCCCGTTTGCTCTGGTAGCAGAAACCCATTCATTCATTCATTCATTCATTCATACATCTGCGATGTCAATTCTTTGTATATTCCTCCGAACAGTCTTGGGTATTCTGCCTCGATGATGAGAAAGCAAGAAACCATCCCCCCACATACCTATTACGACCCGAGGCTGAAGACAGGTCCATTTCACCCCTTTCTCAAGATAGCACTTCCACTTAACCCACCAGTGTCTACCTACATTACGGTACACTGGTCATGGAACGCGCCGCTTGTTCTCTTCAAACTTGGCTGTTGTCCACATCGTATTGTTGACTCCAAATCCTCCCAGTAGATATGATTCATGAATCCAGCTCTGGGGTTCTGGAACTCATGGGCCATGACCCGCAAGCACTCCTCATCTTGCAGATGAAGGGCAAGATAGGCGAGGCCAACTCGTTTATGCTTCTGCCATTGTCGGTCGGTCTCGTACGCCTGCACGTATAATGGGTTCCGGAGCTTGTCTAGCTCGCTCTCGAATTGCATGAACAACACCATGAATCGAGCCATAGTCGAGACGTAGTTGAGACTGGACAGCGGTACATCTCCGCAAATGTCGTTAGAGATGTCCACCTTGAACAGCGCGAGAAGATCTGGTCCTGACAACTCAAGCTTGCCACCCATGCCGCGTATCCCGGGAAGACTGCCTACCGTGTATCCCTCTGGTACCATCGCCTTCCGAAGAGCCTCGGGAATTGGTTGCTCTGTTCTGATTTCACTAGGAGGAGTCATATCGTACGCCATCAAATCCTCCTCGGAGATGCCTCTGGCCCTTGCAAGCTTGACTAAATATGTGTCCTCAAGTCTTTTCTTGCCCGTGGCTGGATCGGTGATGTGCTTTGCCTGGCTGATACGATAAACCCCTAGTAGGGATGGCATTGGGATATCACTGTCTGGGATGCGGTCGGGATTCCAGCCTGCTGCATAACACGCCATGAGATATGATTTAGTTTTGAAAAATTGGTTGTTTCTGAGTTCTTTGACGTCATCAACGGTGCGTCGAACCCTGGGGCGTCGTGTTCGCAATTCGGCGACCCTCTCTAAGAGAGCTTCGCCAAAGTTTGAGGTTGGCACTCTACCATTAGTGAAAAAGGCTGTTGTGAATAGGTCTTGGAAAGATGCAAATAGCCCTACTGGCTTAGCGATGTAGCCTTTCTGGACGAGCATGTTGTGTAGGTGGATCAATAGCACTGGCTCAGGGAGCGTATCAAGGACAACAAAACTGTACTGGTAGGCTTCCCTCAGCCCTTCTTCAAGGCCCACACCGCAGAGGAACGGTGAATACTCCCAAAGACCGTTAGAATTAGTAGTTGTGAATCGAGACGGAGCGATATTAGTGAGGCCAGACATGTACTTCGATTCTCCCAGCCAGTTGATGAAATCATACTGGACGGCTTCCAACAGTTGATAGTTCGCCTCGTGACGTTTCAAATCGCCGTGAAGTATTCCGTCTTTTTGGAACAGCTGCCGGAGAATATCCACCGCCTGGAGAAAGCCTGAGCCGGTCCGCTTATTCTCTCGATCAAGGAATAGGTCAACATCTCGCCGTGACCGGAAGCCCTGGGCTGGTGCTCTGAGGATATGGCCTCGGAGTCCACTGAGAGACCAGCCGCGAGAAACAGAAAATGAGTCAACAATACATTGTAGCTGGAAGATGTGATGGGGGAGGATTTTGTGGCGAATATCTGAACCCGACTTTTGCATAGCAAGATGCGTGACTATACCAGCAAATTCATTCAACCCATAAAGCCGCCTGTGCTTGTCCCAGGGGCCAGTAGTAGACCAGTTCACCAATTCCAACCTGTGGTGTTCCCCTCGCATGGTGTTGCGCTGCACGACAATAGCCGAGAAAAGATTCACGAGATCATAAAGCCAATTGATTGTGTAAGATCGGCGCCACTTGAGTCTCTCGATGTCGCTAGCTCGTTGAAGGTCGAGATTTGGGTCCCAACCGCTGATTTCACTGAGCATGTGCTTTGTTGGTTTTCCACTCCGAGTCTTCTGAAAGTCAGTAACGAAGTCAATAAGGTCTCGGTATGCATAGATCAAAAACTGCTCTTTGACGTCGATAGCAGTTTCCCGAACCTTCCTGGTGTTGGTCTGATCTGGGCTTATCTGATGCAGCGCTATAGTGAAGCCTCCTTGTGCCTTATCCGAGTTGCCACGAGTGATGGTGTTCATGACAGTTTCGTAGGATTCATGTCCAGGGAAGTCGATAAACATGGCGGAAGCTGAACACTCAATCATATTAATGGCCAAATTCGACACTGCGCCGGCAACGGCGCTGTTGAGCCCGTTATATGCCACGTCATGCCACAATCCTTGTAGATAGGCTCGAAGCGAGGCCCAGTCCTTGACAAGCGCATAGACAGCCATCAGGTAATCAGTCATAATACCTTCCTTATCCTGGATGATGCGGTAGCTCTCAATTGGGACATCATCAAGGCTTTGCGATGCAGCCGTTGACTGTTGTTGCGTCGTTTTCGTCCTTGTCTTTCTCTTCTTCTTGTTCGCATTCTTCCCACTTTGTGTCTTCTTTCCTTTGCCGGATGACTTCTTCTGCTGCTGGCGTCTTTGAGAAGCGTGATGCTGTTGATGTTCCAAGTCAGACCCATCATCAGAGGTGCCCTGATCCCCCAGTACGGTATCTTCATCGACACGGAGACCAGCGAATTTGTTGGTGAAGAGAATCTGATCAAGGTCGGCTTGATTGTCGGGAAGAGGGTCTTCCGATTTACATTCTTCAGCCCATGCATTGCCCCCTAGCACCTCGAAGGCTTCGACAAGGGCATCGATAAAGTGCTTGTGAGAGACATTACTCCGCTCGACCTCGGGGTCGGACTTGTTGGCAACAAGCTGCTGGAAAATCCCGTAAGCAGCGGTCCGCGCCTGGATGACTGAATTGAACAAGGCTAGGATGGTAGACGGGATAGGATCAATGTGCTTGGCTATAAGCTTAGAGAGAGACACGAGGCCTGCAACAGTGACCTGGCCGTTTGTGTTGGGGGATTTGGGGACCTTATCGAGCAGAGTGGGCTCGGACGCGATGATGGTATTGGATGCTTTAATGATCCAGTAGATGAGGCGGCTCGTGTCTCGTTTGTAGGCCAAATACAGATTCTGTGAGGCCATGATGGCCCCAGTGAGCTCAAGACTCGAGCAAGTCTGAGCGGATAGGAAAGTGGTTAATTGGGAGATTAGAGTGACGGTATCTCCAGTCGCGCTGGGATGCAAAGTAGTACTGTTCCGGGTGTTGTATGTGCCTTGGTAAGTACCTATGTACCCGGATGGGTAACACAAACACTCGTGACAGTGAAACGCATGACGAGGTAGGTACGTACCAGGCGGTGAGCAGAACCACGTCACCGTGTGGCCGTGCTTTTCGTTGATTTGTTTATTTTATTTTTTCAAGATAATTGCAAGAAAAACAAGTAAATCGTTAACCTTGGATTTCCTCCATGTAACTACCTACTTTAGGATTGATTGCAGGTCTCATGACGATCATGAAGGGGACTTTTGCGCGTGTAACAGGAAAGTAACCAATACCGGAAAGGACCACACCGATCCTAGCAGCAATAACAGATTATTGCAAATCATTCTTCTCTTCCTGTATGGGAGTGTTAGTTATGTTTCGATATCATATTTGGCGGTACCTGTCTTGATGGTGGACTAGATCACCTGAATAGATCTTAACTTGTGACTCAGTTTATTACTCCTCATCTCCGTAAGACTGCATGTATAATCGTTGTATTTGACACGAGACCGACAAGCATGGTAGCCTGGGGAAGGATTCTCACCTTTACGACGAAGTGGCGCTCGTATCCACCCTGCGGGCTTAGATATTCCGATACCATCAATACTGTCATATCTGTAAGTGTGGCTTCTCAAGATTTGTGAAAACATGAATATCGAGTCTAATACTACGTACTTCTCAGGAGAGCCGCTAGCCAGGTCTTTCGCTAATACCGAACAGGAATAGTTATTATCAGTCATTAATCACAATTCAACCGCGCTTAAGGATTGAAAGGAATCCCAAGCATACGATAGTCTTAATGTGGAATTCACAACGCTTCATCTTTTAGTCTTGATGGTGACTCAAGGCAGGGTGTATAAAAGTGGAAGACATGAGCTTCTAGAGAAGCTTCTTTCTAAGTTGAATCCAATCCTTTGCACTCGCAGCCTCTCAAATAAGCGCTCATTCTTGTAAATTATAAATTTCCTCTATCTACCGATACATACCGATCATGCATTCAACGGCAATCTTTCTATTACTCAACTTCATTCCCTCCCTCTCCGCCCGTGCCACGTTGCCTCGTAGGGGACAGGCAAACCTTATCCCGATCACAGCTAAGAAATCCCCCGAGGGGAATTTCTTCGATGTGAAAGTTACACTCGGCGACACCACATTGAAACTGTTGGCCGACACTGGTAGCAGCGATCTGTGGGTAGCACGCACCGGGTTCCAATGTTTTGACCGGATGAACAACACACAGCTCGCACCTCCCGAGGTATGCATGTACGAGGACGTCCCAAAGTACGATCCATTGGCATCTTCGACCTTCTCGAAACTCGACAACCTGACATTTGGCGCTTCTTACGGCGCAGGTATCGCGCTAGGCATCGTCGGCACTGAAGAAGTGAAGATCGCCGACTTCAGTGTACACAGTCAGACGATCGGTGTCGCTGATCGGATTACTATCCCCGGTGATGGGGCGTCGAGCGGCATCCTTGGACTTGGGTATCCTATTTTGACTTCTGCACATCCGGGGAATAGTGTGGCTAACGATACGCTGTCGCTCCTCACGAACAAAGTACTCTATAAGCCACTGCTCTTTCATATGCATGCGCAAGGCCTTATCCCGTCCTGGTTTAGCCTCAAGCTTGACAGACTTCGAAAAGGCCAGTCAGTTGGGAAGGGAGGGACCCTTGGCCTTGGTGTATTACCCGATGTAAAGACCAATGGATCATTCGTTACTGTACCCGTGGAGGTCACAGACGCGCTACCAGTCGAGTTGACCGGTGGCAAGATCAGCGAGTGGACATTGACCGTAGATGGCGCCGTCTGGAGCGCCGGGGATTTATCAGGGGCTGCTGAGACCAACAGTACCCATTTCCAAGCTGTGGTTGATAGTGGGAATTTCTTTAATCAGCTTCCACGCGAGATCGCCGACCAGATCAATGCGGAGTTCACGCCCCCTGCCTCGTACGATCCTGCCACAGACAGCTATCCTGTCAGCTGCGATGCGATTCCGCCTTCATTCGGCATCGTCATTGCTGGAACGACGTTCTCCCAGCACCCCCAAGATATGATATTTCAGCTTCCCAATGGCACGTGCCTGTCAACTATCAAGCGGTCGGGAATGGCAGAAGGGATCGCGCTCAACTTTCTCGGAGCCTCCTGGCTTCAGAATATTGTTGCTATGTTCGATTTTGGCAAGAACGAGATGCATTTTGCGCGGAGGGCAGATGATGGCGCTCGCTGCCGACTGTCGTGATCTTTTTGGCTGGCTAACTTCAGGTTCCTTGTATTGGACTACAAGTTCTTTGGTATGCCTAGTATTAGGATTTTGTAAATTGATTGACTTCGCTTCTCTCTTGAAAGATCCCTTTCCTATGTTAGATGGATTATTTAGGTATCGGGAATCCACAGTGCTAGCTGGGGCGTCGATATGAAAGTGTCAGTGTTACTTTAGACAGCCTCCCCTGCGTCTACATAGACTTCTTCAATCCTATCATAGAGTCATTTAAACCATGTCAAGGAACGATGCCTAAGTTCCGCGCTACACCAGTTAACCCATTAACTCTTTCTTCGAAGACATCGGTAGCTTGCCATTCTAGCGCGACGGGTCCAGGCGGTGTCTGGTGCTGTGACGCAAAGTGCATAGCTATCTCAGCTATGACCCGACTGTTGAACATACCCTCACGACTACCACTCATGCTCAACAAGAGATCAAGAGCCCTCTTGAAAATAGCATGATCGGTACACTTCGCGATGACCAAGAAGAGGGGCGGGATGATGCCTGCTTCGGCCCCAACTGATCGGCTACCAGCTCCTCGAGCTCGAGTTATTGATTCGATTAGGTCGAGAATTTCATTGAGCGTGTGGTGGCTAGTGGACTTAGATGGTCCGCTAAAAACAGCTGGATCATGAGGAAAACTATGCGATAGGAGAAGACGAAATGTGAGGTAGTGAATGCGTAAAATCGTAATAGCTGGATCTTGCAGTGTTTCACGCACTCGAGAGGATTGTGCGTGAAGTAGTTGGTCGAACTTTCTGCTCCATTCCGTGTACGCGACTTCAATCGCTTGCTTTTCAAGCTTGACATCGTCTGGTAGATTGTGCTCTGACCAAAACTTAAATGTATTATTAATCATCAAGAAGCGCAGCATGCCACTTTGCAATCCTATTAGCTCTGCTTGTGCGTTGCCAAGGCTTTCAAATGCCTGGTAAGCTGATACCTCGGACTCCAGCCTGAGAGTTGGCCTGAGAAGAGGTAGCCGAGCATCGTCGAACATACTAGCCTGTAGATCTAGTCGAGTTAGCATCTGCTCTAGCAAACATATCTCCTCGTGATCACGATTATTAGGAGAAGTGCTATCTGCTTCTCTTTGATGGGCTAGGATTGCAATCCCGCTATCAAGATGCCGTAGAGCCGACTCAGTGTTGCCTTGCATATTCTCAAAGCTGAAGAAGATCACTGAACAAATGAGTGGTACAAGTGTCGACACACTTTGCTGATCAATGCCAGCGCTCATATACTTGCGCAGCGATCGCATAGCTCGACTGTAGTTTACCGTAGCCTCGGTAGAAGCTGAACCGGTAATATCTTCAGTCGTTGTATAGTACTGATGAGCACAACTAAGAGCAACCAGAGCTTGACGAACTGAGATATGATCGTGACTGTACTGTAGCACAAGACGAGTCCAGAAGTCCGAGGTCAGGTGGCCAGTCAAGTCGTCGGCGCCTCGGACACAGAAATAATGAAACAGCCGCCGATCTTGTTGGCTCCCAGGGATACGAAACGGAATAGCATATGCTGTTATTTGCGATACGAGTGAAGAGTAGCCAACCTGCTGAACTCCAATTGTGGTTGAGTAACCGCCACAAACCTGTCCCTTTATCAAGCATCGTCGACAATTGGGCCTCGTCTCATCGCACTTGATATGTCGTGCTCTAGAGGTTGTCAGAGCGAATGAAAATCATTTGAAGGGATTACGTACTTGCATGACTTACAGCCACTCCTAGATCTCTCACCTCCCCTTCGTCTTGATTTTGGTTGAGATGGCAACATGAGAATATAAGACGAAGAATGCAAATTTATTGGTTGACTGTAGGTATTTATGGTCTAAAGGGCCATTATATCGTATAGAAATTTAAATTGTAGTGATCCCGATACATCAGTGTTGTTAATCAGACAGCAGAGATGGGGAAATAGTAGTAAATTGGTCTCGCTAGGGGTGAGTGAAATCAGCTTACGGCCAACCTTAGCGTGCACATGGTTCAGCCCGTGAACAAGGCTGAGCAACCTTGTTGCAACTATATTTAGCTCGTCATCGTCTGTATTATTCCCGAGTGGGACAAGTTCCAATCGGGATCTTCGCATTACCATTCGTCAAACGATTAATAAGATAAATCCTATAAGAAAGTCGCCATACATGAACCCAACTTACATACCTATTTCACCCAGTAGAGGTAAAATGTATTCCTCCGCCTTACGTACATTTCCATGTCTTTATATTACCCTAATCAAGTTTTTCTAGTCGGACCTTGCTTGAAGACAGCGGCTTGTTCCCGTATCGCTTGATATAACCTGCAATGGCTTTGAGTGAGAAATGGAACTTGTACAAAGGATACCGATAACCACAGGGCGGAGCGCAAATCGCCTCGGGGGTGCCAGGTAACCAATCGCCCTCCTTCTGCTGGGTCTTAATTAGATAATTAACACCACGCTCAATGGCTGTTCGGTTGGTGCACCGAGCCGCAAGGAGTCCGATGACAGCGTACGCTGTGTTTGGCACTTGACTGCCCTTTGGCTCATGGACATAATCCCTCGCCATGTAACTCTCGAGGGCCTCACCCCAACCGCCATCCTCTGAATTTTGGTGTCTTAAAAGGAACGCGCACGCCTTAGCCACAGCTGGGGAGTTCTGTTCAGTATGGCCTACGCAGGCAAGGCCTTGCAAAGCCCACATCGTCGCAAACGAGAAACAAATACCCCACGTTCCGATCCATCCTCCATGCTCAAACTGGGATTGTAGTAAGAAGACGGCGCCCCCCTTAAGACACCGGTCGATGTCGTCTCGGCGGTATCCGGGATGCTCAGCGGTAAACTCTGATAGCGCCTTCATAACGGATGCCGTGGTCTCTGCATACCGGTGCTCGGTCATAATGTTTTCGAAGGCATCGGTAATATTGCAAAGCTCGAGCAGCTCCGAGCCACGGACGTTCTCATAGGCTCCGAAACCGGAACCACAACTCTCCATACCTATAAGTGAGTCTACGGCGAGCTGGAGACGTTCAACTGGAATCTTCGGAGATACAGAGGAGATCTTGTAGCTCTGAAGGATTGCCAGTACGGTTTCCGCTGTTGCATCTGAAGCAAAGTATCCTTGCATCTTGGTACTGTACGGCCACCCACCCTTAGTTGGATGGCGATTAGTACGATGCATCTCGATGGGGTCGTGAAGGAGTTGCGAGTCTACTAGAAATTCAAGGCCTGCGTCTATGGCATCCAGCTCAGCGGGGGTGGCATTACCGCCATTCGTTACTTGGATAACAGAACAGATTGCTTGCATGGTAAACGATGTCTCCCACACGGCATTTCCATCGGTACCTGATGCTGCTAGCCCTTCCCGACACATCCATAGGCCATCTGCGAAGTGCGGCGCCATACATTGGACCCATTGGCTGTCGCGCCCGTAAGCGTGCTGAAGTACAACGATGTCAACTGGCCAGTAACCAGGCGAATAACTGCAATACTCAGTAGTATGAACATCAGCTTGAACTTGAAACAACACCTCTTCTAGGCCTCGCCGTCGCAGCGTCCTGATGAGTGGTAATTTCGTGAACTGCTCCCAGTGGCCCATGGACGAGACCATAGCAGATTGAAGCAACGACTTAGGCTTCAGTAGGTCAATATCATTGACATAGGACCTCAAAGCTGTCCAGTCTTTTATATCGCTATATGCCTGCTGTGGATATAGTTCGTTGCGGATGGCCTTAATCAGGTCATCTTCGGGTGCTTGAAACCGGTGTCCGTATAGGTAGGACATACCCATAAAAAGATTGCGAATCGGCATCCACCAATTGGCAGGGTTGCCTTGGAACCAGCGTGGAGTGAGAGTTAGCTCCGACGGGAAAGGAAGAATGCCGTCCCAGTTGTATAGGTTCATGATGCAGAGGAAGAAGCGACCCCAACTCGGTATGCCAAGCACGCCGCCCATCGAGGCCAATAAATCGCATGCCTTTTTGCAGGTAGGATGGGATGTTTCCAAACCCAGAACACGTAACATCACGTAGTTCAAGGCAGTACCTATCACGGTTGAGGGACCTGTGATGTAAAGACCCCAGCCACCATCATCGTTACAGGTGTTGACGAGATATCGGCACAGCTCTTGTCTAAAAGGCAGCGGGATGGGGACCCCCACGATGTAACATGCAAAGACGATGCCAGGAGTTACAAACACAGGTCCATCACAGTTTGAACCCCAACTCCCATCTTCCATTTGTAGCTCTCTTAGGAAATTGGACCCTTTCCTCAGCACCTCCGGCAACTGCTCGCTTTGGGGCTTATCCGAATGTTGACCAAGGTGCTGGAGCTCTGGAATTCCTCCATTTTCGAGACCTAGCCAATATCTTTCTCGGAATGTCTGGTGTGGACTTTTTGACAATTCTTCGGGGTTGTCAATATATTTCCACGTATGCCGACCTTTTTCGGCATGAAGTCGCCAACGGCGGAGGTCCGTCCATTCGCCGCCTTTATTGCCGGTAACATGATTGTTACACTTAGCATAGTTCGTATTACTATCCATAGAGACTTCAAGTAAAGATGAATCCTGATCGGTCATGGTTGTTGTTAATCAAGAGTTCGAGGTGTGTATATCAGTACAGTACGCAGATCTTTAAGTTGTAATAAATAGGGGGTCGTCGGCGTTACCATCCAACATCATCATTTTGATTGCGATCCGGCTATTTAAATAGAGCTTATTCTTGACTAAAAACCGTTTATATGGTCAGCAAGTCATATCAACTGGGGGGACTTAGAAATTTCGAGGCTGGATAGTTACAGCCCACCACTTCATGAATTGAACGAGAGGCAAACTAGCGCCAGCCATAGAGCTGATGCATAAATAACAGCAATCGCTCGCCTGAACAATTATGTTCCTGTGGGTGTGAGAGGTGTCTTGGATCCTTTCTCCTCATTGGTTTTTGATTACCTTGTGATCGACGTGCGCAAGATTACTTGAGCATTGATATCGGAATTATAAAAGAAGCAATTAGTATTTCGTTATTGATGTTTGTGTGGTATACATGGTACCGATGATTCAAATGAACGTCATTTGTTTCAGTGGATGACGATCAATGTCTCAAACTTCATGATTCAGCTGATCATCCCTAATAGCGGCAATGTTACTCATGGCTGTTGATATCAGAACTCATTCGTCTGATTGCTCAAGGCTCAGGCTAAAACTTCCGAAGTGGTTGGTGTAGGCACGATATTATAGGAGTTTCCGCGCCAGCGAACCAGGAACGCCGCAATAGCATATCAACAGAGAATGAAGTTGTTAATATATTATCTAATGATAATCCTAGCGCTAGAGAATTAGTAATCGGCGCCTGGAGAGTCAATCTCCACGTCAAGCCCCTTTGCTTCACCGAATCATGTCACTTGGCAGTAAAGTGATTTTGAGAACCGGTTTCTAAGACCGGTCAAAATAGTGCATATCAGCCCCCAGAAATCATATTGCACAGTACGGATATCATGGTAACACCTTTCACCATGTGTAACCCCGAGCGCCTTGCCGCATCTTCATATCGGCGACCACCACCCGATCCAGTTCCGACTGGAGACACGACGACGTAAAGGCTACACAGACCTAAAAAGCGGATCACAACGCCGAACTTTGGATTGAAGACTAGAGTCCCTTCATGAATTTCTCACTGTAGCCGACTTCGAATCCTCTGATGATGTGATCAACCAGTACTCCACATCCACCTTCAGCCCCGGCAGTACTGCCCCGGGTCCATCGTTCCGAACCACCAATTGACAAGTTGATAAACACCTCTTATTACCTCTCGTGGATTTGCGCCACTCGATGCCGATGCGGACCCAGTGGGTTTTCCATGGCCACTGCTGCAAGAAGGGTGCCATGGCTATCGACAGTGTGACTGAATTCGGTGATGTTTGATGGTACTTGACTAAGAAGATTGATGAAGGTTCAGGAGGTGAGTCACCTTTATCCACATGTTATCCGCTAGTGAAGGGCTTTCAAGGAATGGTACGATCTCTTTTTCCAACCTTTCACGTATACTCACCTAGTGCTTACCAGAGTCCCAAGAAATGATTTCTTTATGAGGCTTTAGTGAACCTGGGTGAGGCCAATCAGACAACGGCTCAGTACTCCCATTACCGTGATGCTTCCCTTGAATACCTGGAAGTATTCGGGTCCTAGATGGTGCCAATCATGATAAGCTGTGTCCGTATGACTTTAGGCAGCTAGACATAGATAATCATAGATCTTGCCTAGAGGTCCGAATACAGGTAGTAAACTTTAGGAATATGAGCAGTGATTTGTATTTGTGCTATAAGGAAGCCTTTGTGTATAAATGAGAGTTATCTAGGCCGTTAAAATAACTTGAAGAACTATTATTGTTTGGGAACTGAAATGATTAATTCCTCTCCTGAGCATGTATCCCCACGTAGATCTCCACAGGTAGGTAGAACCTCATCGTATGCGCCTAGTCATTCCACTGCAGTCAATTCAACTTTCGTTTACGTACTACCATCTCAGCTGTTGAGTCATAGAACTGTGTATCAGCTATCTCGTACTTCTTTATATCACCCTGCAAGGGCTTGATGTCATAGTGAAGTATCAGATAGGCCAGGAAGAGCTTTATTACTCGTGTAGCGAACCAACGCCCACGACTGACAACGCAATCCTCATCAGCATAGAATAACAACAGTTATAGAAAGACGGTGTTAACTTACCATGCGGCTCGACCATAACTAAAGAAAAAGTAGGTATCGTTGGGCTCTGATGACTCCAAGCTCCTGTTGGGTTTACCTTCCACTCTCATGTTCGCAAACCGTAGAGCATCAAACGTATGCGCATCTGGGTATATTGAATCATCTGTGTGGATTGCCTCTGCAGGTACACCGACCCAGGTACCATGGGGTACGTGGGAACCATCAGGGAGCATAATGCCATCTTTAGGAATGACTTGCTTCGTAAGGACAAATGCCAATGTGGGATTGAGACGGCCGGTTTCGCGCACGCAACTGTCGATGTTGACTAAACATTCCAGTGAGTTTGGCGACGTCCAGTCCGCATCAGACTTGAATATCGACTCAGCTTCTTGACGTAGAACCGAGTATATATTTTGTTGTTGCCCTTCATGACCAAAAATGTGTACGGCACAGGCTACAAGCGTCGAGTTTATTGAGAGACCTCCCACTGCCACCTGTCATCAAGGTTAGTTAGGCATGTATGCCGAATACCGAAGTAGTGCACTGGGTAGCTCACCAAAAACATTAGTAATTCGGATATGAAAGTGGCCTCGTCCCTGCCAAGAGGGAATTCGAGCTTCCTGACAGTTCGGATACACTGAACCACAAAATCAGAAGACTCATCGACGTCGTTGGCTCTGGAATCAAGCTGGGCGATTCGCTTGGATATTACTGATCTGAGATAGTAGGTTATACATATCTTCTTAACGGCCATGAGGTATAGGTAAAGAGAATTCGCAACAATCAACCTCAGTAGTCCCACTGGAAAGAGTCCAACAAATTCAAGGAGTATCCCTAGGCCATAATAGAAATGATGTAGGAGGCGCCGAAATGCTTTGTCGTTACTCAACTCCGATCCTAAAAACACACTAATAACGGCATTATCGGCAATTTCTCGGACTCTTTGGATGAGCCGTACTTCTTTCCAGCACCCTTCTGCATCGGTACCCAAGCCTGAATCGATAGCATCTTGGATGCACTTATACATATGTGGTTGTGATGCGTCGAGCGTCAGATTAAGCCCCTTGGTAAGGCTCATCTTCATGGCGATCTGAAGCTTTTTAAAATCAAATGAAAAAGGAAAGTATTTGACACTCTGCCTATCATAGTTCACAGGCTCGTGATCCAGTATGCTTTCGGGCTGCCGAGCGAGCCATTGAACATACTGCTGTGGGAGCAAGACTAGCGGGCGAAAGCTTGGGGTTGGGATTACGAATGCATGTTGTCTGGCTCCATACTGGTTTTATGTAAGTATGCAACAAACGCTTCAGAGTGGCAGTGAAAACACCAACCTGTCTGTAACCCTGGTCTACGGTATTCAATGTCACAAGTAGCTGGCTTATGGATGCTCGGGACGCGAAGAACGGTCCACTTCCGAACCCTACAGTTGGAAGGCCTTTTGGGAGTCTTCTTCGAGCAAATGACTCCAGGAATATAACATAGAGAAGCACAATGAAGAAGAAAGTAGCGGATACGGCGACAGCCGCACTCTGGACATGTAAAGCCAGCATAATTCGGTGAGAACTTTGCAACGCGATAATATACTATGAGCATTGGCTGCGCCTTGTGACTCAGATGAATAAACAGGTTTGAAAGAAAATATAGGATAGGTCTACGCAATTATATACCTAAGTTAGCTAATTGAGAGTAACACAGTAGCGCCGATTCTACCTTACCTCACAAAGTACTATCGACGTCCGAATCTGCTTGTAACCGGCTACGCCTCCTGCAGCCCAGGTGTGTGCCTAAAGTGCCATGGCTTGTCAGCTCTAGTGGTTGACCTTGGTCTGAGTATCGTTGCCACAAACTACTAGTCTCCATAGTCCACCAATATGTTCCAACCAAGGAAGGGCTAAAAGGCCTCGCTGCTGACTGCGAAGGTTTGTCTCACTGGAGTCTGCAGGCTGCACACGTAAGCTGGCGTATGATGATGTTCAACGCGTGTGGCAATCTGCGCCTTATAATGGGAGAATAAGTGTGAAGTGATAATAATACTGACTGCAGCTACAACCTAAGAAACATGCTCAGGTGGAGTACAGCCCTCTTACCTCTTGAGAGGCTCTTGTAGATGGGTGAAAGTAATAAGCTAGCCCCCCGCCTTGCGGGCCACCTTCTTACGGGCCACCTAAAGTGTTAGTACTGTACACTCAAGTCTCATATAAACCTTAACAATCTGTATTTTACGAAAAAATAAATAACTAATTGAAAAACATAGCTACAATTCCTAAACTTTAAAATTAGCTATATAATATAAATCTCTATATATAATTAAATTATAAAAAATATTGATCTATTGTAGGAAGTGTATTTAATTGTTGAAGTTATGGTAGTTTTTTTGAGGTGTAATTTATATGGGAATTTACACAGTGCCATACAAAAATTTTCAAACCTACTAACTTCAACCTGGAATACCTATACGAAAAAAAATTGTAAAAATAAATATAATGTATCAAAAAGTGCTAAATTGGTTAATGAATTCAATTCCTTCAACCGTTTATTTTTACCATTTTTATTGGATTTATAGTACGCTGTTGAAGGTAAAAATATTACCTTTTTAGGGTAATATTTTAGGTGAGAAATATACAGTGCGGCGCGCACTAAAATACTATGCATTTTTCTACCTAAAATATTACCCTAAAAAGGTAATATTTTTACCTTCAACAGCGTACTATAAATCCAATAAAAATGGTAAAAATAAACGGTTGAAGGAATTGAATTCATTAACCAATTTAGCACTTTTTGATACATTATATTTATTTTTACAATTTTTTTTCGTATAGGTATTCCAGGTTGAAGTTAGTAGGTTTGAAAATTTTTGTATGGCACTGTGTAAATTCCCATATAAATTACACCTCAAAAAAACTACCATAACTTCAACAATTAAATACACTTCCTACAATAGATCAATATTTTTTATAATTTAATTATATATAGATATTTATATTATATAGCTAATTTTAAAGTTTGGTATTTATATATGCTTTTTTCAATTAGTTATTATTAATTATCTATTTCGTAGTTTTGTATATAAACACCGTACAGTATAGGTGGCCCGCGATGAGGTGGCCCGTAAGGCGGGGGGCTAGCTTATCCCGTAGTTACTAGGATATCATCAGTTGTGAATCTCTAAGAAACCCTCCGTAATGTCGAAATTGTGGCGTTCTGTATGTCTCAGTTTGATACCTTGCTGATAACCTGAATGATAATGCAAGCGTAGCAACCGAGGTAATCCAATACAATCTTTCCTCTGATGGTGTTTATCATCATATTTAGGGGGGTTTTTTTTTGGTTTTTTTTTTTTTAATAACTAGCACATCTAGTATCTGTATAAATAGCTGCTTAGATTTATATTTGATGATAATACACCGGTTGAAATTCAACTATTTATATTTTTAAGCGGAGTGTTATTGCCATTCTAGTTGCTATTAAGAACCTTTTGCTATCATCTTATATACGGCCGTTCTTTTTTTCTTTTTTAAGAGGCCATCTCCATATATGTATTAAGCGCATTTGTCGTCGGTGAAAGTTTATGAAGTCAGCTACTGTTTCATCGTAACTAGCATTATTCTATATAAGGCTAAGATTTATCACACTAAATTCTCTCACTTATAAGCAGGTTCGAATGATTATCTGTTTAAGCAATATTTAAATCAAACGTGTTGTTAGTCGATGAGGAGCTGTTGAGGGTCGAGAGGTGGCACGTACTCACTAATAGGCTCGGAAGTCCATTATGCGAGTACCTTTAGCAGCTCACATAGCTGTAATACTCGTCTCACTACATGGCTAGCAGTCTCACTACGGTCTCGCGCTTGAATTGTTTTATTATAAGAAACCTGGATCTCTATCACGTTTTGGTGCATGTTTAATCGCCTCTCCTCAAAGGTCAGCTGCCTTTTTTCCAATCGCACACAATGTTGACTTATGCACTGCGTAACCTAAACTGCTTGGAATCGCGCTATGACTCAAGCCAATCTACGTCATATGAGTGGCCTCTCATGATATATTATTTTAGAAGTCAGCCAGCATATCACACTATCACACACGTTGACAATACATAGCTCTCACATTCAACTGAGTGCTTTTTAGGTAAACCGTATTCTAACCGTGTATTTCACTAACTACACCCTAATATGCCTTATCTTCACTCCTTGCTGTGCCTGATATCGAATTAAATGTAGCTCCATAGCAGACCATATCAAACGGGTGCCTTGTAGCCATTCCTTCACTAATTAAGATAGGTAGTTGCAGGATGAGAATGCAGATGAACTGATATCAGCCGCCTTGCTAACCTGGTAATACCCGTGCCCCTCTTATACTCATATCTAGAGTGGTCTTCAGTGCTAGCGGCCACACCATGAATAACCACAATTTATATCATGTTCTCACATCCCTTAACCTCCGGAGACCCCGCGCTCCGCGATGAGTCTATTTTGGAAAAGGTAAATGAACTTGATTTTCATCTGTTTCTCGTGCCCTTCGAAGCTTAGAAAGCTACCGTCTATACGGAGTGAAGGTGAGGCCAATAGGCGTTATTATTGTTTACTAATAGGTCTTATTAACAAAGGGCTTGAACAGGGAGGTAGTGGTATATTTAGTCATTCTGCAAGGAGCATGAGTACTATCAGGTTAATAATATAAGCGGGTTTTAATTGCGATTGTTTAATGACTATTCCAGGACAATACAATACCTTCTTGCTTTTATGATAGGACTAGATACAGCCTCATCTTGCATGGTCAATAAGTTAGCCTTAACACCCCCAAGTTTACTAGGTTGAAGCTAGTAGTCACGTGACTACTGGCTTCCTACTTCCACTTCGGCCAGTACTCACCTTAGAGTAACCTTCTAGATAGTAACAACTTCACTCAATCAGAGAGTCAATTCATGTCTCTACGTATTATATACAGACTCCAACACACTGCTTCATTGCAAAGTGTTAGGCTGTCTTGGGTGCCACCACACATAGCTAAGTGAGCGGCTATATTGGGCTATTACAGCGGTATCGGATGGTTGAAAGTTCAGTTATGAAGCGCGTTCTCAAGTCTCTTTCTAGGAGGGCGAGGGGCCTTCTGGCCCTAGGTACTAAATATCCCACAAGATACTAGGCAGGGTAACGAGCGCTTTCATGGCGGGGTTAGAGAATCGATACCCCAAGAAAAAGCCCGGTAGGGCAACCAAGCTACCTATAGGCACATCTTGGCGGGAAAAGCCCCTCGGAAATTATATAAGTAACAGCGCGTTTATCCCACATGTAATAACCCGAGAGAATACAAGTGTTATGATACCTTTCGGGTACCTATTTTTGAACGTAGGTGAGTCTATACAATAACCGTTAGACTGCTCGAACGTCTAACCGCGTCGTTTTTGACGTTCGACACCTAGGCATTCTGGGTTGTAATCTGGGCGGGGCGAACTGCAACTGGGGAGTTACTGTAACTGTCACAAAGTCGTGAAACTAGGTATCGCCACGTGTATGGAGGTCGAGGTCGTATATGTCCATCACCGCCAAGCCTGATGTATCCTACGTACTTCCATTTCAGTGGGGATTGCACCTATTTGGAAGTACCTAAGTTTGACCAAATTGACACGCCATGATTAAATTAAACCCCAACCCTGGCCGGGGGAGGTCTGTCCTAGACCCTTCCAAGCTTTCGGTGCATGGTTCGCCCAAGGTTCGCCAATACCCACTTGAGGCTCCTGGTTGCCTTCCAAGTTCTTTTCATGAGGAAAGAAGGCAACAAAGAGCCTCAAGTGGAGCGTTGACGAGCATGGCAGATTTCTGTCAGGTACAGATTTCATTTGCTGCAAATCACCCGCATGGCATCCTGTGCTAAACTTTTGGGTAGAGCCGGCCAACCTTGTGCACCAATACAATCCTCAGCTTTCGCACAGCGCGGTCAAGACCGCGTGGCAACCTCGCACCAAGCTTGCTACCTACCAGAAATGTATCAACAGACGTATCTCGGTCATCTCGGCTCTCAGGCATATTGCCTGGCGGAGAGTTCCAATATCCGCGTGTTGGCGCAGATTTGCAACCGAAGCCGCTTTCCCCGCATCGTCTCACTTCATCGTAGACCTTATACCTCAAATCGCATTGTTCGAATGAGGAATTCCGGCCTGGCGCCAAAGTTGTTATCACTCTACTCGGCTTCTAGACACAGATGCGATGGCGCTAGACGGGGGTGTTGAAGTAGTCTGTGCAATTCGGGCGAAATGTGCGTTGCATACTCCTCTAGTGGGATAGAAGAATCATGAGATTATCTCGAAATGCCTCTCAAGTGTGCCGGTGCTCGGCCTCAAAAAGGTACCAGAGCAGTATGCCTCATATTGGAGGCATCCTATATAAAGATACACAAAGCCTGGCGAGGCGAACTGAGAAGATGCCTGTTCGTATTGCAATCCCATATTCAACCCACCATCCTTGAGTCCATCGTTGAAGACAATACAGTAAGTCAGCGAACTCGCCCAATATTCCCCGAGTATATCGAATGCGATGATCGATACGTGGTGTCCCTCTGTCATTAGGATGCTAGATAATCCTAGCTAACGACTACATTGGTGTAGGCTTCTGAGTCGTCAAACACATGACGGCTGATCTAAAATGCGTCCGGAGGGCTCGCGAGACCCTACGAGGTCATCGAGCGGTGGCAGCAGTGATGCTGCCGCCGTTGATCATGACCACGGTCACGAACACGACGACCAACATTGCATTCACGACCCGAATGCTAATGCTTTGTTGTCTAGCGCCAGTTTGAGTGACATGCCTTACAATGGGACTTTTCTAGCCGGCCAGACTTCTGTTCTCACTGATCGACTTTCCGTCATGCCAACCAATACATTGGTGAGTACTGGGTTCTTTGTTAGTCATAACACCCGTTAGCCGGTGGAAAGTCAATTGTTAACCACGGTGTAGGATATGGATGGTTTCGCTAGGGAACATTCGTTGTATTGTTACGAAATTGCATCAACTTACGACCCGGGTCTCTCATATGCCTATCCTACGCCGGGTTCTCTGTTGCCTCTGTCTTCAGCAAATGGATACGTAGAAAATGGAAGTGACATCTCAGGATACCTGGAGCCTCCCACCCCGACGCAAGCAGCAGCTTCAGTACACTGGGCCCCCTCATTGGTACCGACGTATACTGGCGAGCTGTCAACAGTTATCCCATCCCCTCAAACACTAGATACTGAGCTCGTCAACGCCAGTGACTGCTTTGCATCAACTCATTCATCTCAGGAACCAGATGCATCTGAGATACCTGAAACTCTTGAGAGCAGTATTTCCAGCATCGTCGACGATTCTACTCAGCAATTCCCAGCTTATCAGTCGCCGGCTTATAGCTCTGATCCGGTGTCTCTGGAAGAAGGTTATGCAGCGTATGAGAACGACAGTCTAAGGTATCGGGAGTCAACTTACCTTACCCAGAACATCCGCTACGACGGGTCAGCCAGTAGCAGCGTTCTTCGCGGTGCTTACCCTAGCAATTCCGGCTATCTAGGTGATAGCACTGGCACAGACTTTACCCCAGATGCTTATTATCCTTGTTCCACTTATGCTAGCGGGGATATTGCTGACTATCTTCCTGGTGCCAATACTCATCCTATTGCATCTAGCTACCCCAGCGTTGAAAACAGTCCGACCAATACTGGAGCTTACCCTGCGCAGATAGAGGTTTCACTGGCAGACCAGGCTCCAGTATCGGTGCACACCACGTCGCCACCATACCGGTGCGACGAATGTAATACAAATTTCCGCAGCCTTGGGGAAATGAAAAGGCACCTCAAGACGGTTAAAGCCCACAAGAACGAGACAACCCCGAACTACCACTGCTTCTGCAATAAAACTGATACCCGCAAAACAAATCACCAACGTCATGTCAGAAAATGTCGCCGGCCCCATGTCACTCAATTCATTTGCATATGTGGCAGGCTGTCCAGTCACCAAGATGATCATGTGGCGCATATCAAGGGTTGCAACCCGAAGCGCCAACGTCGACAATTCATTGCTTCTTAGGTGGAAACATGGGCCCAGACTTTGTCGAAGCGATTTCGCGACCTCATGATTTGGTAATTTCGTCTTGATCTTTTTCTTTTGTCTGCTTTTTGGTCGATTTCGCAACTAGTTAGGCCGCGTTAGCGGCACCTCGCAGAGGGGCAGTGCTAATAAGTCTCCCCTACCATTCCGCAAGTCTTTGCAATATGCGGGACGTCCATTCTTTACATGGAAAATATCCACGAGCCTATCGCAGTAAGCAGGATATCCGTTCTTTAGATACACGAAAGGTATAGAATATACATTTTCCTGCTGCGACCTGCTAATAGCCCCAATGCAATGGCACACCTGTGATTGACCTACATGCCTCCATGGATTCGAAGCGAAACAAAGCTTCCAATCAATTCACCACAACCCCTTCTTCTGGAGTCTAATCGTCATTGTAGGGGGTACTTCGCAGACTTAAGCTATAAATTTGTCTCATCTCTCTACTTACCAGCAGCCCAACTAAAGGTTTGTTTACCAAGATAAAAGTACAAAAAGAAGACACAAGAACCTACACATAAAACAGCATATACAACAGCACCCATACTACCCCTCACTTCCTATAAGCGGGGTTAAATATGCAGTTATCGATCTGGCTCCAAGTTGCTAGCACCTTTCCTTCTATTTATTATCCGTACGCAAGGAAATGTTAGTGCAATTATAGGTGCACCACCAAAATCCTTAATAGACGCTAAAAATAGCTATAAACCTATAAAATACCAAAAGGGTCTGCTTGGCAAAAATTATTAGATTTTTATTATATAGGACCTAAAAATACCGTTACAACCTACTATAATATTTAATAATATATATATAGGAGCAATAAAACCTAATATACCTATGTATACCAACCTCTAACTTCCGAAGTGGATAAAGGTATAATTAATAAACCCCCTATAGCTTAAAATAGTTAAAAAGAATAAAAATAACAATTATAAAATATTACTTTAGGAAATAATTATTAAATAATATATAATAATTAACTATAAAATAAAAATCTATAAAGAGGTAATTATTAATTTAATAACTATATTTAACGAATTTGTTAAATTATTTAAAGGAGATGTTAAAGCGAATTATTAATAAATAACCTGGAATTATATTAAAATTCTAGGTTAATACTTAAATATAGCAGTATATATTTAATCCAAAGGTAATATTATTATACCTTTATACCTAATTAATATATAGGTTAAAATAAAGATATTAATAGTTCCAATATTTTATATATTTATAATATTATATACTGAAGTAATTAATAAGGGTAGAATTAAACTACCTATTAAATCTATACTTAAAGCAAATCTAATAAGGTTAATAACCTTATAAGTATTATTAAACTATAACGTTATATTAATAATAATTATTAAAGCCTAAAAGAATATATATATATTTATAAGGTTAAACGAAAAAGCGCTTACATTTAATTAAACTAATACTTATATAATTAAAATATTATTCCTATAATACCTAGGTTTCTTAAAAAATATAATCCAAAACGTAATATTAATAAAGATAGGTTAAGCAATTAAAGCTATAAACCTAATTATAAAAAATAAAATTTTAAAAGAAAAGAATATAGGAATAATTAAATTAATTTTATAAGCCTAAACTATAAAGCTATTAAAGAAATAAATAATATATATAATATTATAAATCTTTATAATAATAACCAATTATACTATTAATATACTTATACCTATTATATAAATAATAATAATAAAAGAAATTAAAATATAATTAAAGGTAACTTTAATAAATATATATATATTATATAATAAGGTAAACCTATATATAAGAAAAGTTATATAAATAGTTTCTTTTAAATAATTAATATAGCAATTTAAATTATTTTTAATTAATAAACTTTTATAATAAAAATAATATTAAACCTATATTATATAATATAACCCTAAATATTAAAAATACTATATAATTAGGTTTTATAACTAAAAAGCGCTATATAAAAATTATAACATATTAATAAAATAATATAAACCAATAATTAATAAAATATATATAAGCTTTTAATAATATATAAACTACTATAGCCTATACCTTATTAACTATAAGGACTACCTATATAAGCTAAAGAAGGTTAACAATAATATAATTCTATTAATATAAGTTAAAATAAAGGCTATCCAATATATTAATAATAAAGTATATAATAATAAAAATATACTATTAATATTAGCTATAACGGAAAAAGAAGTTATTATAATAAGCTAATTAAAATAATAAAGTAATAGGAATAAAAGGAAGGCTTTATTAATACCTTAAAAACCTATACTATAGAACTCTAACCTATAAGGATATACCCCTTAGGAACCTATTTAAGAAATAACCCCTATAGACTAATTAATGGAAAAATCGTTTATAAATAATATTACTTTAAAATCTATATCTATAATTAATAAAAATAAAAAAATAGGGGAAAAGTAAAAAAAAAATAATATAAAGGAAGAAATAATAATAGTTATAATAGCTAAGTAATTAATTATACTAATACCGCTTTTATAAATTAAAGATATAAAAAAAGCAATAGCTATAATATATATTATAACTAGATTTATAAAAATTAATAAAAAAGTAATAAAAGTAATAAAAGTTACCTAAAAGAGATAAAAAAGTAAATTAAAAGGTAAAGCGAGGATTATTAAAAGGGACCCTAATTTATAATTAAAAACCACTTAAAGGAAATAATAATAACGTAGGCAATCTATATTATTATATAAAATATAAAGTATAAAATAAATAATTATTTTATACTTCTATAAAAATATTAAAAAAAAGAAAGAAATATTATTATAGTTATAAAGCTATAAATAAATAAAAAAAAGAATAAGAAAATATAAATTTATTAAAGATATAAAAACTATAGGCTAATAGATATTTAAAATATTAAAAAATAAAACTAGCCTAAGGTTATAATATACATTTAAATATAAAAAGAATTAAAAGTTAAAATAAAATACCCCATATATTATTAAGATTTAATATAATTAAATATTAATAAATATAAATTTTTAACATATTATAGGGTATTAAATATAAAGGTAATAATAAACTATATTATAATATTAAAGCTTTTAAAAAATTGCTTAATAATAAATAACCTAAATATACATTATCCGGATTAAGAACCAGGAACTATAACCTTTTACGGAAGGTAAAGGGTTTTAAAATAATCAACAAAAATAAATATATACTTTATAGAAAAATTAAATAAACTAATATATAAAATAGGATATATTATAAACCTACCTTTTTTAAATATACCCTATATTAATAGTTAAATAATAAAAGAATTAAAAATACTATTAAACTATAAACCGTTAAATATAACTCTTCTATAAAAACGATTAATTAAACCTTAAAAAAAATAAAGGAAAATCTATATTAAAAATAAAAAATTAAAAAAATTACATAATATAATTAATATTAAGCTATATATATTATTAAATATTAATATTATAAATATACCTAATAAAGTAAAAGAAGTAGCTAAAGTATTAATAAAGCTTATTTTAATATATATAAATACTATTAAAATTAATAAAGGTAAAAAGGGTAAAACTGCTCCTTAATAAATATATAATTATATAAAAGTATAATTAGCATTTAGGGAAACTTAAAATATAAAAGATAAAGATATTATAAAATAATAGTTCTTCTTAATAGTATAAAAAGTAAAAGTGGAATATTAAAAAGAAAGGATAAATAATATAAAGTTTAATAAAAACCTTATAAAAGTTATTAATTAATATTAATAAAAAAGTATAATTAAAGTACTACCTTTTATAAATAATAAAAATATTATAAAAGGTTAATAAGGAAAAGCAGAATACTTTATAAAAAGGATCCTTTAACGATTTAATATAAATAACAACCTATTAAAGGTTAATTTAAATAAACCTATAGGAATACTTAAACTAATAAAATAAAAGGAACCTAAATTTAAAGTATAGGTACCTTAAATATTAAAGCTACCCTAAAATACTAAGGTTATAATAAATAAAGTAAAAAAATATATTATAAAAGTTATATTTATATTATTAAAAAAAATTATATAATAGTTAAATACCTTATAATAATATAGCTAATAATAAAGGAGTATTATAGGGCACTATTAAAAAAATGCTTAAAATATAATACCTTTTTAAAAGTATAAAAATAGGCTAATATAGTTATATTACCAAAGGTAGAAAAAATAAACTTTATAACCTATAGGTTATAAAAACTAATTACCCTATTATTTTATATAAGGAAGGGATTAAAATAATTTATAATAAAAAGAATAATTTAAATAATACTTTAAGCAAAATTAATCTACCTATAATATATAGGAGCTATATCTAAGAAGTTAGTAATTAACTTAATAGCCAACCTGGTTTATAATATAAAATTAGCATTAGCTAATAGCAAGGTAGCTATATTAGTAACATTAAATATATAAGGTACGTTTAATGTATTATTATAAAATAAACTACTAAATAAAATATAAAAATAAGGGTAGCCTAATATAGCTATCCTATTAACTAAAAGCTTTTTAACTAAAAGAAAAGTTATTACATTTTTAAAAAATATATTAATAAACTTAAAAAAAGTTATATATAAAACCTTATAAAGCTTATTAATATTATTAATATTATATATATTATATATATATAAATTAATAAAAGAAGATTCCAATAAATAAAGCTACGCAAATAACTTTGGAATTTTAGCTATAGGTAAAACCTTAAAGTAAAGTACCCAAAAAGCGGAAAAATAAGTTAATAGAATCATTAAATATAAATAAAAAAATAAAATTGCATTTATATTAAAAAAGATAGAAGTAATTTATTTTATAAAAGGAAAAATAAAAAATAACCCTATAATATACTTAAAAGATAATATAGAAATATAACCGGTCTTACTTATAAACCCTTTAAAACCCTAAAAGACCCCAGCATTATAATAGCTTGGAATATTTTTAAGTAGGAAGTTAAAGTTTTAAAAATATATAAAAAAACAAGCAATTAAAGGAATAAAAATCGTAAACTATATATATACAATTTTAACAGTTATTTAAAAACTATTAATAATAAAATTATAAAAAGTTATTAATATTATTTTATTATTAATACTTCTTTATAGATATAAAGTATAATATAAAGAAAGAATAAAACTAATAAGTAAAATAGTAAATAGGAAAAAGGAAACTATAAGTATTAAATTAAACAGATATATTTTAATAATATAAAAGGCCCTATTTAAAATAGTATAAAGCATACTATTTATATAAAGAACTTTTTTTAAATATATACTTTTTATTATAAATAGGATACTAATAATAAATATAATATTAAAATAAGCTAGGTATAAGTTTATCTTAAAAATTAAAACAATATATAAAATATATCTATTAATATTAAAGTTAACATTAAAAATAATTTAAAGGGGGAAAAAAGCAAGGTATATTTAATATATATATATATATATACTTATAAATAATAGTAAACCTATTATTAAATATAAGAAAATTAATACTATACCTATTTAAATACTTAAAAGGATATATAAATAACCTTATAAAGGGTATAAAAAAAAAGGAAGTAATAAAAGCCTTTAAATAATAATTTATAAAATAATCTATATTTAATATTATAATATTTTTAAATAAATTAAAAACTATAAAAGGTTTAAACTATAGCTATACTTTATATAAAGGGAAGGAGTTAATTATAAAAAGCTATAAAGGAATAGACCCTATTAGGGTAATCTTTAATACAAAAGTAATAAAAGCCCTATATACCTTATAAAAAGCTATAAAATAATACCCCACTAATATTATAATTATACTATATATAAATAATATAATAATATTATTAAATATATAAAAGGATGCCTTAATATTATTATAATAAGTATTTATTAAACTATATTAAAACTTAAAATATTATAATATTAAAAGTAATAAAAGAATAAATATATAAATTAAATATAAAGCTAATAAAAAGCTATTTAACCCAAAGTTAATATTAATAGTAATAGGATTAAAAAAGATAGCAAAATATTAAATAAAAGAAATAATAAAGGATTAAATCAAAAACGAAAAAACCAATATACCTAATAGGTTTATAATTATAAAAATAAAATATAAACTAGGAAAGTACTTAAAGGCATTAAACCTATTAAAAAAAGCGTTAAACTAATACCTAAATATAACCTTTATATATAAGGACTACTTATAATACTATAAAAAATTCAAACATTATAATATAAAAATATATTATATATATACCTTATATATTAAAAGTATAATTAAAAAGGGATTAAAATATATAATATATTATAAAATTATAAAAGTTTATAAAAATAAATAATTTTAACTATTAAAATTAAAGTTAAAAAATAATAACAAGCTATAATTAATAAATAATTAATTAATAAAACTATATAACTTTAATATAACATTTCTTAAGGATTAATATAAATATTAAGCTTAGCTAATTTAATACCTTTAAGAATTTTTAAAGTTTTATTAAGCAATTAATTATTAGGAAAAAATCTACCTACCTTTTTAACTAAAGGAAAAATAGTACTATATAATAAAGGATTTAAAAAAGATAAAGGAAATAAAAATAAAGAAAAAAAGGAAAAGTAAAGAAGAATTAAAAGTAATATTCCCTTAAACTTTCTAAATATAATAACTTTCTTTAAATTATAATAAATAAAAAAATATAAAAATAATAAAAAACGATAAAATAATAAAAATAAGCTATAAAAATAGCTATTAAAAATAATTATTAACAATTAATAAATAATAAAGCAAGGGTAAAAGCTTAAATTAATAAAAAATACTACGCTAAATATAACAATAAAAGATAAAGGGATAAATAGCCCTTAACTTAACGGATTAAACTATAGTAACCATAAGTAATAAAATGTTAAACCTATGGAAAGTATAATTTAATAACTTAATTATAATAAAAGGGATATAAAGAGGGAAGACTAAAAAAAGAAGATTTAATAGAAACCTTATAGAAATAACTTTATATAACTAACCTAGCTATAGCTTACTACGTCCTAATACCTTAAAGGAGGTTAGAGTTGCGGTGGATAGACTGCCCCTCACGATGTTAAAAACTACAATAACAATAACAACAATAACAATAATCCAAGTTGCCAGCCATCTCCTGCCATAATTGCTACATGATACCACTAAGATTAATATGGCAACAATATCAACGCGATGACTTCCGATGGACTATTCTTTACTTTTTATTTATTTATTTATTCTTTTTCTTTGCCGATGAAGAGAAGCGAGGTTAAAAGGAGACGAAATCAACTAGATTTCTATCTTTTAACTTCCCAAGTCGTTAATTATAAGCGGAAATGTTAAGGCTGAAAAGTGTTAAAGTCAAAGATGCGTAGTAGGCTGTGATGAAGTTAGTGAGAGCTTCAAGCATGGTAGTAGGAAGGTATAGGTAGGCCAATCGCTAAGTGTCGGAAGATTACTAAGGTTGGTAGTAATAGATGTATCTTTAGTTGGGAACGGTATATTAGCTGTATCAGCAGGTGACTCTTGGTCGTAGCAGCCTGACAACTGTAGATTTAACCCATTTACCACTGCTTCGCCAGTTAGTGCGCTCATCAGCCTGTGGTGTGTGTGAGGCCTCAGCTTGTAGGCGTATGTCCTCCAAAGCTTAAGCTGTGTGATTGGTTGTTTCCATTACTAGGTTACCCCATATTCTGTGAGGCATTAGAGTATCCCTTTGGCTTCCACGAAGCCTCCGATACATTGCTGTCTCCAGTTTTACTCACGTGCTTTGTTACTGGCTATCCCTGCTAATGGATCAACAGTAGTAATACCTATATCTCATATGAAAGATGCCCTAAAACTGATGTAGCGATTCGTAGTTATACATCAGTTCAAATGAAATACAAGTTCCAAAAATATTCAGAGCTCTGATTGCTCAATTAATTTCTTGGCATGTATACGGAGGTTTCGTGGAAGCCAAAGGGATAGGCATGTGCCCAATTAAAATCTACTTCGGGATGAGCTATGCAGCAAACACCGATTTCGACGTTTTGAACCAATCCAACGTAGCTCACTAGAGTTTGAGGCCTAAGCCAGGTTCCTGTAAGTTGTGTGCAGGCTTGACTTTATTGCCTACGCCTCTAAACCTTTAATAGCGGTGATTGGTTTGTTTCTATCGTTAGGTTACTGCGTTCTATGTATATGTGAGGCATAATGTGAGGCCTAACATGGTGGATCTATTGGAGAAGCAGTGGATTTCTTTAATTTAGATATTATCTAAGAATAATGTCGTCATTTTTGTTGTTGTTTAACCTGAAGAAGAATATATGCGACAGAAAGCTACTGCAACAGATTAAGCTTGAAGTGAAAAATGATCCCCAGCATAATGCCTCAAAAGTTGTTTGCAGGTTTCACATCAACCAATCAAGTAGTGGGCATTCTATGCAAGGTGACTAAATTGCTTCTAGGGTGTCGCACATCATCCAATTCTCTAACTCGCTATGTTCAGCCAATCATACCTTTTCTGTGGGAGATAGGGAACCGAAAATGGGCTTCTATGAATGAACATAAATAGACAAGGTGAGTAGCAGAGGTTTTCGAATTACAAGTGATCACCACCGCAGCTCGATGACTGATTAGACCATTCGATGATTTATGTCAAGTTAATAGAAATCGACAACAATGACGACTTGTTCACCATCGGAGTACCCTAACTTTCAACCTTCGGGCTCTATCACTTCGAAACCCTTGGGATACCCAGGATTTCAGCCATCAAAAACCCCTACCCTTCAATCATTGGAGGGGCCCAGCTTCCATTCAACGGTCTGCTCTCCTCTTACGTTAACCGTTTTACCTTCAGATTTATTTTCACCAGAGGCTAACATACTAGATCAGCCAAAAACTTGCCGCGAGAACCCGCAGCATCAACTTCCAGAGAGCAGCAGAATACCGTACGAAGATTATGAGAACTTTACGCTTGTTGGGAAAGAGGGTAAATATCGTGTCGAAAACCGGTCCTGGAACGATGGAGACCTCATGGTCTACGAGATCGTAAGCGAAAAAGGCAACAAACTCGAGGCGCAACAGTTTGACCTCCGCCCTCTGCCTGACAATCTGTACCAGGCACGAAAAAGAAGGATTCACAGACTGAGGAAGGCTCACAGAATTGTCGAGGAAATCAGGTTAGATGAGGTAAAAATTCTAGTCACATTGGCTACCAGACGCCCCCCTAGCTCCATTGGGGAGAGATCACCGAGACAGAGCGGCGACTTATTACACTGCCTATAACAGACTTGCCACGCGGTAATATTATGACTTCGAAACGGAGTGGTCAAGCCACTCCTGGTAAAGGCCACAATGGCTCTTTTTGCAGCAAGTGTAATGAGTTGGGGGAAGGGGACGGGATATACTCCTGCCAGTGGATTCCTTACTTTACGGCCTTTTTCTGCCACACGCCCTTCTTTTGAGCTGCCGGCAGCTTTAATTTCAGCACTGACGCTCGTTTTACTTGTTTCGGTTATCCTCATGGCGATGACTCTCTGAAGTACCCCCGATAGCATTTGCTATTGGCTTCTCTCTTTGCACCATCATGTTTAGATGGAGCAGTAGAGAGGTAATAGCTTTGATCAATTAAGTATTTTTAAGTTCTTTCCCAATAGAGCACCAAATGCTTGCCAGTTACCATGTGCATGTAGGAAGTGAAAGGACAAAAAAGGTCACCTAAGGACTCGAATAATATTTGTGGAACGCCTTCGGATTCTACCTCTACCCCACACCGTCTCGACTGCTAACTTGAACTGAACATCATCTTGTTAGACACACCTTCAACTTGAAGAATTTCCGTTTAACAGATTTCGTATATATATCAATCATGACGCGCCGTCCGGTGATCGTTGTTGCTGGTCTAGCGTGTGAAACGTCAACGTTCTCCGCTTCACGAACCCAAGCGCCAGCATTCCAACCCCGCCGAGGTGACGAAGTCGTCGACAAGTACCCCTTCATTCAGCCGGGGTCGGTTCTTGGAGAATCCGCTGACTGGCGCGGCGCGCTCATCGGCCACGCTCTTCCAGGGGGCATCGTAACCCGAGATGCTTTTGAAATGCTCTCCGCCGAAATCCTATCACGCCTCAGAGAGATTACAGCATCGGCAACCCTCGATGGCATGTGGTTTGACATCCACGGCGCGATGTGCGTGGAAGGTCTCGACGACGCAGAATACGAACTTCTCAAGCGTTGTCGAGAGATCATCGGCCCAGACGTTCTGGTGTCTGCATCTATGGATCTCCATGGTAACGTCTCACGGGAGTTGGCACACCAAACAGATTTGATCACATGCTATCGAACTGCGCCACATATAGATGTCGCCGAGACGAAGGAGCGCGCTTGTAGAAATCTCCTTGGCCTCATCAATCGCCGTGAGAATGGCGAGCCCTTCCGCCCCTATAAGGCGTGGATACCCTTGCCGGTGCTTCTGCCCGGCGAGCAGACGTCAACACGTGATGAGCCCGCTGCTCACATTTATGCTGCTGTTCCGACGGTTGAGGTTACCGAGGGAGTGATAGATGCGGCAATATGGGTTGGATATGCTTGGGCTGATGAGCCTAGGAATAGGGCCGTTGTAGTCGTAACGGGCTGGGATAAGAGCGCCGTCTCGAATGGCGCAGAGAAACTGGCTCGGGTATTCTGGGATGCTCATAAAGAGTTCAAGTTCGTTGCACCAACGGGAACATTCGCGGAGTGCCTTGATGTAGCGCTACGATCTGAGAAACGACCATTCTTCATTTCCGACTCAGGCGATAACCCGACAGCGGGTGGTTCCGGGGATGTCACATGGGGCCTTGCACGGCTGTTAGAGCGACCTGAGTTTAAGGAGCAGTCTGGACCAGTGGTCATATATGCTAGCGTGCCTGGGCCTAAAGCTGTAGAGCAGGCGATTGAGGCGGGAGTAGGCGCCATCATCACCGTTACCGCTGGAGCAGAGGTAGACAACATTCATGCTGGCCCATTGACGATGACTGGAAGAGTGCATTCTATAAAATACGGAGATCGCCATGCTGATATTGAAGTGGTTTTACAAGTGGGAAGTGTCTACGCCATCCTCACCAAGCTGCGGAAACCTTACCATCTGGAACGAGATTTCACCGAGCTCAACCTTGCGCCTCGATCAGCCGACATCGTCATCGTCAAGATAGGATACTTAGAACCGGAGCTCTACGACATGGCAGCAGATTGGATGCTAGGCCTCACCCCTGGTGGCGTTGACCAGGACCTGATGCGGCTTGGTCATAAGCGTATCTTGAGACCAATGTGGCCTTTCGATCGAGACTTCGAGAAGCCGGATCTGACGGCTAGGATCGTGGAGATGTCTAATGAAGAGCTTGCTAGTTCTTAGTTCTTGGTAGAGCCCAGATACCAAAGTGGACGACGCCTCGATAATAGAAAGGCTTCAATGACTGACACACAAACTGTGCCACCTCAATGCCGTCATTGACACCGGGAGGTCTCATAACCTTGTCGCTGACATCCTTCCTATTTTAGTTTACCATTGAGATTGACCCCTAGCTAATCTCGGCAGTCAGACACCACCTTCTGTATGCTCTCCCTCGTGATGACGAAACCTGTAGCGCAGGGATCTTCGCCTTTCGGGCCAGAAAAGTACCAGCTCCCATCGCGCGAGCACTGGTGAAGCTCTACCTTGAGGTGCTGCATGTGTGGCCATGATAAGGGATAATCTGTTCCAACATCGCCACTGGAACAAAAAAGATTAGATGTGATAAGCACGAGAATGTCTAGTTCCTCCAGGCGACTCGCCAGGACCCCCAACCCAAGAGATACAAGGTCCGTGCCTTCGAATTTGGAGCTCGACGAAGATGAGTCGACAAGTTTAGGCATCTGCGCCGCTTTTTATATCATCACCGTAGGGGTTGGGCTTCCAGAACCAGACGCGGGCTTCAGTCAACGAGGCGGTAATAAGGGCATGGCATCGCGCACACACCGCCAGAACTCGGCGCGTGCATCACGCCTAGGGCCTTCCCAGACCCGGGCATATCTGCGCAAGGCCTGTGATGAGGACGCAACTAGAAGGCGCTCCTATAGCCAGGAGCAATCGAGCTCGCGAAGATGAAGGAGGCAAGTCGCGAGTTCGAAGAGCACGCGCGGAGAGACGGGCTGCATATGACCAAATTCCATTCCCAGGTAAGCCACATAATTTGGTCTAGGGAATACGCGCAGCCGAGTGACGCGGCTAAGGAAGGGTAATCTCTCCGGGTTCTAGACAGTGAGGTGCCGGGTATGAAAGATGCGGTGCAAGCAGTCTTGGCGGATGAGGTCTAGCTTTTCGGTAGACTATTTATTTGACATGTCCTTGATGTCGTGTAGTGCGTCCAAAAACGCGTGCACTTGGCCTGAAAAGTGAGCGTTGATGGCCTCAAACTTAACGTGCGACTCCCTACGCGCGAGGGGCGCATCAGATGAGTTGAGGAAAAGAGGCCTTCCGCGTAGAGAACGCACTCGCTGGGGTCGACGTTGAGACGCAGTCGACGCGCGTTGAGAGCACGAATAGTTTCGAGGGGGCCATTGAGAATGCCGTCTTTGGAGGGTGGCGCCGATTGAATGCTATGGGATGTCATCGTAAAGATTATTGCGTTGCTACCGCAATACGTTGCTATGTGATTGAGTCGTGCGGCACCCCTGACAAACAAATTATGACATATGCAACTACTCAATTACCCTTAATCATGATCATTACTATCTTTGGACACGATAGAATCAAATATTAGAAAGATATTTATTCATTGTCCGGCTACAGGCGTAGCCGATATAGCAGGCCGAGCGGAGCTATGGACCGTCTCGCTTTGATGTATATCTATCTGCTACATCACATCTTTATTGTAGACGACTAACTAGAAGGTAGAATTGACAGAATCACCTCCTGAATCTGTCTCATGAGCGATTGTATGTAAACTACTTCAACACTTCTCATCCTCAGAACAGGCGCACAGTCGTAGTCACAGCAGCGTCAACAAGCAGACTCGCACCATTAATATAGCTGGCTGCACTAACCATAACACCAACAATGAGAATTCAAAGGCAGCAAAACCACTAATTAACACCTTCTGATAACTATAAACTGTTGAAAGTGTAGGTGGTAAAGGAGTCACTTCATGTATACGGTACGGGTCAAGGGTCACGAAGGCACTGTTCATGTATATAAGACGGTCTTCCCACCTCACTCAAGTCAAGTAGTTCAGTTGAATGTAACCCTCATATACCTTCCATTTCAGCATAAACCATAAAGATAGTAGTTGTCAGTTCTGCGCTAGCGGTTTATACACACAAGGGATTATAGCCGAGAATATCTTTCGGTCATCTTGCTGAGCCAGGGGTTTCAAGTAGCAAAATAGTTTCAAGACTGACCAACGAGCACTTTTTCCTAACCACTTCTATAATAGTCTTGCGTATGAGCAGTACTCTATAAACTTTCTTAGGTTCCAAACATCTCAAAACCTGTGAGCATGACAACCCTCTTAACACCAATCAACTACCTATCCCCAAGCTGAACAACAGTAGTATGTCCAGAACAAAGTTACAGTCATGGTTCTTTTAGTAATCGAGAGCGAGATTATAGACCGCGATGTTAGTGCGTTAATCTTTCATATCAAACAGCGTAACTTCCACTCTCCCAGTGCCAGGAGATCGTTGAAGTTTCACGTAATGATCTTCGCCCTTCAAATTCTTCTCAACATTGCCATCGGGTATGATTCCTTCTCCGTGGATAAGGGCTTCCGTGTCAGGACTAACCACCTGGGACAGCGTATGCCAGGTTTCTCCAAGGAGAGTGTAATGCGCGTGTCTGCAGAAGAGTGCTGTCATAATTCCTATGGCGATAAGAGATGAGATTGTTAAGACGATAACGGCGATGAGTCCAGAAGCCTGTTTGGGTACTTTTGCTGTTCTGGATAACGTGACGTGTGCTTCATAGGACTCGTCGTATACTTCGAGGACATCGTAATACACGGTCTGAGCCAGGACTGTGTAGACACTCTGCAATGCCACAGCTGCTCGATTGGTCCGCTCTATAATCCCTGAGAATATGCTACCATATAAGGTGTTCGCCGACTGCGTCGAGTAACCCGTGCAAGGATCACAGACAGCAATTGTCGAATTAGGTGTCAACGCTTGGGCGGTACTGATTAGGTAGGATTCCAAGGCCGAGGTGTCCTGTTGGTAACCCGGAAGGGAATCGTTCTTATTAGTGAGGAAAACATGCTCTGGGCTGTCCTCTATGCGATCAATCTCGAACACCTCTCTTTCAGCGAGACTCTGAATCTTGGGATCAGCCCCAAGTAATACCTGGATATCCGTTGTATCGATCACTTCACCAACCGTGTTCGCATTTCTCTCCGCTGTGTTTGCTGTCTTGGCTGACTTTGACACAAGACTAACATCAGATTGCATGACATTAAGCCCCATGAAGCATAGACTGATATTCACGGAATAGCCAGGTTGCAGCTCAAAGTTTGCCCATTCCTCATTCACCGTGTAGTTAGGAGTCGGGATAGTCTTCCCTAAATTCTCACTCCAATATTCTTCCTTGAGATCGCTGCTAATGACTAGAATTGTGGAAGCTTCTGGTCCCCAGGGGTCATCGTCCAAGCCCCAGTATGATGGTGAACCAGATGTAACATCAATGAGCTCCGGAAAGCAAAAAGTAATCTCGGGTTTTGTGACTCCCCAATCTTCACCTAAAGTGAAAATATGGCACCCAAAAGACGAGGGTAGGCAGCGTTCAGAATTGCAAAGCCTCGAAGAATGAATCCCGGCCTTGGCAAAGGTCTCGTTATATTGCAAATTCCCCTCTATAGCGCCGTAATAGAACCGATCGCTATAATTCATCGTTTTGAATTGGCTATCAGAGAATAGAGGGGGCATACACGCGACCCTTGAATTCAGGACAAATGCCTGCCCTTCATAACCACGCAGCGAAGTCCTATTACCTTCATCACTGAAAGGTAAGAATGCTCGGCGCTTGAGCCCCGTATCGCTAAGGCCCCGCTGGTTTGGTTGCGAGGAGTAGCCGGGTGGAGATTCTCCGAATGAAGCAAAGGAACGAGGCCGCTGACCCCAGTATGGTTGGCCCAATGAGTATGAGTTGTTCTCGGCCGTGAGGTTAAGTCTCATGGTTGAGGGGAATAGTGCCAAGCTTGTATCGCCCAAATCCGAAAGCAGAATGGTGGACGTAAATTGTGTTGCAAGTGTTGCGAGACCCAAAAACACAACGAGTACCGACTCAGGGTGAAAGAATGTTTGAGTGGGAACGTCTGTTAAGAATGCTAAGATGAGGCTCCAAGGGCCATCGTTTACGCATCGAGCAACAGAGAATCGCGCAGCTTGGGACTTGCGGACCCTGCGCCTCTCCAGAATGAGAGCTGCGCACATGGAGGTGCAGACTGCAATCTGAGCGGCAATGGCCACACGAATGGCAACAGACGCCAAGGTGATAACCTGGGGGAGCCAGTCACGAAGCATAATCATCCTCCAAGCTGGCGTGGCGTTCTCACCCCCAGCATCCGGCCCTTTGCCAAACCACAAGAAGATGAGGAACGATAGTGTACCAAGGATGACTATAGTTCCTCCCGCAAGGATAATAGTGGAATATATGCCAAGAGCTTGGCGAATTGTGACTTTTGAGGGGGGCACTTCATGTACCTTCGATTCTGTGTTGGCATCTCCATAGACGGTTGAGCTGTTACTATTTAGCTCGAATTCAACGGGCGAAGTAACGCGAGACGCGTTGGTTAATGTAGTCTCGGAAGTTGAAGATTCGGTGGGAGAGTTCTTTAGTCGAGACAACGCATCTGGTGCCGGGTCTATAATTGGGCTATGAGAGACTGCAACTAGTTGCGATTCTGATCGCGGTGCCGAATGGGAAGCCATTCTCACAGTCGGACAATAAAAGAGACCAGGTAACTAGGTCATATAAGAGTAAGAATATAGACTACAACCATTGATGATGATATCAATCACCTCAAGACATGCTATCCCTTTTATAATTACTTCTTGAGACTTGGCATAGATAGCATCTCTGCTTGCTGTAGCATCTTGAGACACCACATCTCTTATGGTCCTAAATTTACTTCTATGATGGCATGTGCTGGGCTATATCTGTCTCCTTGGTTTATCAGGGAAATAATTGTTCTCATTCGTCTATGAGTGCATCTGAAGTCGTATTCATATGTACGTCGTTGCATCTGCATACTTGAGGGCCATTCAGTTATTCCAATTATAGCAACAAGCTATATCTTCGTTCCCCACCCAGGTGGGAGGAAGTCTTGGAGAAGTTGGGGGCGGTGGTTGCGCGCCGCCTGATTGGGCTATAAGGATTGAGTGCTTAGATGAGAATAGGAAAGCCCACCGAAAATCAGTTTCAGCTGATATCGTGCTCATCGAGATTTGCTTCTAGAGTCTCGAAATCATTCATTACATTCATCTCGCAGCCCCCTAAGACTATTAATATCAATGTGCTGCCGACTCTCCCGGGCTCTTGTATCATTCATACTCTTAGCTGCCGAGACGCAGCCGCGAGGCGCACTGATATCGAAACAGGCTTCAGCTACTTGCCTCTGCGTGGGGGTGGACAGTCAAGAATCCAGTCAAAGCAGTGATTCTGCTCAAAGATTGTGGGTAATATCATGTATTCTATCTTCAGACTATAAGCCTTCAGTCCTAGGGGGGCTTGTACCAACTGTTCGCATTCATACACAACACAAAGTTGTAGGAAAGTTTCAATTCATCTAGTGCAGAGAAAGCCCGAGAGCTTATCTTGATTGCTGTATCCCGAAAAATCATACTAGTTCTGAAACTGTAATGTAAATGATACAGGATGTTGCTGATGCATAGGGAAAATGTATCTACTTCTGTAGCGGTCGCATTTATCTAGGTATCGAGCTAGATACCTTGGTTTACCTGAGCGCTCACCCAGCACTAATTATTCCCCGTAACAACCTCTACCGTAAGGTCCTTAGGCCAAACAGGCTGATCGACGCCATTTCCACGAGTGCCAACATGATACTTCAGCTCTATGCCACTCGCAAACCGAGCAACAGGCTTGGGCCGAATGAAAGTCGTAGAAAGATTCCTAGCCTCCATAGGCTGGAAGAAATCTGGAGAGAAGAGAGTTTCAGAACCATGCTGCACGATGACTTTCATCATAGCCGGAATGAGATAGAACATAGAGTGATAGTGGCGGAAAGCAGGCGATCCATGTCTTTGCCATAACTCCTGCCAGACCTCATCGCTATAGGTCCCACATGATCGTACGAGCCATTGTGAATAGTAGTTCAGAGAAACCTTAGAAGTCAGGGGCGTCAGTCTCGGAATGGAATTTCTTGAAACTACGTAATTCACTCACATCGATTGCGTAACTACCACCGTCTTGGGCGCGCTTTATCAGCGCTTCTAACACAGCTGTGCTACCGGCCACGCCAGTACTTGTAGGAACACAGTTAGTAGAATAATACTAATATCCTAGGTTTTGCCTACCAATAGTCAGAGTTCGGGAAGACCGGGGTCACGGCCTCACTCTCATCATTACCCATCGCTTTCGAATATGCGCGGGAGACGCCGCAGCACTGAAAAAAAATGAGCTATTTGAACATTGGTTCAGGGGAGGTTGGACTGACCGCATCACTGATCTGCTGCCACCCACTCCGATGGCTCCACGGTCCATGCCACCCGTAGCAGTTCTCTCGCCCGTGAATGATGCCACGCTCTCTGTCCTTAACCAAGTCGAAGATGGCCTGTCGACCGAATCCAAGACGCTCCATAACACCTGGTCGGTATCCATCAACGACTACATCAGCTTCTCTTATGAGTGTCCTTAGTTTCTCCTTGTCAGCCTCATCCTTGAGATGCAATGATGCATTCCATTTCCCCCAGTTCAGGTCCTGGTGAAGGGCAGATATATCCGTGACATGTGGCGAGGTGATTCTCATGACGCTGGCGCCCATCTCGGCCAGGCTGCGAGAGATAGCAGGGCCAGCGATAACGCGACAGAGATCAACCACCTTCAGTCCAGCTAGAGGTCTCTTCGAAGAAGCTGGATAGCTGTCGTTTGTCGGCCACCAACTTGCTGGTTGTGAGCCGGTCCTTGAGAGTTCGTACAGTCCGATGCGCCCGTTTGCCTGGCCATGTTCGCTGGCAAAGTATTCCTCGGAAGTCCAAGCAATCGTCCCGGCCTGCTTGTATTTCTCATTCATAAGTTCGTCGAGTTCGGCTGCATCAAATTGAGAGACTTTGTCTTGAATAGTTTCAACCACCGACTCATAGGTATCATCTGCCTTTCCAAATAGGGGCAGACCCAAAGCAGTCAACGACGGGTCGGGGTTCATGCTTCCTAGTACCAATATGCTTTAGCTTAATGTCTGAGTTTCTCGCTCATGTCCTTGCGGCACTATACGCACCGTGAACATGATAGAACCTCCCGTCTTTTGTTTTGTAAATGTTAGTAGCTAAGATCCTATGATCTCCCTCGGTAGACCGATGTAGATCTCGATTAGGGAACATCCGCGACAGCTCCGGACCGAATAAGTCGATCTGGGAAGGCTTCCCGTTCTTGAGCCATTTGCTCACCATTGGGCTCATAACAAACAGTGTAGCATGATCGCTACCCCTAAGAGTCAGCACAAGATGTGGGATAAAGTAATCGTCCCAGTTAACTTACGTATTAATAGTGATATCAGATAGTTCGACATTATACTTGCGTGACACAAGAAGATTCAACATACTAGCCTCGAAAGCCTTCAGCGCAGAGATACTCTCTGCAAATCGCCAATTTATCGGGATGCTCGGCCGGCTTGACCCCGTAAACTGCACATGCTTGGCGAGATCCGCCAGGCCGGACGGGAGGTCTTTGTGTAACGGGTTCCTCAATATGCCATCTTCGAAAATGGTTTTTGCTTCATCTGGAACGGAGTATTCTGTGACAGAGCCCATTGCTTTTCCTCAGACTGGTACAGCACAGATATTCGATTACTATGCAATAATGATATGTAACCTTTACAGATCATACTATGGAGTTTACATGCATGAACCACTAGACCTTAGATAAGTAAGAGAGATGAGAGAGATGCCCCGCAAAGCTCCGCCTTTCTTGGGTGGGATCGGGAACGTCCCGAATCTAGCACAAGTTCCGGCTACGCGGCAGTAGTGAAGGCTTACACATACTTAGTGTCGTCATACAAGCTAGATTAGTACTAACGATCTTCGTTGTCCCAGGTTAAACCCGACCATCCGACGCTGCCTCGGTCGCTCAATTCATTGACTCTTCGCGATAGAAAACCACGTTCGGAACAGTGTCAGCCCCTTTGCCTCCCTCCATTTGTCCTCGAAGAGCTTCTTTTCCAGATTATATACTATATAAACTTTCACACAGCTCTCGGAGGGTTCAATTCTCTACTAAAGATATCTATATTCGCAGTGTGGTACGTACCATACAACCGGATCACGCGATCTGTGATCCCTGTATCGAATTCCGTATCGCTCCATAAGCTTGTGAAAGTCGCTTCAGCACGCTTCTCCGTGAGAGAGTGGACCATAAAGGGCCATAAACTATACATCTCGCCATACCAAACCGAAAGGCAATGTATGGAATGATATATACTCAACTAGTCTCGCGCCTAGAGTAATAGTTTGGGGAAACCGCGGGAGCGGCCGAGTTGGTACGGTCTAGCGAAGCATAATAGAGCTACACGGTGCTCAACATTATTAAATTGTTGGCCAGATTCAACTTTTGATCTTTTGTGCTACCAGTTCTCCTTTTCTTGTCCACTCTAGCTGTTTTGACACCATCACACATACTGGTAAAATGCAAGATGTGCATGCTATGTACACCTTGCTGAAATGGAAGATATGAGGGTTACATTCAACTGAACTACTTGATCTGAGTGAAGGGGGAAGACCGCCTTATATACATGAACTATACCTTCGTGCTCCTTCGTGCCCCTTGACCCGTACCATATACATGAAGTGACTCCTTTACCACCTACACTTTCAACACGCCTACAGAATCGCTCGAACATCATGACCCTAGTTAACGGCGGGCATCTGCCGTCCGCAGTCTTCAAGTGAGATCTTACCGATCGAGACTAGTGTCTTCAGAGATATATACGTTGAATCATTTCCCGCGAGTAATCCGAATCTCACTGAGATTCTACTGGTGGGACGTTACAAGGTAACGCGAGTTAGTTCGCCATCGAAGATCTGTCAAGGGGATAGCCGCACACGCGCTCTGGGCGAGTGAAATCATCAAGCAGAACGCGACGTTAGATATCTTCATGGAAACGAGTCGACTTTCATTCTATTACAGTCTATAGGCTTCTAGCGACTCTACTATGACCACATCTCGAACCTTCTCAGTTGACCTCGCCATACCAGTACCAAACGTTGAACTTGGCATTGTTGCCCGTGAAAGGCTCAGTGCCGAATTGGAAAGCTATAGAATCAAATTAGCACGAGTCGGATTTCAACCCCGCAATTTCCATTCAGAAACATGGCGAGGCAATAAGGAATACTAAGCGGAAGACGTACTGGTGAGATACTGCGAGGAAGCCGGGTAGCCCTGAGCGCTGGCGATGTGATTGAAGAAGGGCTTGACGTCGGACTCGAAGACGGCGATCTCCTGCGGCGCGACGAAGCTGAAGACCTTCATGGGCCCGTTATACCCAACCCACAAGTCCCAGTTGCGGCCGGCAACGTTGACAGTGCCTGTCGAGCTGCCGATGGGCTGGACGTTGCCTTTCTTGGCGAGCCTACGTGATCAATCACACTCTGGTAAGCAAGGGCTCGCTAATCATTCCCAACTCGTTCGGTTGGTTCTTGGATCTCTGCGTAGATATGGGGCGCAAGACTCTTACCAAATCATCAGCTCATAGTCGCCGCTGCTAGTATCGTGGTTCGGGTCGGCGGCGGTGAAGATATCATACGCGACGTCCGCGCGAAGATTGCTGCCAGCGTACGCCCACTCAGCCTTCGTCGGCATACTGCCGATGCTGCTAACGATCTTCTTGCTTGACAGAGTGCGGCCTGAGTACGGGTAGCTCTTGACGTTGTTGTCGCCGCCGGACCAGTTCCAGTCGGTGTGCCACTGGATGCCCGGCGACAGGACCTTGTCGATGTACGTGCACTGGCTGCCGCTGCCGGCGTCCTTGCCCCAGGCATTGTTGTTCACGTAGTACCCACTGGAAGCGAAGTAGCCGTACTGGTCGCAGAGGCTCTGGGCCGAAGCCAGGGACGCGAGAGCGGAGGCGGCGAGGACGAGCTTCATGTTGTCTTTCTTTTCTCCAAGCTGAGATCCGAAGGCGAGTGATCACCATGACCCTTCCACGAGCCATTGCCGCGGCGGACAGTGCTCTATTTATAATAATGCATTGTATCTGCAATTAGATGTACTAGTAGATACCTGCTATTACGGACTTGGTGACGATCCTCTCTGTGCTAATGTAGCTGCATGGAGCTTCCTAAGATGGAAGGTTGTGTTGCTGTTGTTTCAAGCTAAGAATACACTTGGGCGCGCACGATAGATCAGGACCTACTTAGATTGGAGTAGGCAGATGCGGTGCACCCCTAGTGAATCCTGAATCCCGGCGCAGGGGCTGATGATGCGCCCAAGGTCTTCGTTGTGACATTGGACCTTCATGTGAAGGTATCTAGGCAGGTTCCTGAATCCTCAATCGAATGTGAACCCTCCGCTTGGCCGACGTATTTCCCTTCTTGGAGGATTAATGGCATAGTAATATCGTTCCCAGCCCGACTCACCGGGTCTTCCTCGGCCCCTCATAATTATCAGACCCGGAGACGTCGGCATACCCTTGAGCAATCCAACGATTGGTTCATCGGTAGGTACCCTCCGTTCGTGCCAAGTGCTAGATTCGGGTCGCGGCGGACACCCAGATCTACAACGGTCTGCTTCCGATATAAAATCCGGGGAATCCCTTCTCCACCAATACGAAATTCGCATCGTGACCTACGGTTCTTACTTCGTAGTAGTTTGCAGGCTTTGATGTCAGACACGGCTTTAGAAAACGGCAACTAGGGCTACACTAGACCAGCGTCAGTTGCCAGCTAGCGTGCAGCGAAGCGGATATACACATGAGGCTGTCGTTGCTGTAGCCACGCGAGAGAATAGACGTACCGACGAGCATTGCCGAACAACAGACGAGAATCGAGGATGCAGAATGGCCATCTGATATTCAGGCCTCATAACAGGCCATGGCCGTGAATCGAGATGAGGTATAACCACGGGCACAGCCTCCGAAGTTCCGAGCAGTCGGTTCCGCCAGGGGGCTCCATGACACGCGCCTTCGGCCAAAACATCACCGCATTAAGGAACCATCAGGGAACGTACATAGGAAATCTAGGACCCAATACAGATCGACGGATCCATCCCATCAATCTAAAGATAGCCGGGATCCAGGATCTATCCTAGTAGAACCGTCCGATGTAGTAAATGGCATATAGCTAGCTAGATAGTATTCGTACCCGCACCTATTATATTGACTGCAGGATATCAAAGGCAGAGAGATCGTGATGATGCACATGATATGTAGATAATTAGATGAACCACACAATCAAATAACTAGGTAAACTACTGTAACGCAAGAACCTGTGCATCACCGTGCTCCGCCGAAAAAAAAAAAAAGCAATTCGAAAAAGCCTACCTAGGTTACATAGTCCCGACATTCTCATCCCACCAAGCCTTCCAATCAACCGTCCTGCCGGCCCTCCTAGCCTCCTCGGCAGCAAACACCATGGCATGGCTGCGAATGATCTCCTCCAGACTGCACCCCACGAACTCCTTCTGCGCCCTCGCGGCCTCCCACCCGGCGTTCTTGACGCGGTCGACAGCGAGCACGAACTGCCTCGTGAGCCCGTGGTCGCCGCCCCCATGGCCCAAGCTCTCCAGCTTCGGCGCGAACGTCGTCGTCTCGCCTGTGCGGAAGTCTTCTATCGTGATCGTCTTCGAGTCGGCGTAGATCTCGCCCGAGGTCCCGTACACGTACGTGTACCGCTGGCACTGCTTCTTCGTCTGGGCGATCATGTGGAACGTCGCTTGCTTGGCGCCGCGGGCACTGTTCGCCGCGTCGTCGAGGTCCGATAACGTGTCGTCGTTCCACGTCATGACCACGACCTGCTCGTCGCACACGTCGTTGTCGGACTCGAAGACGCAGCGCCCGAACCAGTTCTTGCCGTCTATCACCTCCCGCGGCGTCGTCTCGTCGTAGTCCTCCGCGAGCTTGGGGAGTATCGCGGCCTTTGCGGCGTCGATGTCGCCGCCGAAGCTCTCTATGTCCGGAAGCACGATGCTGATGGGCCATCGGACGTTGCCCGTCTCGACGCCCATGTGCTTCGGGCCGACGTAGATTCGCTTGCTCGAGTACAGGCAGTCCTTCTCGACAGGACAGCTTAGGCAATTGGTTGCATTGCCTGCGGCTTTCGGTTTTCTGCTCTTCTTGAAGAATTGCAGCGACCCATTAGATGTCACGGAAGCAGGCAGATGTTCGGGTGCATGCGATCCGGGCGCGGGGGAGCACATGAGCCACAACAAGATGTCAATGTCATGACAGCTTTTGGTAAGCAATGACGGCGCCGTGATAGATTCCTTTCGCCAGTTCCCGCGCACATAGCTATGTGAGAAGTGCCAGAATCCCACGGGCTCTGTATGATGTACGCTGAGGATGTCGCCGATGACTTTGTCCTCGAGGAGCAGCTTTCGCAGCATCATGTTGTGGGGCGAGTAGCGCATCACATGTCCGATGGAGAACACCTTCGACGACTGCAGGGGCGCCAGGGTGCGGTAGATATTGGTGCAGTCCTCGAGTGTGGTGGCGAGCGGCTTCTCACACATAATGTGAAGCCCGAGTGGTGCGAGGCCCAATATCACATCATGATGCATCTCATCTCGGACGCAGATAAAAGCCGCGTCGACACCCTTTGGGACAATCTCGCCTGCGTTCTGCCGTTTCTGGCGATTTGTTTCCCATGCGACGAATTCTTTCCAGTCCCTAAAGCTCGATCCATCCGGCGGCGGCGCTGTCTTGCCCCATATGAACTTGCTCCCGAAATCCTGGCGCTTGTAGTCGTCGGGCTCGGCCACTGCGGCGATTATGCCGTTGCTCGACTGCAGAGAGCATCTGGCGTATGTGCGACCACGAGATCCTGCGCCGACGATGAGGAGTCGGGGCGGCTCCACGGACATTGGGGGTGGGGATGGCGGCCGGATTTCAGCATCGCCCAGGTTCTGTTCCAGGTCTGCAGGCCCTTCATCCAGTACGTTGTGGGGGGCCATTATTCCTGAGCATCAATGAAGGACTTCGTATGGGATGTTCAATTGCGAGACGGTGAACTCGGACGGATGTCTTACTTAATCCAGGACCTCTTCGTCGATGTCCAAGGGCTCTTTGTATTATTTTATGATGCTTGTAAGTAAGCCGAGATTTATCCAGAAACGCACCACTCTGTATGAACAGGGGAAAGGGGTATAAAAAAAATCAATGATAATTATCGTAAGGTTACTCGTGTATCGTAAGATTAACAGATCATTTTCTACCTGAGCAATGGCTTAAAGAAGACGTCGGTGAAGGGCAGTGGTAGGTCAACCATGGCGTCTTTGTGGTGTCGTGCTTGTTACCTACTGTTACCTAGGTAGTAGACATCCACAGCGGAGACGATCTAGATGTGTGTACCTACATGTAGTCTAAGCCAGGCTGGTTCATTGCTAAGCATAAGTAGGTCCCATACTGACGCCGATGCTACTGTTAGTTCTCCTCCGTCTGATCAAGAAGTTCAAGGTTCCATTCGACGTCGGCGTGTTGCCAACTTGACACAGCTCATTGGTTATGGCTGATGATCCCCGAGACCACCCTCCCACACAAGGCGCCACAACTCTGCTTCCACCTCCCGACTATCACATCATCGTAGGCTGCACTATCGAGCAAATCACCAATAAGCATAGATCCAACGTGGTATGCGTCGTGCATAAGGCAACAGACTAGAGAGGGAGACATGTGATGCAGATAATAACAGCTGGATGGATGCAATGTTCTTCACCTAACTCCCCACGGGTAGGTAAGACATTGTACGACAGACGCTAATTCTATGCCCGTCATCACAATTCTCGGAACAATGAGCTGCAAGCAGTGTGATCATTGATGTGAATTGGACTGGGCCAGCCAGCAAGAGACGACTTGCGGGGGATCTACAGTCATTGACCAATCAAAAAGAAGGGTTTAGCAATCCGGCAATCAATCACCTTGCTATCCCTGAGTTTGGAAAAACCTACTATGTAAGATATGGATGGTTACGGAGCCTTGAGTTCATACAACATTACCATCTCAAAAGTACATGTAAGCAAAGGTAACAATCCCACCTGCGATGTAAATGATGTCATTTATGTAAGAGGAGATATGAAACTGCACGATAATACACCATCGGTAGCGTAGTCATTCTGAAATTGCAGCTATCTTCCAACTCCTAGGTACCAAGCCTAGCCACATGCTCATCCTATGAATTAAGCAATTCAGTCAGCTCTCAGCGGGGTGCGGAAGTTCTTCATTCCCTCGTTTCTCCAGTGAATAGCCTTCTGCGCACTAGGTCGTTCCTCGAGCTTCTTGTACCACGCCTCGTAGTGCGGATACTTGCCCTGTCGCGCACCCCAATATCAGCAAAACGCAACCCATTCTCAAAGCAACCAAATAGTAAAGGAAAGGGGAGGAAAGGAAAGGGTAAATTCAGTATTTCATTTCCGCTCACCTTCTCAATCTGCACATCCAACCGACCGAACGCGAAGTCCATGATCTGCTCCCAGATGAACCAGCTGAGGTCCGCGACAGTGCACTTGTCGCCGACGAGCCAGACGTCTCTCTCCGCGACCCGGCTGCCCTGCGTCTCGCCTGCGCGGCGCGAGAGGTGCAGGTCGAGCACGGAGCGCACGCGCTCGGCTTCGGCGCGGTAGCGCTCTATTGCGGAGGGCAGTTTCTCGGGATGGATCATGGCGAACCAGATGTACTGGCCGTAGTACGGGCCTTGGCCTGAGATAGCAATGTTTTAGTGATGGAAGCCGAGTCGCATGTAGAATGGGTGAGTAGAATTGATGAGATTTAATGCTCATAAGAGAGGAGGAGGAAGGGTAGTATCTAACCTGAAATCTGATACCCAATCCACTGCTTGACCAGCCACTTCTCCTCGAAGCTCTCATACGAGATCTTCCGCTCTCTATCATACTGCTCAACGAGGTACTCCACAATCGGGCCCGATTCAAAGAGTCGGAGCCCCGTGTTCGGGTCCTCGATGGCAGGCACACGACCATTCGGATTGAGGCTGAGGAACGGCTCTTTCTTCATGTCCGGGAAATCCAAGATCTTGTGCTCATAAGGCAGCCCCAGCTCCTCGAGGAGCATGCACACCTTGAGGGGATTGGGGCCCATCTCGAGGCCCCAGACGATGATGGGCTTGAGGGATGCGTTGGACATGGTGGGTGAGGTAAGGAGTCGCGATAGAAAATCGTAATGAAGCGAGACTGGAAATAACTTGGATTGGGAATGAAAGATGAATGTCGTTCGTGATCCTCATCGGCAGGACTTACAGGAGTGGGAGTATGTGTCTACCTTTATACCTCATCAGCATCATCATCATAACCCCCTCGTACATCTTCCCAACTGCATATTCCCCCTAGCACGACTAGGTTCATCGTGTCCATCCACCAAAAGGCCCTTGCTATACGGCGCATAAGTGGATCACCAATCCGTAACAGTGAAGCCTTTTTCAGCATTTAGGCCAGTGTTTCGTGACAATAGCGGTGACGCCCCGAACCCGCTGAGGCGGAGGCGTGTTCCCTAACACCGCCCCGTGCCACCGGGATAGTCGATAAGTCCGCGCGGGATAAGGAATAGCGGGCACCTCTCATACAAACCATAACAATATCCCACCGGAACGCTCCCAAACCCGGCAGTCCCTATATTGTCTCGATTTGAAATCACGGTGAACCCGGGGTTATTGAATAATCGACTCAGGTAGTCCGACATCTTCATCTTCCAATGTCCGCTGATGATTATCCCGATAACACAGCTCATTAGTCACATATCACTCTAGAATACAAACGTTACACGCACGTGATCTAGCAAGTCCAAGCTTGACATTATACTACCTAATAAGAGGTCTATATCCATGCGACAAATGTGCTCCTCGCCGGCTTCGATTCGGCAATACGTAATACAAACAGTTAGTAGATGCAATTGACATGAATCCTACTCTAAATCCTGACCCTCACGAACGTAAGCGCCCCAATTCATAGGCGGAGCCTTCCTTCCATCACACCCATCGCCTTCTTTCCAACCCAGATCATCCCACGCACCAAGCCCGCAGAGATGTCTCATAGTCGGCCGTCCATGCGGACAGTTCCACGGCTTATCTAGTTCGCCCATATGTCTGACAAGTTTCTCCATCTGCTTGATTGATAGAGATTTCCCAATCATGACACTACTTCGACAAGCGCGCATGGCGAACATCTTGCGAACCTTGGACGGTCGCGGAACGGTTTTCGCGGACGAGGACTGGTGATCTTGAAGGAGCGAAATAAGCTCTTCCAGATCTGCCAGGGAGAAAGTCGTTTCCCGACTCAGTGGCAAACTAAGCAACTGACACCGAGTCCCGACGGGTTGGTCACCGCTATCATCCATTTCAACTATGAAGCCATTGGTTTCGAGAGCGTCGATGTTCTGTTGCACGATATCTTCTTCGACAGCTGTGAGCTCGAGCATCTTGGGATGAACTAGTCTTTGCGACTGTACAACGGTGCTAGCTTGTAGCCGTTCGAAGTTATATTTCTCGTCCGTCGCATGCTGGTCAATGATGAATAACTCGTCGTCTCTACCGCCGCTGCTTGGTGTGTCAGAACTATTATCTTCGGCTGGGCGGGAGGCTAATATGAATCCCAGATTGAATTGGCCTATGATCTTCATCTTTTCGAAGTCCGACTTAGATATAGTCAAAGACAGCTTCTCCTCAGCATCATCGGCATCAAGGCGATCGGTTTCAAGCATCTTCCCTGGAGCGGAAAACGTGCGAGCAGCATTCCCTTGTTGCAAAGCACGAGCATTGCGGATAAGCTCAGCGTCCACGCGCAGCGTCTGTTGAAGTTGGCAAGTGGCATCCTTCTTTTTAGTGCCGCCTTTAACAAATATCTGTGTGCGTTTCTGCGACTCCACTGAAATTGTCTCTTCCACACCTTGGGTATCCTTATTACTTTCTCCATCTTCTATTTCTTTCTCCGCTTCTTCGGATTCGCCATCTCTGTAGTCTAAATCGCTACGACCGGTTGGGGATGTCGCTTCATCCTCTGAACCTTCGTCGAGGTTTGCGTCCTTTTCCTGGTCCTGTTGATGAGAGGAACTATGTTGGTCGTCGCGCCTACTAGGTAAATCGCCAGTGGGTTCGTGGTCGCTTTCTTCGCCAGAATCGTCAGTTACAAATAAATGTTCACTTGATGAATCCGAATCTTCCGAATCGTTCTGTATCTCTGTCGTGGTTTCGATTTGTGGCTTATCAGTCTGTGACCGCGCCGTTTGGGCGGCGAACATTTGGGTTAACCGCCCATTGAAAGAAGGCACGGGAACATGCGCTTTCGCAGCTTTTCGGGAAACTTGATCTTCATTTTGTTTAGTGCCAAGTCGTTGCCTTTTCGGTGTCGAACCAATGATACTAGTGACGGTATGATCCCCAATTGTAATGGTAGCAACTTCTGGCAAAGAACGCTTTGATGGTAATGAAGGGGAAGCCTTGGTAGATACGGTATCTCTCATGCGAGAAAGAGGAGCTATGGATGGAATCGATGGTTCCAAAGGTGCATCTTTGGCCGGCTCAGGCCTGTCCGTATTCTCATTAAGACCTTTATCCTTTAATCTCTCGAGACGTGCGCGAAAGTCCTCTGTATGATTTGAGACTTCACTCGCACCTCGATCCTCTGGTGACGCTTCTGATTCGATACTCGATGCGGGCGAAGATGGGGGGCCTCCATCTAGACCATGCTTCTCTTTGTGAGTGCGCTCTATTACTTTGTTGCCTTTCGTCGCAGGAGCCTCACGTAGCTCGCACTTCCGCTCAATCCAACGGCTAATCAAGTTACCCCTATGACCACTTGCTCCAGTGTCACTAGTAGCAACTTCTGTGTCCTCGCTTTCCGCTCTCGGTTCAGCTCTTGTAGGGGTCGACTCCTCACGTGCAGTACGATCATTTGCTCCAGTAGGTTTCGTGTTCTCTCCAGATGCGGCTGTATCGTGACTATTCAAAGAAGCTTGTTTTAGGAGGGATTGCTTTGGTGTGTGAAGTTGTGAGGTCGGAAGTGCATAGTCCTGCGATTCGAATAAAGTACTGAGTGACTCTCTAAGAGTGTCCAGCATCCGAGTCTGGTCGTGGAGTAAAATGGTTCTCTTGTCCGGGCTAACATTCACATCATAGAGATGAGTGTCAAGCTGGATATCAGCAAAAATGAAAGGGGATTGCGAAGCATTGTAGGACTTGTACACTTCGTTGAACACTTTAGCGAATTGGGGTAGCCCACATGGACGGCCATTGACGAAAAACATTTGTCTGTCTGGAGTCTGCCGTCCTTCACCGTACGCTGGGCGAGATACATGTCCTCGAACTCGAATCAGCTTCGTTTTGCTGTCCGCTCGGGATGTGAGCAGCTGACTCGACGTATTGGTGGGTTCCAACTCAAGTTCTAGATCCAGTGGGATCAAAACTGTCAAGGTCTTTGCCCCAAAAACGTTTACGATATTCTCACGCGTAGTTTGGTTGCCTTTGGTTGAGAACAGGACCATACGTTTGCCTTTATTAGGCTGTTGTGATACAGAAAACTTGAGTCCGGTTTGAATGCATGCATACTGGTTGAGGATCCCGAGAACCCTATTCCATTCCCGTTTGATGTTCCGCTCGAGCTCACGGCGGCGCACAGGCAAATTTTGGAACAGACCTTCAACCAACACAGTGGTGCCCTTCTGCGCGGCGACAATGCTTGTACTGCGTAGCTTTCCAGACGTTTCGAATTCCAATCTCGAGCCTTTGGGGGCATCTGAGGCTAGGCACGTAGTGACTGAGAACTTGGACAGTGCGCAGAGAGAGGACAGCGCCTCTCCGCGGAACCCAAAAGTCTCAAGGCTTTCTAGGTCAGAGTAAGTGGAGAGCTTTGAAGTGTAGTGCTTCAGCGCCAAGGTCTCATGGTTTTCCTTCGATATGCCTGAGCCATTGTCCTGGACCTCGATGGCATCCAGGCCTTGGTTCTTAAAACGAACCTCTAGAGACGCATTCGTTAGCTAGACTGCCAGCCACCTATTCCAGAATCAAGCGCACTCACCAATGTTGGTTGCGCCGGCATCTATGCTGTTTTCCACCAGCTCCTTCACAACAGAACATAAATCAACTATGACTTGGCCGGATTGAATCTGGTGGATCTTGGGGGAGGTTAGCGACAGTAATGCCTCGCCACCTAGGCCCTCGCGACAAGCTACGTACAGTTTTTGCTTCGATGGGCTTGATAGTCGCCATAGACGGCTGACACCCATATACAAGTTTCAACTCGTCAAGGTCTACGAGTATCACATGCGTCCAGTGTGGATACAACTGCAGGACGGGCTCTCAGCTGGGCTGGACAACAGGTGGGCCGACCTTGGAAAAGGACGTTAGCAATGAAACATTGGTATGTTGGTATTGGCAAGTGAGTACCGCAGCTATTTCAGGCGTTTGTTGCTTCATTTGTCCAGGCCAACTGTACACCAGAAAGTTGATTCGTTATCCTAGGTCGCCAGCCTCAACGCCGCAGTGACTTAGCTTGGGGGTACCTAGGCAAGTAGGTATGTACCTTCTACAGGCCAGCTGAAAGCGCCACAAATGGCTGGTGTTGTGGTTGAGCATACCTAGCGCTAGACAACTACCTACCTAGGTAGGTATCCTGCCTGCTAAAGAGGTAAGAGGCAGGTAGGTACCTACTAAGTACCTACTACCTACTGTACAGCAGTGCACTGCGCGCTGTTATCAGAACAATCTTCAACACTTTCCATTTTCTACCATACCTATCAAGGGTTTCTGTTCATGTCTTCACAAATGGTAGCTACACCACTTCCATGGCGATCAACATGATGTTTCATGCCTTGGCCACATGATTCATCACACGCAGGAGGGGGAGCTCGATGCGATGCTACCTACCTACCTCACCGTGACGAGTACCCGCAAGGGTTGACCCCTTATCGCGAAGTCTTTCCCAGTGTCTGTCTGCCAGTGTTATATCCATCCGTCTGCCATCCGGTTTTCGCGGACCAGCATTTTCGGAAATGGGATTGCAACCAAAACGAGCGCAAACCGACCCCTGTATGACGTGACGGATCAATGATTGACAGATCTCATATCGACGCCATCACCATATGGGTAAACTTCTTTGCCATACTACCTCATAGTGTACACCATCTTCGGCTTCCGTCACACAGCTATCTAGAGGCATGATGTCTCGCCATGGAAATATTTGCATCAAATACCATAACACTACAGTCAAGTGCAGATACCGGTATCTCATTTGGTAGGAATTTCTCGTGTTCGAACCCCCCAGGTCGTGGGTGTCAAAGGTTACATTGCAGAGAGGCAACCTCACACCTATCACGTTCCCCCCCCCCCCCCCCCCCCACCCCCAGTCGACAGAGGTTGGACGGCGCAACTAAACACGAACCCGCTGGCGAGCTGTTGTAGAAGTAGAAGTAGAAGTAGAGGAATATAGCGACCTACCAATATGGGCAAACTCGAACAACCTTCCTTTGAGTATTAGTGGCGAATTGCAGCGATAATACGAGCTCTGTCACGAACAAGTGTTCTAAAATAGTTGTGTTAGTTCATTAAATTACACTGGAGAGCTAAAATGCACTGTAGGAAGCTGGCGAGGTATCCCATAGCCGATAACATGGAGAACAACTTAATATAATTGTATATACAAGCATTAATATTTTTAGTGCTGGGCCAGGCACAAACGAAAGCTTTGAGTATCTAGTACATGTAAACGTTTGAATGTTCGAAATACATAACTATAATACTTACACGTAGGTACCAGTAAATACCTAATAGCGAGCCCTAAGCTTGAAAGTTGCATTTCACCAGCGCAAAATAGGCTAATGGCTTATCTAGCATGGTAAAAACACGCAGATCGAGATCATGTACCGCCGAGAAATGTATATGACCTTATTGCTCTCTTCAGATGTCTTTGTCTCGATCTTTCTTTTTTGTTTTGGCAGCGATTCTTGGAATATTCCAAGAGAGGACATGGACAGCCATGGTGAAACAAGCCAGAAATGAGCAACATAGGCATTCGCTCATGCATCTTTGCTCTGTCGAATTTACATGTAACTCTACCCAGCCTGGACACGTCATGGGCATCATTTCACGATTCAAGTGGAACCGCCGGCGAATGCCGACGACAGAATGCATTCCATCCAAGCTACTGTACGGTAAGTAAAAAGTACTTTAGTGCTGGCCCTGACCTCTGCCACTTCGTAGATCTCGTGCCAAACACATCATCTGAAGTCCAGTGCCTAGATTGAGATGTACATTACCTAGGAAGCATGACAGATGAATAGCCGAGCGATAGAGCCGAGATGCCCAATCGGTTCAAACAAGCCCCCTGGAGCGCTGATATGGTGATACCTATCTGATCAATAATCCTGCTTCGGCTGTAGCAGGTACAGTACAGGTACATAACCTGCCTCTATCAGCAATAGAGGCAACAGACTGCCCTGGAAAAGAAGCCTAGGTACTTTAGCTGCACGCTGCAGGTGGCCAGGTCAATAACGAATCGACAAGGATTGATCAGTGAATAGGTACCCAAGTACCTGTTAGTTATATGCAGGCAGTTGACCTTAGTGCGCATCCGCTAATGAATAGCGGGTGGGTGTGTTAAGCTCTTTAGTGTAGCTCTAATAGGCGCCAAGAGGGCACAGATAGGTACCAAAGTAGAGAGAAAGAAAGGAAGAAAAAAAAAACCACAGAACCGCCAACCCCCCCCATCCGTATTCTCGACGGCACGAACTTCACGATTGGAGCAGTCGGGTGTCTTTTGCTCTCTCTCTCTCTCAGGTAGCCTACCGTCCTCTCGTTCGACACCGCTCCGGAACGCCGCTTGCCGGACATTACGTTCGTTAGAAACCCCTCTCCCTCCCCCCATATCGTTACCTTTCTGTCGTTTCCTGTTTCGTCGTCAAGCTTGGCCCAGCCAAGATCTGCCGCGCGTCGGATACTTAGTGCATCTACCGATTACATACCTACCTCCTAGTACTTAGATAGAGTACTTAGTGTAGCTATCACGCTCGACGCTCGCTCCAGACCTCCCAGCCAACAGCCCCCAATCTCTCTCGGCTCGCACATGGAGCGCCTGGGTCGTTGTTGCGCAACCCCCGATATCGTGTCAGGAGTCGAGTCGACAATTCTGTGCCGCCGAAGCCCTGAGACACCGTAGTACGAGCTCATCCAAGCCAAGCCAAGCCAGTGCCAATCCATTGACGTATCACGCCCGCGCATTCTACTCACGCCCTCGACCGCTGTCCACGGCACGGAAAAGCTCTCACGCTCGCCACGCTCGCGAGAGCTTCTTTTTACCTCGATGCAGAGGCGCTCGTCCGGGTCGTCCCAAGACAGTGCTGATGCTTCTGTCAAGGCTTCCCGAATCCGTGACAATGCCACGTCCAAGAAAGTCTCATCCACGACCCTTCGGCCTCACGACTCTCCCCCTCCAACGTCTGCACGAAACCGAATTCCTAACGGCCAATTGAACTGGCAGCAATCCCAGTCACAGAATGGTGCTAGCGAAAACGAATCAGGGGCATCTCCTCGTGCCGCCAAGACCTCGGGTGATATAAACACAGATCACGACAAACCACCATCGTTGAAGCTCAAAAGCCGCCAGTTTCAACCAAAAAGCCCCTGGGCCATCTCAATATGGACCTTTTTCACCAGCATTGTCGGCATTGCTTTGCTGATTTCGATAGTATATTCTTCAGCTAATCTCCAATGCGACCCCAAAGGCTGTCGCATGTCATGGATGAGTCCTTCATTCATCCACTTTTCCGATTTCGATACCGAGCATACGAGATTCGCAAGCAAATACTCGTTGCATCTATATCGCGAGCAGGGGATAGAGAACCGGCCAAAGGTATGCATAGCCTTGTTCGAGGATGTCTACTTGTTGGCTAACGGGCAAAACCCCATTAGGTCAGGGGTATTCCAGTGTTGTTCATACCGGGCAATGCCGGTAGCTATAAACAAGTCCGGTCTATTGCATCTGAGTCGGCTCGCTACTTCCACGAGACTCTTCAGCCTAATCTAGCAGCTTCAAATTCCGGCGTTAAAGGTCTAGACTTCTTCACCGTCGATTTTAACGAAGACTTCACAGCTTTCCATGGTCAAACGATGTTGGATCAAGCCGAATACGTCAACGAGGCGATTCGATATATCTTGTCCCTCTATCTTGACCCGCAGAAGTCTGAACGAGATCCTAATCTTCCCGATCCTTCATCCGTCATCATCCTAGGCCATTCTATGGGTGGTATCGTTGCCCGTACCGCATTCGTCATGCCGAACTTCCAAGCTCACTCTATTAACTCGATTGTCACCATGTCTGCTCCGCATGCGAGACCGCCGGTGACTTTCGATCCACTGATAGTAAAGATATACCAAGATATCAACGACCATTGGCGACATGCTTATTCGACGAAGTCGGTCATGGAGAATTCCCTGGCCGATGTTACTCTCGTATCTATTGCAGGTGGCGGATTAGACACTGTAGTTCCGTCAGACTATGCGAGCCTAGAATCAATCGTGCCCGAAACCCATGGCTTCACAGTATTCACGTCAACAATTCCAACCGTGTGGACTAGTATGGATCACCTGGCTATCACGTGGTGCGACCAGTTTCGAAAAGTTATTGTTAGGGCTCTGTACGATATCGTGGACAGCCGCGATAAATCACAGACGAAACCCCGGGCAGATCGAATGAAGCATTTGAAGAGCAGGTTTTTAACTGGATTGGAGCCAAGTGCTGGAACAGCTTGGGGAGAAGCGTATCCGACCATTCTTTTAACTGTGGGGGATGATTCTAGCAACATTGATACTCGCGAGCGGTTTGTGCTCCGCAACCTTGGAACAAACAGGGGATCGAAGGTTCATCTACTACCCGTCCAATCGAGCGAGCTTCCAAGGGGTGGAAGATTTACTCTACTCTCTAATCGTGAGCTTGACTATCCTGGGGAAGACGCTAAGCTGGAAGTTCTGCTCTGTGGTGTCTATCCATCGCAAACAGGTCAAGCGAGTATGCCATTCTTAACAGATATAGACATGTCTGGTGATAGCAGTACTTCGACTCGTCTAGCATGCAAAAGTGCTGCGCAGGATGCTATAGCCTTGCCAGCATCTACGCGCGATACGAAGACCCCGTTTTTCTTAGAAGGCGAACAACAAATCCCACCATTTTCATATCTCCAATATGAAGCCGATAGACTCCGAGATTATCAATTTATTGCCATTGTGGACAGGTCGGAAGCTCTAACCTCGGATTGGATTATTGCAGAATTTGGGGATGCATCCGACTCCCATCTAACACAATCAATTAGCATTAGAGAACTTGTCATAAGTGGCTTGCAATTTGAACTCTCCCCTGACCGGCCGATGGTTGTTGATATTCGAATCCCGTCCATTCAGAGCAGCCTGCTGGCATATCACATGGAACTGAAGGAGGAGGTAAATGGCGAACCGAAAGAACTATTTCGCCCTCTTGTACGACAATACTTGGCTAGGCCTTATGAATCGAAATACTTCGTGGATGCTAAGGAAATTGACGTCAGCCTCCATGGAGTGTCACCATTCGTTCCCCCACCCTTAGATGCCAGCCAAAACGATAATGGCCTGGGTATTCAGCTATGGACAGATCCTACCCGACAATCTAGCATTTCGATTCGGCTCACGATTGATCCAATTGGTAGTCTAGGAAAACTCTACATGCGGTATCGGACTGTTTTCGCGTCTTTCCCACAGCTCGTTGTAGGGCTAGTTCTACGGAAGCAATTCCGTATTTACGACAACACCGGCACATTTATACCATTTTCTGAGAGCCTTGGAAGCTGTCTCCAACGGTCACTACCAATGCTCCTCTTGTCGATGACTTTTCTATCACTGTCAATCGGCCAGTCTGGATCGATGGACCACAGAGCCATTTGGTCATGGTGGAGTAACACATCGAGCACTGACCTAGTACAGAATGGTTTATTGGTAGGGACAACAGACCCATTCTTCTGGTTTCTGATTCCCATGATAGGGGTCGTGTGTGTTGGTGTCTGCGTAGTCTTTCACTACATAGCACTTGTCCTTCTCGAGTTCCTGAGCATCATCTACGGTTGGGTTTTCAGTCCCAAAGTACCAAACGACGACAAAAAGAATGCGTCGGCCTCGAAACTAGTTCTAGCACCCGTCTTTACGCCATATTCACCGCGCAGACGATTGCTCACTACGAGTATCATGGTATTCTTAGTCTCCACAATCATCCCATACCAATCTGCGTACGCCGTAGCTTGCCTCGTACAACTCTTCACCAATGTGCGAGCGCATTATGTCGCCCGAGTAAATCCCTCCGTCGCCCACATCAATTTCAGGAATTACGTACATACCATATTCCTCCTGATGCTATGGAATTTGCCCATCAACCTCCCGACAGTTGTGGTGTGGGTACGGAACTTGGCCATAAATTGGTTTACCCCGTTCTCGTCCCAGCACAATGTGTTATCAATCCTGCCTTTCATCTTACTCGTTGAAAACCTCACAGCCGGTAGGATGATCCCCGCCGTCACAAGTCGACTGCGCCACCTCACGAATGTGCTCTTCTTCGCTACAGCAGTGTATGCGGCTGTCTACGGTGTATCATATGCGTATGTGCTGCACTATTTGGTGAATCTCATTGCGGCGTGGCTTGTGGCTATACATGCCACGGCTGATTCTTGGGCTATTGCTGGCATCAAGTCGCTTTTGGTCGAAGACTCGCCTAGTACGAGCGATTGTAAGCAGAGCAAGAAGCGGTAAACGGATGGGCTTCGGTTGATCGAGTTCAATAGCCAATTAGCTGGGGAAGAAGCATTGAGGCAAGAATCCTCTTCAAACGAGATACTCTACACCACTTCAAACTTTCGCTTGGAAGGGGACAAAAAATGTCACCTATTACCCTCCCTCTCTCTCTAAATCCATCCTTGCACAACACATTTCACATCGCAACCATTTTTCTTGTTCCTTGTCTTTTTTAACTTGCATCGCAACAAACATGGGCCGGCGTTTACATTGGGCGGTTCTAAGGCGAAATTATTGGCTAGAGGTGAACTGGATGGGTCTTGTCTTATTTATTGTTGTTTTTTTTGCCTTTTGTCTTTTGTTGTTATTTAATTTTTAATGTCATAGTTTGATGTTGGGACGGTGGGAAGGAAGACTTTCCGCTCTGATTCTGAGTCATACTTATGATTCGATAGGATCGATGCTCAGTTTGATTGTTGATATATAGTTTGGCGGGGATCATGGTCTCGGGTCGTTGTACCTGTGACAAGAAACAAATGCAGAGAGGAAAGGAGGCAGGTGAAGAGAGATAAGGAGAGGAACAGCAAGTAAGACAGACGTGCTACTGGCTATACTGTGCTGTGCTATGATGTGGGATATAGCCATCGCAGCGCGCGGTATTTCTCTCGTCTATCGTCTATCCATCGAGAGTCTCTCGGGGATCGCTAGCAATGCACAGGACGAGACGGGACGGGACGGGATTGACTGGGCCACTTTGGGCGCACATTTGGTGAGAACGCATTGCAATACAATGCATTTGCTTTGCTTTGTGCGCATTTGCTTCGCAAACTGAATTAGGATAGTAATAGCGTCTGCGTCTGCGTCTGCGTCTGCTTCTTGGCAAGCAGGTACGGTCCGAATTTGAATGCGAAAAGCTCGAGAATTCAAATTCAAATTCAAATGAAAGTGGATTGAATTGAACTGTACTGAAACGAAACGAAATTGCATACATCAAGGTGCAGCATGCCTTGATGTGATGTGATGTGATGTGATGTAATACCGCCTGTTGTGTTATGGTTATTCCGAATAAGCTCAACACAGATTAAGTTCTAATTTCAACGCATATATAAATAAATAAATTCTCATACGCGTAGCAAAAGGAACGAAAGTAAGGGTAAAAGTATACCTAGCATAGAACCAACTAACGGACGAGGTATATCTCGATATTCAACCATCAAGCACCTAGCTCAGTTCATGTAATTATAGTCTACTGTGTATCTACCTACTTACCTACATAGGTAGGTAGGTATATAACCCGACTTCACAAATATGCAAATACATGTACACACACATAAAGTACTTACATACACACATACAAATATCTATTTCACTAGGTATTTCAGATATATAAACCCAACCAATATTCGCCGGCCCAATCCTAGACGCCAATCTATCCAAGTATCCAAAACTTAACTTACCTAGGTAGGTACCCAAGGTATCTATCTATTCTACCTTATCCATGCATCTTGCGCTCTTTTTCCTATCTAAGTCTGTCTGTCTGTATGTACGTATGTATGCAAAGGTGTACTCTGACTCCACCTCCATATCTAGGGACAGGGGTATTGTGATGGTGATATGTTAATAAGTCCACGATCGAAGCCCGTCGTGATTGAGATGAATAAAAAAGATGTAACAGAAAAAAGGGGAAGAATAAGCTATACCAACATTCATTCTCCCGCATGTCCCTTCCCCATCTCTCTGAGTCTTGCCCTGCCCTGGTGCCAAATGACCCAGAGCGTGACACCAAGACCAAGCGCACACGCCGAGAGCGTAACAACATACGCGTCGCGATAGCACATGATCCCTTCCTCGCATCTTCTCTTCCCATCTTTCTCGAATACCGAATGCGCGTCTAGAACAAATCCGTAGAACAGATTGAATATATTCCCCGAGACGACGGGGGCAAGGGTCATAAAGCCCCAGTTCTGGGAGAGGCCGTGAATGCCGAAGGATTCTGCTACGATGGAAGGGAAGACGCCAAACAGGAACCCGTAGCCGAGACCGCTAAAGCCGGAGACGAAGCCGAGGAGGTGTGGGTTGATGATGTTGAGGGCGCAGATCTGCGCGAGGGAGAAGATGACGGCTGCGATGACGAGACACCATATTCGGCTTGCGTGTAGGCCTTTGACGAGAAAGTCGGAGCCAACGCCGCTGAGGAGACGGCCGGAGAAGCTGCCGAGTGATAGAATGGAGACATGCAGTTGTTGATGTAGGACCAAAGCCTTGTCCGGGATGGAGTGGTCATAGTGTTTCCAGAGGACTGAGGCGTCGTTACCGATATTACTAGGCATAGGTTAGCATGATTTTAGCCCCGACGGCGATATCGCGGGATACACCTATAAATGTATGTTAAAGTCGAACTTACTTGATAGTCATGAGTCCTATACCAGATAGTATGCCCATGATGGTAAACAATTGCCAAAACTCGAGACTCTTCAGAAGTTTCCAGCCGCGGATATCTACACGATGAGAACGATCCATATCAACACTACTCTGCACTAAGACCTCACCAGGCAAGGACGACGTGGTCGAGGACCGGGACAACAAGGAACAACTCTCGTCCGCTTCAGTTGGGGCACATCCAGTGGGAGGTCCGGAATTTTTGACCGCGATCAACTGATCTGGGCTCGCGCCTTCGACTGGTTCCTCGGGGTCGGGGAGTTGGGAGGTGGCAGCGGAGCCAGTATATTCGGGTGACGACATACCAGGTTCAAGAGAGTCTCGTGACAATTTGGATTGCTGAGACGTTGTTCTTAGTAGTTCTCGCGAATCCGCCATTCCAGAGTTGGCAGGCACAACATGATAAGGCGAATGATGTGGAAGCACGCGCAAGAAGAAAAACCCAATAAAGGTCATCGCAAAGGTCCCTATAGAAAGGAGGAGGAGAAACTTGCCGGGGCTCCCGGGGAAGAAGACCGAGCCCACGAAAGAAAAGAAGAAAGCGCTTAGGCCGAAGGCGGCAATAGGAAACGCCGTGGCAGTGCCCCGATGAGATGGCCAGTTCAGAGCCGAAGTCTTCACGGAACCCGCAAAGGCCATGCAGCCACCTAGGCCGGTGAGGAAAGAAGCGAAGCTTAACCATGCAACGGAACCTTGTCCGGCGTCATAGGCGCGTTGCAGGGGTAGATATCCCAAGCCGAGTAACAAGGATCCGGCCAAGACGGCCGGGCGAGATCCGCGAGTGTCGACAAACATGCCTATGGGAATGCCGAGCGAGTACATGCCCAGATTTCCCGACAGCCCTATCAACTCGCTTTCAGTTGCAGAGAGATGCAACTTGTCGGCGAACTGAGGCGCCCATGCTGAGTAGACATACTGTGCGAGGACGGTCAGAAAGCACAGAGGAAGTAAGTCAAGTCAAGTCTGCTAGGTCATAGTCTTACATTAGTACCCGAAGCAAGAGCGATCAAGGTAGCAGCAACGCTGGATATTATGCGAGCACGGTTCATATTCTGCTCGACAGTCATGGTGGGCAATAGCGTTTCCGATGGTGATATCCTCCCACGATAAGCCTATACTTTGGCAGCACGGTAGAGCTGAGATTAAGGCGACTATATGTAGCCGGTAAAAGAGAAGAATAACGAGCGTGAGTCGGCGATCATTGAGTGAGTTCTGCCTAGCTTTCGAGTATCGAAGTTGGAGATACGGTAGGTGACCCAATGCGGACCTGGTGAGGTCCTCGTGAGGTGAGTGAAGTCAAGTGAGCAATACAGGGGTAAAAGGAGGTGTGAAGCTAGCGAGCGATCGAGCTGCACTAGCTAAATTCTAGAAGATTGCGGAGGCGCATCTAAATGTAGTTAAAGGGTAATAATAGTATTATGACAAGGCGTAGACAAAAGAGTGAACGAGAGAACAAGAAGGCCGGGAGCGATACTATCAGCGGCAGATGGAAGGCTGTCTCGGATTACATGGCGCTCACTTTGGGTCGCGCAATACCGGTACGTCCATCCAGCTGGCTCTCGTACTGGATTCAGGACTAGACATGTACAATGTACAGTAGGTACGCGTAAAGAGGATCCTCAGGTGGATCACAGGAGGGAGGAAATTCGGGGAGTATGGAGAAAGCTAAGGAGCACGAACAGAACGAACAGAACGAACTAGGAGGAGTGTGGAAGGAGATAGGCTGGAGATAGTTGGCCGGCATTATGACAAAGGCTTATCTCTTCGAGACACTAGTGTTCAGCCCGTTGTCATGCCGTCTCTGCCTCTTCGTGTCTGGCATGTCTGGCGCGTGTTCCTTCGACTGCTGCTCCGATACGGAGCCCAGACAGACCAGACTCTGACAGACATCCCTGTCTGTCACTCCGGAAGAGTCTGGTCTCTGTCTGGTCTAGCCAGCCAGGGGGTGCAGCGACAAGTGGCTTACCTATTTCCGTCGGATTATTGGACCAAGTTGTGCAGTTGTACATATATGTACATATAGATGAAAAGCCAGCCAATGAGCACGAATCAAGGTCCTACTTCGACTGGTTTACTTATTCGTCAAACAGCTCACAGGCCCGAAGATACGTAAGTACCTAGGTAGGTAGTAAGCTCGGTTCCAATCGTGTGTTCGTGGCTTGAGGACTTGGAGTTTCATGCTACAGTGCAAGCGGTGCGACTATGCAAGATTCAAACAGTATTCCGGGTAGGTAGCACATGACGTAATCCCCCTGGCTCGGGTGTCCCTTCCAAAGTTCCCATGGATTGAATCGCGTGTGGCTGGTGCCAGGTGTCAAGCCGTAGAGGTAGGTACCTACCTAGGTACACATTGTATCACCGCCACCTCTCATGTCATCAATCAATCCAGGCCTCCACCTCTTGACGCCCGGGTGGCTATCAATCGCATCGCATCACATCACATCCTGTCGCCTGCTTCATCTCAAACACTGCATCCAGCCATCCTAATCTACAGAAATTCGTTCACTATCCTGGGGACACACAGGCGCTTCTGCCGTTGTCCCAGATCTTTCACAAAATGGGTGCCCTCCTATCCATACCCATGCTGGCAGTGCCCAGCGTAGGCACCGTAAGTGTCGCATCCGTCGTCATATGAACCATGATTCGCATATCCATCTTCCCGTCTTCTAACGCCGTGCCATCTCTAGATCATGTCTGTCGCTGCGAGCTGCTGCGGCGCTGCAACTTGCTCCATGGTCTGCAGTGCCTGCGGCAAGTGTGGTAACAGGTAACTTGCTCTCCTCCTCGACTGCTTGTCGATCTCGTCATCGCCACCTATTCTCTCTAACACTCAGCATAGTGTCGCTACGCGTATCGCCTACGCCCTCCTCTTACTCGTTAACTCTGTATTATCGTGGATCATGCTCACACCATGGGCCATCGAAAAATTGCAACATCTCGCCCTCGACTACGTTAAAATAAACTGCCCGACCGGACAATGTTATGGATGGCTCGCCGTTCACCGTATCAACTTCGCACTTGGTCTATTCCACCTGATATTCGCCAGCCTCCTGTTCGGCGTCACTTCTTCCAAGAATCCCCGTGCCGCTCTACAGAATGGCTACTGGGGTCCCAAAGTCATTGCCTGGATCGCCTTCATCGTTCTCTCGTTCCTCATCCCCGATCAGTTCTTCCAGTTCTGGGGCAACTACATCTCCTTCCTCGGCGGCATGCTCTTCCTCGTCCTTGGCCTGATTCTGTTGGTTGATCTTGCTCACAACTGGGCAGAGTACTGTCTTGAAAAGATTGAAAATACCGACTCTAGGTTCTGGAGAATTGTTCTCATTGGATCCACGCTTAGCATGTATCTGGGATCTCTGGTTATGACCATCATCCAATACATCTTCTTCGCTCAGGGTGACTGTGCCATGAACCAGGCAGCAATCACTATCAACCTTCTTTTCTGGCTGGCCATCTCCTTCATCTCCGTACACCCGTCCGTGCAAGAGTACAACCCGAAGGCCGGTCTTGCTCAGGCCGCTATGGTTGCTATTTACTGCACGTACCTTACCATGTCCGCCGTTTCCATGGAACCTGATGACAAGCACTGCAACCCCTTGATTCGTGCACAGGGCACACGCACTACGTCCGTCGTCATCGGCGCCATTGTAACCATGCTGACAGTTGCGTACACTACCACGCGCGCCGCCACACAGAGTTTGGGTCTTGGAAATAACAGAGGTAGCATCAGACTTCCCGATGACGATGATGAGCATAACCTCGTCACTCAGCAACCCGGTCGCCGTGAGATGCGGGCTGAAGTTCTTCGCCGAGCCGTCGAGGAAGGCAGTCTACCAGCAGACGCGCTCTTATCCGACGACGATGATGAAGACGACGAAGGTAATGGCAAAACACCCCACGACGACGAGCGCGGACACACACAATACGACTACTCAGTATTCCACATCATCTTCTTCCTCGCCACATGTTGGGTGGCTTCCCTACTCACAAGCTACTCGGAGGGCGACGGAAGCACCGACGGTGAATTCGCGACGGTCGGACGCACATATTGGGCTAGCTGGGTCAAGATTATCAGTGCCTGGTTCTGCTATTGTTTGTATATCTGGACACTAGTCGCACCGGTCATGTTGCCGGAACGATTCGATTCCTAGTAGGCGCGGTTTATTCAGGAGTTGGGTGGCACGTCCAGATTAGCATGTATAACGTTTTTGGCGGAATTTGTTTATTTTAGTGTATAAGAGGTTGATCCAACAGCCCAGAATATCCCTAGTAACGCGGGGCGAATCAATATATTTTATTTGTTATAGCGTGTTTAGTGCGGCTTGTTGAAGAGATTGTCACGTAAATTCTTTGCGTGGGAAAATGCAACTGGTGTTTTGATACTTGCACTCATAATGTGTTGCATACCTACGTATTCAAGATCCCCTTTGCCTAGACTCTCCTTTTCCGACACGTTGAGACAGGATCAAGTCTAAACTAAGATGTGATTAGTCTTGGACGCCTCAAAGCTTGTTTAATTGATTCATCGAGATTATTACTATCCACCGCCCCTTATAACCATTTCGTCGTTCTCTTCGCATCATTGGAAGAACAACCTACTTGGTCTATAGTCGGTTACCATGTTCGTATACTGGGCTTGAGCTCGGAAAGTTGCTGTCCGATGGGGATAGTCCTCAACTATCGAACTTTCCGGATTTGTCTACAGTTAGGTATACCTTCATGGTTGTCTGAACCTTAACCGCTCCGGCCTGCAATTATGCTATGTAGTCTGTCACCAGCGTTGGCGGTTCCAATGCGGAACTTGCGAGCAAGGCGAAGCGGTGCGGTTGTATAAAGTGCTTTCCGACCGACTTTAACCGTGTGTTGGAGTTTCGCTCCAAGTATACTGAATAATAAAGATGTGGCGAGTAGTTGAGGGTGACTTCTTTTGACGAGAAATAGAGGTTTGACACCTGATACCTGTGTAAGTCCTGGACGGACTTGCCTTGTAATCGCCCACCAGTTCCCTCGCGATGACCTGCGGAAGGGGATGCGTGAGGGAGGTTCGGTCTGTGGCCGACTATATGGTTGCGGTCATTGACTTGTTATGAAAGAGGGACGCTGATGTAAACAAACCCCCATCTTTTCCCAGAACATATTCATTATTGATCATATTCTTCTCTATTATTGCTAGCCATCGTGTATCACATTACCCCTACTTTCATGTCTTTATTGTACAAAATACGTTCATCCCCATCTTGAACACATTGGAATTAGTATGATTGGCCCCATTTCACCCCTTTCCGCATGCTTATTGTCCTCTAGTATCACACGTTAGAGATCTAAATGGGTGTTTATCGTGTTCAAACAGATAAACATCATCATTAGGGTGAAAGCAGGACTATATTTATACCCTCGCAGTAGAGCAAGCATCTCCTTAAGATCCGAGCTGTAGTACTCCATACTAATCAATACAATTGACAGGATTTCATATTTTACGAGCAACTTGAGCGTCGTGGCATGGTACTAGTCACTTCAGGCAAGCCAACGGGATGTCTCACAGCATACCCCATCTACCACGACTAGACGCTCGATTACATTTGCACTCTATATTTTCCATTGCTGGCAGTCCGAGCTGTCACGAGCCGAGTTCCATAGGCTACAGGAAACTTACAAAAAACCCCACTATCCAAGACTCTGTCGACGTTTCCCCATCTGGCTACTCGCCTAGGGAAACGTCGACATTACGGCCAAATTCCTAGAACATCAGCACATCGACGTTAGTCTTCAACCCGGATTCGAACAAGAAGACTCTCTTTTCCTCTGGCTCTGGGCCACCCCAGCAGGCCGACTGAGATATCAAATCGGTCAGTTGCAATACGCCCCAATGAATCTAAGTGTGGGAAGATTTCAACAACATCGAATTTATTGCACTTTTTATCATCGACGGTATTTCTACATCACTAGTCGTCATACCTAGCTACCATCATTATCCCAGCTTGAACCATTCCTCGACCATTAGAAAAGGGGCACTATTAGATTCCTTCAAAAAAGCAAGGAGCACGTCTGAAGAAGCTCGGGAAAAGAACGTACCATTAGTCATTTTGGCTTTTTGCCATGGGATTCAAAGCCAGCACCTAATGCTAGACGGAGACAGACAGACGTAAGGGGATATCCGCAACAGTCCTCAAAGGTTATCTGGAGTTCGGTACTCAAGTTACACTCATAAGACTCTTCTCTGTCGACATTCTCAATAGTTCCATTTTCCGCTCGCATGGCGAGCTCTCCTTCTCCCCTCCCGATAACCAGAAGTTATACTTCAGCCTTTATCAAATTATTATGCCAGCATTTATTACACGATTATTCCACGTTGATCCGCTAGCGCCTGCAGTTTGTTGCTGCTTCCGCAGAATACAACTAATTTGCCCACAACTAATCTATCAATAGTGAGAGCCGCACGCTCGATCTCTTTGCGCGGTTTTCTTCCCACAGCGGTCTAATCACAGCCAATCGATTCTCACGGCTTGAATCTCTTCAAAAGACCTCAATTCGAAACCTCCTTTCCCGTCGTCATTAAGATTCTGTATTTATTTATGTCCAGAGAGACCTATGTGTGATATTTGTGTGTGTGTGTTTCGGGGCCAGATGGGGGTTCGGGTGAGGAATCCGTTGGAAAGATTGAAGTGAGGGAATACTCGTACGAATAGTCAAAGATGAGGAGATCTCGTGATGATTGACGATCTGGGTTTCGCCCTCAGCGGTGTTTGCGGGCGAGGTACTCGTCGAGGGAACCTAATTATGCCGTCCCGCAGCATGGACAGGACAGGACAGTAAGACATACACATATCTACACCCTTATAGCCAACCACTCGGTATTCCTCAAGATAGTCTCATTATGCCGTGGCCATCAATCATACATTAATTCAACTTTAATATTAAAGCATTATCTACCCATATCTAAGATATCACATAAGATAATCCCAACAATAATTCATTCATACCTCTCTCTCATGAAGCAACAATGCATAGATCATACATTTCTTGTCATCAAGGGTATTTATTTACTTATTTACCAACGCATACCTATATATCCCGCCTTAAACATCCCACCTCGAACACCCAGCAATGCTCAATGCTCAAAACCAAATATATACCATTTAGTTCCCTTTTGAAAATTCTAGACATATATCCCACACCACACATAATACATCCAATATACCAACACTTCCAGTACCTAGTCGCGCGCAGATTTTCATATCATAGCTTTCATGTGAACTTCTCAAAATATTTAAATTTTCGAATGTTTATATATTTTTATTGTATATCTCACAAGGGGTCCATGCCAGGTAAATTAATATCATTTCCATTAATCCCGAAATATTGAAACCTGTAACACAAAAGGGAAAATGTCTTGTTAGTTTTCTGGTTTTTTTTTTCTCAATGTACAACTAAAATTCATGGGTATCTTTTTTACTTACCAGTCCTCTACATTTAAGGTCGCCGGCACCGGCTGGCCGTGGGCGGATCCAGTACTCCAGCTGTCACTAGGACTGTGACCTTCCTGCATGGTGGCATTCACGTCGCCGCCAGGCCATAGTGTTCCAGAGGCGCCTGAGAATCCTCCTAGTCCTGGTTGTAAGAAAGTGTTAGCCTGCAGCGGACTTCCGCCGGTCGTTTTTTGCATTCCTAGTCCATGGAAGTGGTTCGGTTGGCCGGACGCCGGAGACGACATACCCTGCATCTGCGACATGACATTTGGGTCTGGATTCTGCTGATTTTGTGGAGGAGACATCTGGGGCATCGGAATGGTTGAGCTTTCGGGGAACAGCTGATCGGTATGGAAATTCTCCCACAGGGCTTGCGAAAGATTTGGCGAGTTTCGAGTAACGAGGTATAAATCTGGCGGCGTACCGGGGACCGAGAATGAAGGGTTGAACGGCGTCGCTGGTCGGGTATGCGGCCTACTATTAGTCCCTCCCATAAAGGTATCGCCTGACTTGACATTAGGCGAGGTAAGCGGAGGGCCCATGGTGGCTTGGTTTGGTATGGGCTCGTTTCGCGGTGTCTGCGGTCGTGATCGTTCGTATGACTCCTGATGTATGGGTGTGGGTGTAGTTACGCTGAAGTCAATAGCCATTTCATCATATTTGCGCTTAGCAGCTTCTTGTTGCCGCTGGTGTTGATCCAGCTGTGCAAAAGCTTGCCTGTCTTTTCTATGCCGCCTACCAGCTGCTTTCTGCAGCCTCTCTTCAAAAGATTTGTTGCCCAGGATGGACTCAAATAATGTGTATACCATCTTCCCCACAAGCCATACCTTGGAAACCTCTTTCAAAGCATCCATACACGTCCGAATTCGATCATGCGTGACTCGTTGGATAGACGACACTGGTGACCGCATCTGATATACATGCATGATGAGCGCAGAGAACAAGCTATAAACGACAAACGCGGGACAATAGCGTAGCTCTTCGTGGGCCGATAGATTTTCAATGATGGACGTGACCATGCCTGCGGCCTGGAAGGCGATAGTACGTGATGGATAAGCGGACTCGTCGGGAAACCTAGGCTGGCTATGACTGCTCAAGTTCGGAGGCATATGTGCTCGGTGAAGCAGACATAACGTCGTATAATAGTTTGCATGGAGCAATGCGCTCCAAAAATGATGTCGGGGCATCTCCCAGTATACTATCTTCGGACAATTTTGGAGCCAATCAGCCAGTGCCATGTCACTGTGAGTAAGATCAATGGCATTCTGGCGGCGCCCACGGGATGCCACCGAGTATTGCTGTGAGAGGACCAAGCCCATGATCTCACATAGTTTGACGTATTGTAAAAAGAATTGTACGTGAATGGGGTCTGGTGCGAACCCGTCGGCATGATTGGGCTCATCTTCGATGAAATCTTCCTCAGTCAGCATTTCAACGTCGCAATCCTCCAAATTGATGTTGCATGGGCGTCCCAGAGCCACGGCGACTGATCGGTCTCTGGTGAACAAGGTCCACCAGATGCGCTTCCATAACCTCTTGTCCGCCGCACTGAGCTGTGAGCCTTCTACACTCCTGTGCATGCCTGAGCCCTGAGCAACAATTATAGCAACACGACTCCAATAAAAAACATTTTTAGTCACGTCTTCGGGTCCTTCCCAGTACCAACCCATCAGCAACAATGATTGGACAATGGTCACTCGGTCATCCTCGTAGTTGGCATCGTATAGAGCCTTAGCTCTCTTGTAAAATGTCAACGCCGCTGGTGTCGTTGAGCCATTAGCGTCCATAAGCTGTTGGTTTTGGCAAACACGGGACCCGGCAAGCAAAATAGCTTGGAGTAGTAGCAATGACGGGGGGTTTGCGGGATCTCGATATTGTCTCATAAACCGTGTCCTATTGAGAACAGGCACGATAGGGTGCACCCATTTGAAGTAGGCCTCTATGAGTTCATCACATAACTGTCGAGGGGGAAGCAGGAACGCGCCACGCCGATGCAGGATATCGATTTCGATATTGTCGAGTTCTGTCAATCTTGCTCTTGATCCGCGGACATTTTCGGGCAATGGATAGTGAACTACATCCGATGCCCCCTGACGGTCGTGGACTAACAATGTGAGGTTGGAAGACTCGCCTAGGAAAGCGACGCGACCGGCTTCAGTAATGGGTGCCCTCGTAAATTTGGGCTTCATGACTAGATTCACATAAGTATCATTATCGACCTCCTCCTTCCTCGCCTGTGCATCTGTCAGAGTAGTGGGTGGGACGCCTTCAGATGTATGGTATACGGCGGGTGGTCTTGCTGGAAATGTGGTTGAGGAGCCAGCCATGGGCTGGGGAGACTGGCTGTCGTTGGCATCTCCACGCTCACTGCGTAGCAGGGTCAGTTACGGAAGATAAGTGTGGGTTTAAGCTTAAGGCGATGCACACCTATCAGAGTCCTTTGTTGCGTTCGCTTGTGTCTTCTTTCGTTTGGGTTGAGGGATCTTGCATTCGATTTGGAAGGCGACGCAGTTGGTGCAAGGAACGCCGAGGCTCGCGGCGTCGCATCGGACCTAGCATCTGGTGAGCCATCGGTACCTAGGTAAAACTCATATTGGCGCCGACGAGAGCCGGACACATGTGAGACATGTCTTGCAGAGCAATTGACGACATGCGGTGGCTGATGGATGCAATGGGGAAATCAATCCATACCTTTCTAGCATGGCATGTCTGTAGATGGAAACTGATTAGTCGAGAGCTCGGCCAAAGTGGTATCGAGGTTGAGATGCCTCGGCACAACAAGGAATCCCACTTGCGCCCCAGATAGGGTATGTTTGGCGGCAGTGCTACTGATAAATAGCATAGCCCCAGGGTAGTGCGGCACGGCGCCCAAGATTCACTACATCATAAAGAACAGGGCACACTCACCTCACAAGCTCTCGAAGCACGTTGCCTGGACAAGATATCTTGTGGTTAGCCAACCGATGGCGCGATGCAAAAACATTACGCAAAAGCGGGCACACCTTCGGAAGCTCAGCTGGCCTTGGGCATTCTGTGCGGCTGTTAGTGAGCCAGACAGACCGCCGAACGTTGCGCTAGGGGGCGTCGAGGATTGCGCTGGAGAATTGGACTGATTTGGGCCTTGATTCTGGGCTTGAATCTGGTTCTGAATCTGGTTCTGATTCTGATTATGTTGTTGTTCGGCCAGCTCGGCAGTGCTGGGTTTAGCTTCGACTTCGGCCATAATGAGATCAAGTAGGAAGAGGATTCAATAGGCGAGATGGCCAGACGAGTCACAATCGAAATGGCAGGGTTAGAATCAATCACCTAGAGGGTTTCCACGACCCGTATCGCATCGTACTTGGGAAGAAAGAGAGCCGGAGGAGAAAGGCGGGTGGGTGGCTTCACAGCACCTGGCGCATTGGGATTATTAGCAAAGCCGAGGGGCTATCCAGTTGAGTTGGTTGGTTGGTTGATGCGATGGTCCGTTGTTTGTTTGCACGTCGAGGTTGAAGCGAGTGTGGGTGTGCGCGTGAGAGCGAAAAAAAAAGAAACGGAAGACGAGTCTCGATTCGGCGTACAGGCGACAGCAACAGCGTTATTGAGAATCCGATGCGAGCGACGAAGCAGGTTGCAGTGGTGGAAAGATCCGTTGTTCTGTTCGCAAAGGTCCCAAGGCCCCAAGGTCCCAAGGCAAACCAAGACTGATAGGCAGGAGGTAGTAGGTAAGTACTCTCCTTCATTTACTATGTAATGTACCTGCTAGGTTAGTGTAACGGTCGACAGCGGTTTCACCGACCCATGATCTGATAAAAGTTGAGTGCGAATAACCATAGCTCTACAGAGAATTCACGAGCAGAAACCATTTTCAATCACTCTCTACAATGACTTCAAGGTTGTAGGTACATCTTTCAAGCCATTTGGTCATTTTCGTTTAGGTATCTCGGGTGTTGATTGATTGGGCACGACTTGGATTCATCTGGAGAGTGCCCTAAGGGTAGATACTTAATAGGTACCTAGGTAGGTAGTTAGGTAGCCACAGAGAGCTAGGTCTCGCCAACCACAGCCTTTGTATTGTCACCCTATCGCGACATCATAGAGGCATGTAGGGCCTAAAGACCTCAGGCAGGCAGGTAATGGAGGGGACATGTGTAACAGTATTGAAATACCACTATTTCAGTAGGTACCTACTTACTAGTTCAGCGTCTAGGCCCCTGGAACAACCCTGATACTTATATAGTAGGTACCGACCATGTAAGTAAGGCGTCGTTCCCTTGGAACTGTCTTAGTGCCACGGCTAGCGCTCTATTAGCATGGTATGACACTGGAGCACATTGTTTCAGAGGACAAGTTAGCGGCCGGGAGGTCCGAGTGTTACAGAGCCAGCCAAGCTCGTCACCCGCGGACTCCATGATTTACTTACTACTATGTATATACAAAGAGATGATGCTGTTGAGGTTGAAAATGAAATTGACAGGTAGGTAAGGTATGTAGGAATGCATAAATCTCCATCAAGATTTCTAGCCGCATAGAACAAGGTTACGTCAAGCTGTCACTACCACTCATTAGGTAGGTACTAATTGGATACGTATGTCTCGATTACTCACCACTACTAAATCCCTATAGATAGATGCTTCATTGAGGAAGAACATGATCGGTTCTGTTACGGATTGATTCCAATAAGAGTTATTGTGATGTAGTCTCGGATAACGTTTACAATACAGTCTGAGTTAGGTACATACGACATACTCTACCTACCTAGGTAGTTGGGCGAAACAATTGAAGTTTCCAAGCATGTGATAGCAGAAATACCGTACTAACCAGGAACAGGGGCAGTCACATGTGCGGGCCTAAAGTCCACCTCCCTCGACCTCCCTAGCTCCCCGGATAGGTACCTACCCCTCCTAAGACATTCCAAGTGCTATATGCGCACAGAAAGGCTTGGAAATCCGAGTAAGTCTGCTCAGCATGGGCATCAAGCTTCTTCATGACCGGTCCACAGCAGCCTGTACCTATCTACCTATTACTAGTATATACCATATAATATACCTAGGAATCTATTCGGTTTACATGCTACACCCGGTACCACCACACTAGCGCCGGGCGCGCACCCGTAAACTGCTTACCGGACCGTCTCCGGCGCAGTGTCTAGACAATCCGGGGAAATCGGCCACATTGCCCAACCAACATCATTCCATGTGGACGGAATTCCCGGGTCCGTGGCGTTTGTGTGGTAAAACCAGTCGTATTCATGATTTGCGTGTCGCCTGTGCCCCGCCTGTGCGCGGGATAAAAACGCGTGTAAATAGAGATAGGTATCGAGGTGTTGATGAATGCTCCAAGAGGGACCGAGGCATATACCCAATTAGTCTAGGCCGCACTAATATCGCGCCAGTGAATACACTATCGGTACTATACGTGTATACACGTAAGGAGCGATATTCTTGTTGTTGAAGTGCCTGATATACTTTATATACCTATGTCCAGGAAGCACGCATTTTATTCTGATAAGGGGCGTTCAATCAATCATATTGGACTGCAGAGGCATCAGATAAATACCATTAGTATTGAGAGCTATGCCGAGGAATCCCTTGCAGTCAAAGTCTAGAACTACATCAAATAAGGCGGTATGGCAACTGCTAAATCTACATGCTTGGCTATGTAAGTAGGTACCTATGTAGGTGAAATCTCGAATAATAAACCGGTAACTTTCGCTAGCATATATACCTATGTTCCCAGAACACCCCCAGAGACAAGCCCATCACCACGACCGGCCCAGCTCCTATACAATACACCCATACACCTAGCCGGTAGCTCACACAAAGTTCTCAGGCTGAGGAGGGCCACAGACAGGGTAGATGGCTCCTAAGCATCATGAAGCAACACTATACGAGCATTACATGAAAAATCCAAACAAACATTCATCCCGCAAAAAGAACTTGAAAACACAATACTACCTCACTAAACCAGTCCATTTAATCGCCATAAAATACGAAAGGATAATTCTCAAACACACGACGCGAGCTCCAACAACTCAAGTAGATCCCTACATATTACACGCGCAACCTCAATACCAGCTGAACATGCAGTTCGCCTTTGCACCCCGGCCGTACCGTACGGAGGACCATTGCAGGCTATTCATGATCTTCCAAGACATGCAGGCAATATTGGAAAGCGAGGGTATACAGACTTCGCTTCTTGAAACAGACCCAGGCGGTCTGGGCTAGCAGACTAGTTGTATATAGAGTCGAGTCAAGCCATCAACAGCCGAGAAGGAGTTGGTTGGTCAAGGACTCATGTAGTCCTAGTTGTTCATTATAATCTGAATTCCAAGTTCTAAGCCTAGTATCTCTGCCCTTGTTATACTATATCAAGAATCTACGAGACGCACTTTGAAGCCTGTACGAGAAGAAGTCAGAGGACATACTAACTTCTAAATTCAAGAGACAATGCGAATTCCCTTGAATGGAAATAGGGTTTAGATCTTCGATGAATATATACATACATGCCTTTGCTACATGTTAGATATACATACATATTCCTCTATACATTTTAACATCGACCCTTTTAAATCTCCTTCCCTGGCCATTTCACTGATCATCATCGCCATCCAGCCAGATTTGAATGTACCATACATATAGACCTTCGTCTGTAATATTTCTCATACGAAACCAATAACCCTGCTAACACACAGGAACTCTCCATCACACATCAAACAAAATCACCACACCATTTCTATTCGAATATTTCTTTTCCTATTCTCTATCTATTCTCTATCTATCAGATCTACTAGTACACCCCTAACTTTCAAACTGATAAGCAAAGGAAAGTTCTATCCCCTTCTTACCATGTTCATCGATACTATTCCCATGCTCATCAAACCTGGCCTTCAGCTCCTTCTTCTTACCCCCTTCCTTCCCTTCCTTCCCTTCTTCTCCTTCTTCTCCTTCTTTTCCTAATCCCTCCCTCCTAACCCCACCCTCAAGCTCGACACCCGCAATAAAAGCAGCACTAACGCCCTCCAGCGCAGCAACAAACACACAAAGCATGCTAGCAATGACGAAATGCGTAATCGTAGATCCGATCTCCAACCACGAGCCCTCGTCCTTGACAACCCAGAAGAAGTACAGCGTGAGGATATCGCTGAGCGCCATGGCGAGCATGAACAGCGCCGAGGGCGCGACGCCGATGCGCTTGTTGAGGACCCCTAGGTTCGCTGAGATAAGGACAAAAGGGATCATGAGCTTGAGGGTGAGGAGCGCGCCTTGGGAAAAGGGGTCGAAGATAGGGAATAATCGGCATACGCTTTCGAGAGAGAAAGATGATACTGAAGCGACGTTGCCTGTGCTGAAGAATGCGGCTTGGAGGAGCACGAAGAAGAAGAGGGCCACGCGCGCGTCTGAGAGGGATAGTGGGCGGAACTGAGATGTGACTTTCTCGACGACTGCCTCGGCAGTTGATTTGGGAGTCTTTTCGACTGCTTTGGAGGATTGGAGGAATACGTAGCCGTGGTGTTCTAGTCGAACCCAGGTTACCAGGGTAAGGGAGAAGGCAAAGTAAAAGAGCCCTTCGTATGATATCGTGAGTAGGACGAAGGTTGGTGCACATGTCAAGAAGATCACGAGGAGCCTGTGGAGATAATGGGGGTTAGGCTGGAGGCGATGGGCTAGAGGCATCAGGAATGATATGACTAGCACGAGCCAGCCGACTATTTGATTGCCTCGAGGTAAGCCTTGCTTTGCTTGTAATGATAAAGCGCTGGACCGGGTTACAATCATGGCAAGGATAACAAGACCGGTCTAAGTCACTGTTAGTAAGGGATACTATACACAGGGCCAAATGGAGAACCACTTACTTGTACTCCGATGAGAGCCCTTGAAAGACCATTATCTTTATTTTGGGATTGAGGTTTGGTAGAACCAGAGAAGTCCGCAAGTAGCTTATCTTCGAATATGAGGTAGATAATACCGACGGCTACCATTAGGGAGCCTCCGAGCATGCTGCTAGTGGTTAGTCACTGAATAGCACAATAGATATTTGGCAGTAACCTACATCAACTGCACATCTTCAACCTTGTTGGCGGGGAGTAATGTGAATGTACTCATTAAGAGGCACGAGGTGAACCACGTAGCACTGAGACTGAGATGTCTCTGGATGAAGGAGATACCCAGAAACACAGGGAAGAACGAAGCTATGATGAAGAGGACTGTGAAGACCTCACGGTGAATGTAACCAAGCGCCTAATGCGAGTTAGAACTTGCGTTGACGACTGGCTGAGGAAACGGTACATACCAGTGACTCAATAATCCCTACGTAGATGGTAAAGTTCAAGATGAATGACAAGACTTTGGTCCCCGTTTTGATGTGACCAAGTAAAACTTGCCTTCCTCTCACCAGACTTTCCCGGCGTGCGTACACTTCCTCCCAGAATAAAACCGGGAAAAACGCATACGCATAATATGTCAAGGGCGACTCAGAGATGTATATGGAAGCGTACAGTGAGACAAGGATAGATGAAAAAAAGATAGTCCCGCTGACTGTTCGCGACGGCTCTGCCGTACCTTGTAAGACGTGTAAGTCGATGACGGTAGTTAGTGCGAAGGCCATCCAGCCTAGATACCCTATTGTGACAAGAGCTCTAAGGAAAAGCCAGTCGTATGTCTGTAGATAGCGCATTCCCTCTAGGCCGAGCTTCATCAACGCGGCACTCTCCTCGATGGCTTCCTCGTAACGTCCTGATTCGATCAAATCACTAATCGACGAAAACCGAGCGCTAGGAGTCTTTCCGTGCTCTGCGCTCAAGGGTTCGTAGGGCTGATATCTTAGTTGTTTGGATTCTTTGTTTGCCTCCTTCACACGATACATCTCTAGGATTTCTTGAGCATTTACAAACGATGCTTTGGCTTTTCCCTTGGTATCTGCTGATAGATATGATAACGGTAGTTCGCCCACAGAATTCGCCGGGAATTCAAGGCCAACCAAATAAGCCATAAGCGCGGCGACGTCAGCTTGCTGCGTATCATGTCTTTGAATCTGATCGAGATTCCAGTCCGCAGAGTATTCATCATGCCCAGGCGCTATGCCCTCCTTGTATATCTTGGGTTTGGCGACGCCAGAGCCCCAAACTATGAGGGGTGTTCTGGTATTATCTGGATGACCGTCTCCATGGCTTCCCCAATCGCTCATTCCGTGATCCGCCGTGAAAACGAAAGCTGTTCTGTCGTCGGCATAAAACTTATTGATCAGGTTCGTTATTTCCTTTACTCCTTCGTCTACGACCTTGATGTTATTCAAGTACTCTTTTGAATAGGGCCGATAGGAATGGCCAGCTGTATCCAGCCCCAAGAGATGGAGGAAAAACACTATTTTATCTTCTCGAAGGGCCTTGTTCAGAGTGCTGTTCTTCTCTGCAGCGGCAAAAAGTTCTTTCACATGGTCAAAAACCCAGAGATCAAGGTGGAGCGCATCTTGCGAAAAGTCCTCAAACTCGGCATCGTAAAAGTCCGCATCTATCCTACCCGGTGTGGCGCCTTGCTCAAACATAGGAAGAATATCTGGGCTACCCCAGCTCCATGTATGCCTGCTTCGATTGAAGACACTGTCAAAGTTGACAGGATTGAGTTTCCAACCCGTCGCGACAGCTGAAACATCTTCGTATAGACCAGCAATCAGGGCAACGTGACCGGGACGGGATTCGGTGGGCACTCTTGTATGGGACACGCCGAATGTGCCATGTTCCAAGACGCGGGACCGCAGGAAGGGCGCGAGTGGTCGCGGGGTTAGATCCTGGTCGGTTTCTGGATATGGCTCGGGAAACGATTGGAAGGTTTTGTCAGCGCGCAATCCGTCACCTAGAAGCGCAATGTCAGCACCTGGGAGCCCCCTCTGTCCATACGATGAAGTAATCCATACCAACAAAGAGCACAAGCCTATCGGCTGGGGCTTTTTCTCCGGCTGGCCTCTCCAGCTGGAACAGCTGCATGCCACTAACAATTGGACTGACAAAGTAGATATCAAAGATTGAGTAGAGATATACCAGGTGAAATACCATGGCTATGGCCAAGAACTTGAAGCGACTGACGCCCGCCATGGTGAGACGTCGCAACGATTAGATTTAGAGCAAGCGGTCGAGGTTCGCAATTCAGGATGTATGGGACGATGTAGGATAGGGTAGACGACAGGATCCATGGAGATCCGGATTAGGGACAAGAATCGTGCAGTGAAGTCGTATGTGATTATGATCTGACGGTGGTAAATACAATCGTCGTAAGAGCCGTCGTGGACTTATATGTGTCCACACGAAAATAAGTAAAGTATGATCCTCGACATTGGTAGTGGTGGTGGTGATGGTGATGACCGTCAAGGTCCCTAAAACTTAGTAGCAGTAGCTTAGCAGATCTAGGCAGATCTAGGTTAGGTAAGTGGTAAAAGTCCACTGTGTCCAATTCAACGGCTTCTACCAAGACACCTAAGCCTGTTAAAGCTAGACTCTATCCTCTGCTCGGTAGTATTCATGCAGCTAAAGTCTTAACTGGAACAGTATAACATTTTACCCCTGCAGAAGGAAACCCTCTGCCCCTGTCTCTGCCCTGTCCAAAGGATTTGGGATAGGAGCTGACCATACCCAGGCAGACTGGAGGTAGGTAACGAGCACAGCACCTACGAACAAGATATACCTAAATAATTGAGCAGCTTACACGATGAAGCCCATGTTTGTGATTCTGATCAGGCTGCATATACGCGCATCTTGTGCTATTACGAGGCCAGGAAAATCTCAAATGTCACTCTATAGACTACCTAGGTATGTCTCAAGCCCCTCATAACGCCAGAATAACTAGATGGGTATCATAAAGCATCGTAACCACACCATCTGCCCGATTTGTCCAGCCTTGTCTTGAACGTTCACACCCTAAACTGCTTAGTTCAATGGGTAAAGTCCCCATACACCAGCCGCTAAGGCCGTGAATTACTCTGGTCGGTCATTCAAGGCCTTCACCACTCTTGAATAGAACTTCGCCGCATGTAACCGCGGGAAAGTAATTTCCTCGACAAGATAATCCGGCAGCGTATCGATCAGCTCCTGGTCTCGAGCGCCATCAAGCTGAGGCATGTACATGAACTGTGCATCTTCGAACTTGTCTGATGACCCATCGAGTGCAATCGACAATTTGAAATGGAGAGCTGTGAAATCATTCATTAGTCTCATTCTCCCTCGCTATGTTGCTATTCATTCAACTTACTTCCATTTCTACCTGTTTGCACACAGTCGAACACTTCTTCATCATTTTCTCGCTTAACGCCGCAGACCAGCAAGCCCGTCAGGTCCCCATAGAGGTTTTCTTTCTTCTGTGCCACTTGAGCTGCAGCTTCTGCAGCGTTGATAGCATGTCGGTTATTTGCAAAGTTGTTCTTCATGGCACTACCGGGAATCTTTACGTTGGCTGGCTCTGCCGATCGAGCGGCAGTAAGTTTTGTCGACAATGTCTTGATTTCAGCCTTCGCTTCCGTCAAAGAGCCTTGTAGTTCTTCAACCTTCTTTTGACTGTCTTCAAGCTGCTTTCGAAGTTGCTCGACCTCTTTAGCTACCTCTGTCTCGCCGGCTAACTGGGCCTTGAGAGTGGCGATGAGCTCTTTATCCGCTATTAAACGTCAGTATAATCCTCGTAGTTATGTGTTAAGTTCAAGGTGAGATTACTGTTTGCTCTTTCTTCGCTTTGCTTTCTTAGTCGATCGAAATTTCGCTCTGCTTCCTGAACACCAATTTCCCGTAGATCACGATATTTAGCTTCGAGCGCCTCGTTTTTCCGAGTAAGTTCTCCAATGCGCCGTCTCAAGCTTGGGTCATTTAGTTCGGAATCAGAAGCGGAAACAGGCCTTCGGCTGGCAGTAAATAACGTTTTGGATTGAGGTCGTTGAACGGAGGATATCCCTTGACTAAGATACCGAAAAGGTACCACCTCTATTGGATCATCTTCCACTATATCGGTGTCTGCTATATCAACTTGCTGAGTTTCAGGAATCTCTATTTCTGGCTGTGTCTCGGGAATTTCGGCGACCTCGGCTTTCTCGGCTTCAACATTAATCTTGGGTTTGCGTCCTCTTCTGACAGGCTGAGGTGGAGTGGTTTCACTCTCCATGACCGATAGCTCGTCTTCCTCCTCAGCCTCAGCAAGTCTTCGTGCCTTAGTCACCCTTGGTCGTCCTCTTCCTGGCCTGGGCTTGGCTTCGGTATCCTGGTCTTCTGGCGCATCAATCGCATCGCTAGCAGGTCGTTTTATGCCTCTGCTTTCTGTCGAGTCCTCTTGGATGTTCCCAGCTTTCTCAGCCAGCGCATTCCGTGCCGATGCTCGTGGCACTCGAGTTGACTTGGCTACTCGGCCTGTTGCGGCGGCGCGGCCTCTCTTTGCGGGAGGCATGGTTTTCGTTAATGGCTGTGTTTGATGGGTAAATAGGTCCAAGTCCTGCTCCAAGTCCAACTCAAGTAGCGTTGTGAGCTTTCCCCTTGGCATTGACTGACTGAGATAGTTAAATCGCGATATAAATGTTGAGAATAGTCTTGAGTAAGTGCAGTCCTATAGACGAGCGAGGCGATTATTAACTGTAACAGATGATAGCCTCAGTATGAGGGGTGGGATGTGTTGTCGCGATCAGGTCGCGCTCAAAGTAAACAAGCTGGTGGGGGTTGTAAATGCTGTAGGTACATGGATACTTAGATAAGAAGTACACTTTCCTAATCTGCAAGTCAGGCCCCACCATTTCCGATGTACCGATGCGCCGGGGCGGGAACACAAAGTAAGGGCTTGAGACTCTGGTAACGTTCTCTCTATTTGCATTTATCCTAGTATAACGTTACACATGCATTTATGCAATAAAGGCATGGGGCGACTCTCCCAAGTCCCCGTCCAATATCGCCTCGGCGCATCAGGCTTGGCCGTGATCTAAGCTTGGAGACCTGAATTAAAAGTCGCCTCACTTTTCTTCGCATTACAAGGGTGTCCCGATGTCTCTGTGGATATCTCAACCCAATACACCCATATTTCCGCGCCCATTCACCGTTGTCTGGGCCATTTGAGCAAGCACAAATGCTTCTCACCTGGCTGAAGGACACCTTCACCATGGTCGACCGCAAGAGAAAAGGTGCCGACTACATATGGGATGTGGTTCTATTATTAGGAACGGTATGGCGTTATTTCCTGAGCGCGAGTGGCGCTTTCTCTTGCTGACGCTTGAACAAGGCTGGCCTGGCATGGTACCTCACCAATAATGCCTTATCGAGTCTCCAAGGAACACTTGCCGATCCCGACAAAGAGAAACACGAACAAGCTCGTATCAGGGCGAAAGCAAACCTCTCCCGTTTACGAAAATCGCGAGAAAACGGCAATGGCGAAGGTGACGAAGCCTTTGGTGATGACTCGGCAAATGGAGGCCGGGAAGGAACCGAAGACCTAGTGTTGAATGAATATGAAAACATAGTTGCTCTTGAGGTCGTCGCACCGGAAGACATTCCCGTAGGGTTTGATGGTAAGCTACGATCCTCCTGCACCGGCATCACCAGCATATGTAGCAGGCACTGACTTTGGTTGAAGATATTGGTGGCTTAGACGATATAATTGAGGAGGTTAAGGAGTCGGTCATTTATCCATTGACCATGCCTCATCTCTACTCACATGCTGCACCGCTACTGTCAGCACCATCGGGTGTCTTGCTATACGGACCGCCGGGTTGCGGCAAGACGATGCTGGCGAAGGCCGTTGCACGTGAAAGTGGCGCGTCATTCATCAATCTACACATCTCAACGCTAACAGAGAAGTGGTATGGAGACTCCAATAAGCTAGTGCGCGCGGTATTCTCGCTCGCTCGCAAACTTCAGCCCACAATCATCTTCATAGACGAGATAGATGCTGTCTTGGGGACCCGGAGAAGCGGAGAGCATGAAGCTAGTGGGATGGTCAAAGCAGAGTAAGCCGATTTGTTTCAAGTTCTTCTAACATTCACTAAAGACATGCAGGTTCATGACACTCTGGGACGGTCTCACCTCCGCAAATACGCGTGGGCTGCCAGCGCGAATCGTTGTCTTGGGGGCAACCAACCGAATTCACGACATCGATGAAGCAATCCTAAGGCGAATGCCCAAGAAATTCCCAGTCTCATTACCTGATAAAGCACAAAGACTTCGGATCTTGCAACTTCTGCTGAAGGATACGAAGACAGAGCCTGACCATTTCAATATGGAGTACATCGCAAGAATCACGGCTGGTATGTCGGGTAGCGACATCAAGGAAGCTTGTCGAGATGCTGCCATGGCACCAGTTCGCGAATACATTCGGGAACACCGGGCGAGTGGGAACGCCATGTCGAGCATCGACCCAACAAAAGTACGCGGCATTCGGACGGAAGATTTCTTCGGGCGAAAAGGCGGCGGGCAAATCCTGATGCAAAACCATTCACGTGCCAAGTCTTCCAGTGACGAGTATGAGGATGTCGAGGATGAAGAGGAGGTTACAGCGGACACATCAACGTCTGCTGCAAAAGTCACGGAGCAATCGGCATGAGCTATTTCTGGGTTGACATGAGGACTTAGACTGCTTTGTCAAGGCGTTACGGAGCACCAGGTTTGATTATCAACCTATATGTCTTGTTCATATTATGGGATTATATACAGGACGGATATAACTAGACAAGCCATCGATGGTGTATAAACATGGGAATGTATTATGGAATATTATCATAGCCGTCTCCTGAACACGAGAACGTACAAAGAAGCGACCTGGGTTGTAGCTACAATGATCAGAATGGAGTCTATGGTTCCTAGCTCAATGCTTCTCCAGCGCACGCGACAGGTGCCGATTCATTCGTCCTCGCCAAGAGTGCCTCGGACATAATTAGCCATATCAATCCATTTCTGACCGACCCACGGGGCGCGGCAGTCGGTGGGACAAGGAGTCAGAATGCGTGCTTCAATAGCGGTTTGAGCCGTCTTTGACGAGGTGGGGTTCCAAAGCACGTCATCCTGCTAAAGTCGCGACCGAGGGTCCTCACTTGTTCCCCGGACTTTTTAGAGGATTTTTAGAGGCCCGATAACCGGAACGCAATCAGTAGATACCTACTAGGTAGTCTAAGTTGACTCCTCCTCCTCCTCCTCAACGTCGGGCCTGGGACTGGCTGAACATCCTGGAGCAGAATTACCTACCTATTCTTACCGGTTCCTGAACATACATATTCATCCAATTGTACCTCGCCATCACCACCTAAAGTTATCCCATTAGCCCATTGTCCAATTGACTTGGACCCCGCCAACGTCTCCCATCTGTCTCTACTTACTTACCTGCTGAACCATCGCTTGCCTGTGTCTTCCTAGTCCCTTCATCACTGTTTGTTACCGCGAGGTAGATTGGAATCAAAGAGGACATCATGTCGTCTTCACCACCACCACCAAACAACGACTCCTCGTCCTCGTCGTCTTCCAATGGCAGCGATGCTACCAAGCCCATCAACAAGGCCTTCGCCAAAGTAGACCTCGACGGCCATAATCTCCCTCCCTCGCCCGCTCCTTCGAGCCCCTCGGCCGGTCGGCGCCGATATGCCCTTGCCACTGAGCTTGTGTACACCGACTCCAAGGATCAATATGGCGCCTCGAGCATCCCCATCTATCAGTCCGCTACATTCAAGCAAACCTCCTCCGCAGGCGGAAATGAATACGACTACACACGGTCCGGCAACCCTACCCGCACCCATTTAGAACGCCACATGGCCAAGATCATGAATGCCACCCGCGCCCTAGCTGTAGGGTCCGGCATGGGTGCCCTCGATGTTATCACTAGACTCCTTCGTCCCGGAGACGAGGTTATCACGGGTGATGATCTCTATGGCGGTACCAACCGGCTACTGACGTACTTATCATCCAACCAAGGGATCGTTGTGCGCCATGTGGACACTACTGTTGTGGAAAGAGTAAAAGAAGTCATATCAGACAAAACCGCCATGGTGCTGCTTGAGACCCCAACCAACCCACTGATCAAGATCATCGACCTGCCTGCTATTGCCAAATTCGTTCACGAAGCGAACCCCAAGGCCCTTGTTGTGGTCGACAACACTATGCTATCGCCCATGCTCTGCAATCCTCTCGAGCTAGGCGCAGACATCGTCTATGAGTCAGGCACCAAGTATCTGTCGGGGCACCACGACATTATGGCGGGCATTATCGCTTGTAACGACCCTGCCATTGGTGATAAGATGTACTTTACTATCAATTCGACTGGTTGTGGTCTCTCACCTAACGACTCGTTCCTCCTCATGAGGGGAGTCAAGACACTAGCTATTCGTATGGAGAAGCAACAAGCAAATGCTCAGATGATAGCTGAGTTCCTCGAGTCACATGGATTCCGCGTCCGTTATCCTGGTCTCAAGTCACACCCACAGTATGATCTCCACTGGTCAATCGCCCGGGGCGCCGGAGCTGTCCTATCCTTTGAAACTGGAGATATAGCTCTGTCGGAGCGGATTGTTGAAGCTGCCAAATTGTACGCAATCAGCGTCAGCTTCGGGTGTGTCAACAGTCTTATCAGCATGCCATGTCGCATGAGCCACGCCAGTATCGATGCGAAGACCAGGGCTGAGCGGCAGATGCCCGAAGACTTGATTAGACTTTGCATCGGCATTGAAGATGCCCAGGATTTAATTGATGATCTGTCTCGTTCGGTGAGTAGAGTAACATCCGCAAACATCATTGCACGACCATGACTAACACCCACAAAGCTCGTACAAGCTGGTGCTGTAACCATTACCCTCGACGGCTTCCATGCAACAGGAACTGCACCAACGAATGGTGATTCTGTATAGAAACTACTTCGCCTTATCTAGAAATTCTGCAGGATCTCGTACTACCCCTACGTCAGAGCACACGCTGCAGGTCTCGGCTAGAATTAGTCCTGCACACTCATTACTCCTTAGGCATTTGTACTCATTCCACCACATGGCGCTGTAGGAGACACACGGAATCGCTGTATTTCCCCTGGTCACATGTCTCTGGCTCATCATTGACGAATCTACATAACCCAGACTAGGCCAGATGATTATCGCTTGCTGTGTGCCCTGTCCACTACTATTAGTCTCAGTGGCCACTAGAATTGCGAATGGGGAATTTCTCACGCAGAGGGCAACTGCTGCGTCACTTCACTGAAGGGAAGCGCTTTCCTTGACGACTCCGCAACCCATCGCTCTAACATGACTCTGTTTGGGGGTTCGGTTTTCGTACCGACTGGAGTTTTAAAAGGTCCGCTATGGTCTAAGTTAGAAAAGGCTAGAAAAAGCGGCTGCTGGCAACAAACGTTTTAGCAGGTTGGTCGTTGTTGTTGGCTACGCTATGAGGCATGTTGTCTCAATGTAAAACTTGGTTGGTTCTTGTCACGGGAGACAAGTATCAGAATTAAACAAAAACTGGACTGGAGCGAGAACAAAATAATGACACACTTGAATGACCTCTCAAAATGACTTGGGATGAACAGTGCTGTATCGCGTAGGCATCAAGGCAATGCCAAACCCCCTCATTTTATAGTCGCAGATGCCAATCCATAGCACTCCGACTGGGTATTCGATTCGCGATATGTCCCATCTAATACTGCCAGTCGTGCAATGACTGAGGCTTTTCGCAGCTTTGTCATATCACGCAAGATTGTTAAGTGTCCTTTTGTCATTGGTCCTCGAGAGAGCAGGGGCTGGGGTAGACGATCGCCAAACTGATGCTCTCTCCGCAAAGATTTGATCATTCTCACGATGTTGTACGATGGACGGCTTAGGCTCTCGTAGGCGAGCGAAGGACCTGTCACGTATGTAGGTTGCTGTCAGGCCCATTCCTAGGACCGTCGCACGACGCACGAATATCGTGGCTTTGTGGATGATTTTTTTTCTTTGCTATGCCTCAATGAGGACCAAGGCGCGCCCCTGTTGTCTTTCATATCCTCGCCAATTGGCTCCTTGAGCGAACCGCCCGATCGACTACCCCCCCTAAAGGAGGGTAAGACAAAGCTTACTTGACTGAAACCTGCCATCATCGATTGAAGGCCTCGGCGAGGTTCGTGTTGTTCGCTCGTCCTCCACACCTCCGTGTCGACTGCGCCCTGCAATTCCCATTGGCCTCCGTACCGGTGCTCACCTTTATTGCATGTCCGCGACATTAGTGTTTTCCCTTCTCCGTGTCCTCTCTCGGTGAACTAGGGTATGATCAACCGGTGAGGCTAAACAACGCGAAGATATGTCTGCCTTTTCAAAATGAAACTTGGTTGCAAAAAACAGCAAACCTCGATTTCTCCTCATAATGCGTGTTTCTTTCTCCCAGCCTACAAATTTGAGTCCTGTCGCTGACGGAAAAAAAGTTGCACGAGATTCCCAAGTCCTCGCATACCCCAGGCCGAGTAAGGGTCATGCGTATGCGGGAAGCCGTGGTCTATAGTGGTCTCGTCTTGTCGGTATTCTTGGCAGACAAGACCCGCCCTCTGCCCTCCCGCGCACTGTCGACGCCTGTGGCAGCGGACCTATTGCTCGGCTTTTCGTGAGAATCGATTGGCGTTTGTCAGTTCCCATGGAGCTTTCTCCGTGGACTCCCGAATAATTTTCGAGTTTGCACATCTCTTCTTTTTTCGCCTGACAGCCTTTTCCTGCAGAATCTTGGTGGCACGCCCCAACGCGGGAAGCCGCAGCGCGTTCCACGTCAAAAAGAGCCCTGAAAGCGAAGCTATCCTTGCCTGTTGTCTGTTTGTCTTGTCTTAGCTGGATCCAATTGGGGATGACCCTGCGATCGTAGAGGCATCGTGAGTTGGAGAAGGATATGTGCGAAAAGTCCCTAAGGAGAGGAGGGGAGAAAGTAGCGGTCAACGACGAACGCGACTCGCCTCATTGTTCTAACCAAGGACGGGCCGTCCTCCTGCCTATCCCCTCGCACACTCAGGATCGATGCTGACTGACCACGCCTCACATCCCACGTATGCGAGGAGCAAACAATGCCAGGGTGCTGGTAGCCACAAGCGAGGAGGATAAACTTGACGATCGCGATCGCTCTCACCCGCCCTGTGTCCATAGGCCTCAATGCTGCTTGCCCCCAATATGGTCCCGTGCATCGATTTTATGTGATAGAGCTCTCTGATTTGCCCTCTGTCGTCGTTATTACGAGTTTCTCACATTCCTTTATGCCAGAAGCCGAGAAACAGCAGCAACAGCCACCGTAGGAAGTAAATCCATGAGGAATGTTGTCCTCCACGCTTTTCATTCTTTTCGCCTCATTTTTCACCTTTCGGAAACACCCCCCGAAATACCGAACACTGACGAGAGGATGACGATTGATTCGTGGTACGGACTGGGACAGACTGACAAAATTCTGCAGAGATTGGTAGATGGAAGAGTAAGGGGATTTAGAGTTAGTCCATAGAAATTAGGTTATCGACGCAGAAAAAAAGTTTGACAATACAGACACAACGAGCATTTAAAGGGCTATTATGTGACGATAGTTCAAATGAATTTGGCAAAAAAGGGGGGACTACGTAAATGATATACACTGCTAGCCTATCTGTCCGTCTATATTGCTTCTTCGACCGCCCTTTCCTTGCCGCCGGCTATGAGATGATTGATGGTAGGACTAGATAAGAAAGATCACGTAGTCCGGCTGGATATTACCCGACTTCTAGACCACGTCTGGGTTGGATAGATTGGCGGTGATTTGACACGCGCTTTCTGGACACAGATGTATGTCCGCGGCACGAACGGCACGCATGCTACACACATACTTACTTACTTACTTACTTACTCACTTAGTACCTTACTTGCCTGCCTGCCTACCTATGTATGTATATACATATTGGTTTGACTGTACACGCATCTATACTACGCGGAGGGACAATAGGTATTTTTAGAACCAGATACGTGGCAAAGCAATATACATCGAATAATCATGCCCTACAGCTACATATTACTCTCTAATGAATTAATCACATTGTTCAACTTGGTTTTACTATCTAATCGGCATCGCTTCATTGCCTAGGTATGCCAATGTTCGCATCGCTGCTTATATGTAAAAATCTTGTGAGGAGAGGGGGGGAAATGCTGAAGATGGCGCTGTGTCACGACGGCGCTGGATGACGCCATATCCACCCGTCTACATCACGCTGCATACTTACTGTATACCTGTGTCCCTTTGCCTCTGCTTCTGCCTCAGGGCTAGGCTAAGATGATGTACAGTAACTCGGTACGAGACCTTGGCGCGGAATACGCAGGAGCTAGGTAAGCATTGTGAGGTAAAAACTGCCATTTTCGCCGGTTGTTGATTGGGTCGTGGTATGATTTGGATGATAGATAGGCCTCATGTCTTTCATTTGTCTTTTATTTTAGTTTTATTTCACTCTTTTTGCTTTTGTGTTTTGCTACAGGCACGACGTGTTGGAGACAGCTATACTGGATGTTTACGCCGGGATGAGATACTTCATAAACACGCTGATTTCGGTATGAAGTGCATCGCGCTGTCGCGCGTATCATATTGCTTTCTCAACTTGAAAGAGTTGAAACGGTGTGTATTGAACAGAAATGGTGCACTATACTAAGGTTGCTGACTGAAATATGCCGATCGAGGCCGGGATTAGGACTCTACTGTGTGAACCTTCGAACTTTATAGATAGAACATGATACTCATTGGAGTTCAAAGTGTAGATAAAAGTTATAGATGAGGGAGTGAGTGAATGATTAGATGCCTGGGTCGAGATTTCTCGTCAGGGCAGCACCGCGAATGTAACCGCAGCCGATGTTTACAATTCGACCAATACTCCTCATGTGAAAATAGCAGACGATGGGCAAGACAATATTGTGTCGTCGTCTCCTATAGTGACACAGGGGTTCGCTTTTCTGTCGAGCTCCAAGATAACTTATATACCTGCCACGCCGGTCTACAATATCGTGCAAGACTGAGTCCCCAGCACTTCATACTATATTCTGGAGCTCACTGACGACAGATTCATCAAGCCTTACAACGTCCTGTTAATCTTCGCGAGTCCGCATCCCATCTTGACTGCGAATCTTGTGCCATTTGTGTCGGCGCCAGGGAATTGCATGGTCTACCTTGAAGACACACTCTGAAATAGGCAACTGCGTGACTCGGGACGGATGGCGGTAATGAATGCAAACCAAATGAAAAAAGGCTGAGTCTCCATGGATAATGATATACTAAGTAATGTAGTTGTTCGTTTACATTGGGTCAGTAGCGAAGTTGTTAACAGACGTCTTCTATCCAATTTTGAGAAGGTCTTCAGGGGTAAAAAGGGGGTGGCCTTGGCAGAAGAGGCATCATTTGCCCCGAGTAGATTCGGCCGTTTTTTCCCATTCAATACGGTGCCCTATTTCCATCAACACGCCGATGACAACAACAGATGACTTATGGTGATTCTGAGATGTCTAACATTGCGCCAGGTGCCTGGCGGATGATATGGTTGTTGCTACCTGAGTGACGAGAGCCGAGCAGTGGTCATAAAAAATGTTTATTTAGAAGACGACGGGCTATGTGATACCATAAAGTTTTATTACCCTTGTATTTTATGAAAAAGAAAAAGAAAAAGAAAAAAACGAGATATATAAACGAAGGCAAAATTTCAATTCTGAAGGAACTTGACAAGAGATAACTTTTATTATACAAAGGCATATTTCTGAAACTATTGTATTTTACAGCTCCTCGTGTATCAAACTGAATAGATGATGAATACATATAAAATCAAGGTTGTAGGAGCCTGTAAGTGAAACGGTAGGTAACACACATCTTTGTTTCTGTTCTCTGCTTGGTCACACGGGCTTTAGCGAGATTATATAGATTCTACCGTGAGTTTACAACGACGAGCCTCCACGATCAACGAGTCGAAATTCCTATAGCTCTGAACAGCAATGGCCACCACAATCAATCAAAGTTCGAATCGAAATGACAACTTAGATGAGCACATTGGTATTTCCGAGTTAACAAATACTATAAGTACTCGCTCAAGATACAGCTATTTGTTCATTGAGAAGACATCACTGCGCCAACTACGAGGATCACAAACAGGCATCGTGGTGCTCTAGAGATTCGTCATGATAGGGGTTAATGAGCCCCCCTTAGAGAATATCCGGCTCTCTTTATCTTTCAAATAAAACACTGTATTACACCCATATTTCGCTTCTCACCTGTCATGGAGGTATGTCCCGGAGTGAGTAGAAGGTCAGTCACAGTCAAGTAGGTAGGTAGAAGGGTAGTATAGGCGTCAATATTCATTGAATCCTGAACCCTCCAACCCTCGAAGGGGGGGCCAACACCCCTTTATATAGCCAGTAGGTCTAATACAGCCACCCCTAGGGTCTATGTGACTATATCACCTGACATCATCTCGGAATACCCGTCGTCCTCGATACGAACTTGCTACAAAGAAGAAATCCATGAAATATTGCTACATCCATTCTCGTTCCTACACAAATGAAATGGAAGCCTTCGCTTCTCTCCATCTCGACTTTTCCTTATTACAATAGACAACTCGATAACCACATATATCATCCATCACCCGTATATCTCAAAGCCGGAAAGGACCTGTTCCCGAAACCTCTTCTTCTACCGCTCAACTAAAACTTCCCCAGTCGCCGAATTGCCCTCTCCAGCTGATGTCTGTGAAGATAAACACACTGATAAACGCCGTCATCTTAAAATGGTGAATTTCGAGCATCTACATCTCCGCACGAAGTTTAGCGATTCGTTTTGGGTCAGGCTGGAAGAAACCCAAGTGCTCCGAGTCATAGGACAGGTATTCGGGTGATCAGGAGGAGCATGTGCCCGTACCTGAACTAGTCGAATGAAGGAGCTGGGGAGAGCTAGAATTGAATCATCTTTACGAGTTTGCTCGACAACTCGACGCTAGGAGATGCGTGGGCGGTGCTTATTCAAGAGGAAAAGGAATTCATCTGTAGTCAGTTAAGACAGGCTGTGGCCGCGCTCAGCGGAGCCCAACATCATTCGACCCATCCATTTGTGTCCTATGTTTGATTTAGACAGTTGACTTTCGCGCATCATGAGCACTTATACGCGCTCTACCTATACTTCCGCGACGAACCCTAGCCCGGGCCATTAGCAACGTCAAACACTTTACGTCAAACACTCTAGAGATTGTGTGATGCTAGGCTCTACTCTACAGTTGTTGAGATCTGAATCGCCCTAGGAGGCATATCTATGATTGCCTCCTACACATGCAGCATCTATTTCACTCGCGGTGAGCTTGGTCTTGAATATACGATTGTTTCTAAAGCACAGGGCTCGTGCAGTGCCGCTGGGGTTCTGGATTGCGAAAGAGGCCGGTTGGCATCCCGGATATTGGACGTTTTAGTGATATGAGTGGTGTGAGGCTGGATGGTCTGACTTGCTCATGACCCCTTATGAAGATGAACGCACGGCTACATCCAGTACGCGGATGTGGCCGTGGGCATGCGATTAAGTAGAACGATTGTATTAAGTCGGGCCAACAAGCTCTTGACAGCTCAACTTCACATGTCTTCATTCTCTTTTTCGGCTTACAATTACATAGCCGTGGGCCTCAGCGAGCCAGGCATCTTTCAACTGCTTTCCTATAAGTCCAGTACGTTCCAAAGAGGGCACGCTTGAAGGGCCCTTCTAATACCCATTCAGCCTCGGCCTCATGATGATATCATGTGTACCGTATATGGCCATGCTAACGATTCGTATAAACTAATTCCATAATTTATTTGTGAGAACGGCTGTCTTACTTTGACATGTCGATGCCAAGCGAAAACGGTGAAACCTGCTTATTACTTACAAGTTACTAGTGTATCTGTAGTGTAGATATCCGTCTTGATCTGATGATAGTTTCAGTGATAGTCAGTGCTACGGCCCTACCTTAGGCCACCTATTAGGTACCTACCTAGGATACCTATCAGGGCTTGGCTAGTGTAGCGCGGGTATAGCCCTTGGCCAATGGCCTCCGCTGTAGATTCTTAGGGTGCCCTTAGGTGTCAGAGTCAGCCCACCTGCAGAATTCAAGAACAGAACAGAACAGATGGAATTCTCGAATAGGACACACCCACGCCCTCCATCCGTTCCATTGTTCCATTCGGGATTCGGATGTGCACTTCTTCTTTTCTGTAGGCTAGGCGGTGGCTAGGCGAGGATTGAAACAGCGAATGAATGAATCGTGTATACGGAGTATACATGACGTTTTTACCCTACTGGCCCTACTGTATGCGACGCTGATCATATTAGTACCTAGCGGGTAGCTAAGTGGTTGGTACCTCGCATCGCTCATTGACGATTGATGCCGATATTCCGTTGGACGTCTTGTCTTGTCTCGTCTCTGCACTTTATTCAAACAACAGACCTTGTACGACACCACTATCATCGCTAAAGCACGTCGCTAGGTGTTGTCTAGAACGTCAAGACAATAAAAAGTCGCACATCTTAGGTAAGGAGACTACCTGTTGCTAGTGGCGCATTATCTACAATTAATCCTATAATTAATCTGCAATGAGCGACCCGCTGCACATGCCAACGCGTAAGTTAGGTAGAGTGCAACCGGGTCCAGCTAACCTTGGAACTAGGCAATTTCACCATTTCCGTCCGCTTCTGTCCTGGCTGTCCTCTCCTGGCCAGCCTGTGTGGTAGGGGAGCGAGTGTAGATCTATCTTGCTAGCGCATGGTCCGAAAAGCCACCCTTGTCCGTCAGTCAGTCCCTGTGTGCCTGTCGAGCCTGTGTCCCTGTGTCCCTGTAACCAGGACCTACTACCAACCGCCAACCAACTACTACTATACATCGTATTACCACCACCACCACCATCGATAAGGCCGGCCCATCGAACCTCGACTTCATTCCTCATTCCACCTCTCAAGCCTCAGATCTCCCTCACTCGGGATCCCGACTCCTACTGTAAAGTCTGATGTCGGATTGCAAGTCGAAACCCATGTCATCTCGTTAGCCCGCCCGCCCGTCCGTCCGTCCGACCGACTGACCGACAGATCGTTGTCAACCTCCCTTGCTTTGATGCGCTGTGGCCTTGAGGCCCGCGTCCTGCGGATCCCAACATTGTCCAACCGTCCGTAATTCCCTCTCCGCTTCAGCATCGTGGACCGTGGAAGATGGCCGACCAGACATTGAAGCCGCCCATTTCGAGGTCCTCGACCGCCTTGACACCCGCTGGCGTTGACAACCCCACCACTGCACGGTCAAGAAACAGGAGAGCCCCGAACAGCAATAATGCACCCAACACCGCAACGTCGCCCACCGGTGGTCCGTCCCGCCAAAGCCCCTCGCCGAGCCGGGGCGTGAGTCCCATGCCATCTGCGCGCCTCTCCAGCACTAAGCTCCAGTCTGGCGGTTTGTCAAGCCCCCTCAATGGCGCTTTCTCCCGCGGCCTGCTCGAAGGCTCCTGGACCCCCAACTGGTCTTCGGTTCAAGACTTTGCTACGTCGCTACTCGATGGTGGATATAGCAGCGAGCCTTCGCGCCCCAACAGCAGGAACGGCCCCAAGTCGCAGCCAAAGTCATTCTGGAAGGGCTTTGGAGCCTTGACCCGCAAAACGTCTGAGACATGGGGCCCAGCCCCTCTATCAAATGACCGCCCTGCACCAGATGACATCGCCGCGGGTTCTCGCGCCAGGCGGGAAGCAGAACTGATGGCAAGGAAAAAGGCCAGCGTGCTGGAGAGTCACGAAGGAGTGAATGGGGGGCTAGATATAACTGGCAAATACAAGAGGAGGAACTCGGACGAAAACATGCGGAGCGTGAGCCAACCGGTTATAGAAGAATTTCTGGTGTATCTGCATCATGTACAGCCTACGGACACGTACGCCGGCATAATCCTCCGCTACAGATGCATGGAGCATGCATTGCGCAAGATCAACGGCTTATGGTCGCGGGACAACATCCAGATTCGCAAGCATCTCTTGATTCCTGTGGATGCTTGCGAGACTAAAGGCAGACCATGTGATCCTCCTTCCCTTCAGTCTCAAAAAGTCGACCACCTAGCTATGACGCCCCAGCCCTCTAGTGTTAGTGGCCTCGGTGATGATTCACAACAGCGGTTGCACGATGACTACTTCGGGTCTTTGAACGGGAAAACGAATGAGCACGCAATACAAGAAGCTGATGAACGGCCGTGGACCCACGTACGGTGGGTGAAGTTGGATTCTCTACAGGAGCCAGTGGAGATAGTGAGAGTTAAGCGCACGAACGTAGGGTATTTCCCGCCTAGGAGAAAGAAGAGCATCCATACCGCTTCGACCTATTCCACTCCGCGTCAGTCCCTTGAATTATCGAAGGCGGTTTCAAACACTTCTGTAATTGCAGGGAGTCCCGGCGGAAACTCGTCTAGGCGACAGAGCACCATCAGCACACGGCCAGCGGCCTCGAGTCTTAGTTTCGGCTCGCCTGCGTCCGGTCGGAGCCGAGGCAATAGTCTGGGGCAGATGGAAGGGGTTCCAGCGTGGATGCGCAAACCAGGAGGTGTGGGATCGATGGGGAAGAGCGTCAAGGCACCAGGCCCAGCCAATGACTCCTTCAATACATGGGTCAACAAGCGACTGCCAGGGTTTAACATTGACTCGCTCCCCTCCATGTCCGTCATGGGATCTGAAACTGCACATTTCGGATTCTCGGCAAAGACGGAAGAAAGCACCGGTATTGTGGAAAGTCCCTTTGAAGAAGGGCGCGACGCGACAGCCCCCTCACGGAATGGCGTTGGTCTGGAGAATGCTGCAGCATCCATCGAAACGTGGTTACGCGGGGCTTGGGCGAAGCGGCCTGGCACACCAAAGCTAGGATCGCTACGGAAACCCCCTGATGACCTCGATCTCATCGAGCTTGCGGATACGACTAGTGATGACGGACGGCCTGGCAATCCCATTGGCAGCTCCTCCTCTCACGGCAATATTTACGACCAGAACATCCACGGCTCAACGAGTAGAAGCGCGGGAGAAGGCACGGCATCAATGCGCGGACGACCAATGCTAATGGGAGGTGATAAAGGGAAAAAGGCGGATTGAATTGAATTGCAATCGAAGAGACGAAAGGACGACTGAAACGTGCCACAGTAATGTTTTGCAGAAAGCAAAAAAGAACATTCTTCAATTGGGAACACCATAGACGGTTTTCTACCTACCGTTGTCGATTCGTTGAATCGATCCTTTTTTTATCACAACACATTAATATATCATCATAATACCCCTGAACGGGAATCGATTCTTGCTCATGTTTTATTCGGAGCGAACGTGGTCTGTCTGTCTGTCTGTCTGCATCATTGACGGCGTTTTCTTTTATTTTGAAAGGGGGGAATAAGATGAGCGGGTCTTCTTCTTCTTCTTTTTTTTTTGTATATACTTTGTCTAGTTTACGGACAACATTTCGTTTCAGAAGATTATAGATTAAACGCGGAAATCGTGTAGTTGTTAGTTGAAGATGTGTTGAGAAGTGTAGATGATGCGGGCTCCCTTTTTTTTTTTTTTTTTAAAACCCTCGAGCATATAATTTGACCCATAGAATAGATATATCCAACGCACTGCTCGTAAAGTACGCGGGTCTAGATCCTTAGTCTGAAATATTATTCAGTATATGTTTTTAACGTTCGATATACTCTGAATAATGACTGCGATTCAAGATTTAGATATACCTAGATCGGTACCGTGGGTTAAATATGTTAATACTTATTATGCTCGAATACCTACTTACGTCAGAGCGCGCGATAAGATAAGACATGCTATGTATGGTCTGGAGCTCAGACACGACTTCACATGTTCGCGGGGAGGGCATCTTTCTACCTACATAATCTTTATAACTAACGTTATTTGATAATCTTGACACCCTGGCGCACAATTCAACACGCAATCCACGTCCAACGAAGACGGAACAAGCAAGCATTTACATATATATCATTGCGCTCGTTAGTACTTTTTCCGAATATGGGATTGCGATTGCGATACCCGCCCGGCTTCGTGTTATAGCGGGGACCGAAAGTCGGACGAGGACGACGTATGCGACATACTCTCTCTCGCGCGCGCTACAATTGAAAGAGTTTCGAGAAGGATAGAAGAAGGGAAGAGCTGAAATACTCGCGCGAATCATACCCAGCCATACATACATACATCCACATACACATATTCACACAAATACAATCAAACATCATAGTGGTAGACGCAAAACAATGCCCATCTGCATCGAATGCCGGCACCCCGTCCGCACGCTCTGGACACAGTACAGCGGCGCGGGCGACGCGAGCTCGAATATCCGGCTCACGGTATGTCGGAACTGCGGGCGCTTCTGCGATAAATACGTCGAGCACGACTTCGTCGTGCTGTTTATCGATTTGGTCTTGATTAAACCGCAGGTGAGTGGGCAGGCAGGCGGACCTATACTTACTTGCGCTTGTTTTTGTTGCGGCTGGGGAGACTCGTGTGAAAGAGATAGCATGAGACGAGTATAGGAATGCTATGAAGATGGTGACAGGAAGGCATGCATGGGGAGGATGGAGAAAGGAACTGTATGGGTAACGACGCAGGCTGGGCTGACGAAATGATATCGCAGGTCTACCGACACCTTCTACATAACACGTTAATGCGCGACCGGGATCGATTCGATGTACGTCTTCTTCTCTCCGCTGCCCACTCAACGGAACCTCTGTCTTATTCAATACTTTATCCTCCCCGAACGCTAGATTACGTCCAGACGACTGTGTCGCTAGCTCTACGTGTGGGAAAAGAGAAAGGAGAAAAAGATGGCTAATTCAAACCCCTTTTCACAGCCATCTATAATCCGTCTCGGCACCCTCCTCCTCTTATTCGACGTATACCTAACGTGGGCGCGCATCGAGAAACAAGTCGTCCCAGACTCCTCTTCTTCTTCTACGCCATCATCAGACGCTGCGACGACGGGAGAAGGGGGGAGTAATCTAGGTGCATTAGCACAGCAACCTATCGTGTTCCAATATATCTTCTTCCGTACGTCCTTTCTCCCCCTTACATTTCCCCTTCCTCTCCCCGCTATCTTCTCCTTTTCCCTCCTTACATCCCCTGAATCTTTGCAAAACATCCCCACCCAACCATCCCACTAACATTCTTCCTCCCAGTAATCCTCTGCACCTTCTCGACCCTAGCCTTCCACCTCTCCATCCGCTTCCTCACCTCCTCCCCGCTATCGCCCTTATCCCTCCTCTCCTTCCTCCCCTCCTACCCGCGTCCCAACTCCGTCTCCACAGCCCTCCTCGTATCCTCCAGCACCAAGCTCTTCCCCATATTGATGGTCATCTGGGACTACGACGTGCCTGCCGCCGCCCGCAGTCTGGGCTGGGCCGTCGTCGCGAATAATGTCGAGGCCCTCGCCATCTTACTCGATTGCGGATACGGCGTCGCCGTCTTCCTGGCTGCGGCCGGAGCGGTCACCAGATGGCTTGTTGGAAGGGGGATACTTTGGTGCGTGGGTTTGCATGGCGTTGATTCCGTGGCGGAGAGCGATGTCGCTGTTGATGGACGTGCTTTGTGGGCGCTGCTTGGAAGGGTTAGGGAATGGGGGGGTATGTTGGCTGTTGGGTGAGGAGGGCTGCTATCGAGAGGGTTTCATAATTTATTATTATTATTATTGTTTTGACATTTAGCGAGCGAAATCTACCTTGTTTGTTTGTTCCCTGTTTCCAGAGGTAGGGAGGTTTTATTTCGAAGTGCGAGGTATGAATCACGCGATGTAACGGAATTAAACTGAATCCCTTGTATTGCGAAATGGGAATGGCATTATACATACGTTCATCTATCTATAACATAGACTCCCTTCCCCGACCTCCTCTTCCTCCCTCCATTTGTGGTGGCCATGGTGGTTGGAGGCTAGTATTCAGCTGTTGATACAAGGCATGGTAAAACCCTCTGTTCTCTTCTTTTTCCCTTTTCTTTCTTATTTAGTGTCCCCGCCTTATCCAGTCCTGCTGCGGATTTCGCCCTCCTATTCCTTTCTATGTCCGCTGTTGGTGGTGTACGGCTTTTTCGTACAGATGTCGATGCAATTGAGTTGTCGGATCTGCGGTTCGGATATTCGCAGACGAATTAATGGTGTGTTTTATGTTTGGTGATGGGCTGTTATGCGATGGTATGTGAAGGTGGCGTGGTTTAGTAGTATCGCGATCATGTCGTGTGGTCGTGCGTGATGCCAGAGGTCGATCGTGTTTCGATTGTCGTCGATGGTAGTCATAGTGGTTGGGGTTCTATGGGTAGATGGATATACGTGGACGCATATCTTTGTTGTCCGGCGGTTCGGTTCGATTTGATTCGATTCGGCGTGGTTTATTCGTGCTGAAACCCGTCCTTGATATCTAGCCGACGCGGCTCGATCAACGGATGCAGTTGCGCCATGAACGTGATGAACCACATCAGATAGCAGCTGATGAAGGCGATGATAAGCGATGACCGCCATGTTCTGATTTCAAAGATTTAACGTTAGCTTGTTTCCTCTTCTGGGCGTAATTGTAGGTATTGCGCTCCGTGGATCTCGATCAGTCTCTTTCGCTTATTCGTTTCATTTGTTTTCATTCTCATTCTCCTTGATCGATTTGGGATATCGGGCGTTTAGACAGCGGAGTGTACGAGATTCCGACGATATTGAATCGCTTTGCTGGATACAACGAAAGTAATGGGGCTACTCACACTTGGTTCTCGCCTTTGGGCGATAGGAACCACGCTCCGACGCACATGGCGGCCACGACGACCAGGCCGATGAAGATGCTGTACCTGAATGATGCATGACGCTATGTTAGCTAACTTATCCTTGGGAATATTCTTAACCAGCTAGTCAATCCGTCCATCCATCCATCATCTTCTCTTCAACACTGCCCCGTCAAAGAGAGGACGAGCCATGGACAGAACGTACCCTTGCGCCATTGCTGTCAACTAGTATTTCGGGAAGGTTTCGATGCTTCTGTATGCTCGCTGATGCAGTAATAGAGACGACAGACAGGCGGATAGACGGAACTTCAAGGCTGAAATGGGGACAGAGATCGTGGTTGTCGACGCTCGTTGTGCCGATTCGAGCTGCCTAGGTAAGGTAGATGCTATGCTTTCCTAGAGGTTATGCTGTAGGCAGTTGGATTGGCTCAAGCTCGATCTATCTGGGACAGCTACAGAGTGCCAAGAACATGCTTAGTCAGTTATGCCCCCCCACACTGCCTTATTGTCAGCTCTTACCCGGGAGCCACCTACCTTGCAATTCAATATGAGCTTATGAGTGACACGACCACATTTCTGAACATACACGCAGGCCTCCCTTTTTGGATTCATCTTTGTTCATTGTGTGATATATACATCTATAGCTTCTAGGATATGATATATCTAGTATGCTCCTGTTGAATTAATCCCTTAAGCGTCATTCTCATACTTCAACCCAGTCTGCTTCCTCACAGCTCCGTAGACACCAGCCAAGTCCGCCTTGTCACCTCCAGCATGCTCAGCAGCAATCTTAAGATACTCATCAGAATGCGGTAAAAGCTTGAGATCCACGCCAACGCTCTTAGCCAAGTTCAAAGCGTGGCCGGCGTCCTTGCGCGCATTATCCGCTGAGAACAGCGGCTCCTCCATCTTCCAGTAGACGCCCTCGACCATGCGCTGCGTGTAGGCGCTGTACACGCCGCCGAAGATGTCGTCAACGAAGGCCCGGACCGGGTCGACGCCGACGCCGCACTTCTCGCCTAGCGTTAGCGATTCGCCGAGGATCGTCACCATGTTGAGGACGAAGGTGTTGCCGATGAGCTTCATCTTCAGCGCCGCCTCGTATGGCTTGTCCTCGAAGGGGATCTCGGATCGCCCCATTACGCCCTTTATGAATGGGCGGAGTTTTTCTATTGATGACTTTGGACCGGCGGGGACAAAGCTAGAAACATATGTTAGATCGTGAGATCGAAGTATTTTTGTTCATGGACATGTTCTTTGCGTCATGCCATATATAATCGTGAGAAATATAGTGTAAGTGAAAGAAAATACTCACATGAGTGCACCTGCATCAGCAGCAGCAGGAGCGCCAAATACAGGTGAGGCGATGAACTCGGCACCCTTTGCCAACACGGTTTCAGCAATCTGCTTCGTCGAGTCGGGGTGAATTGTGGAGCATTCGACGATCAGCTTGCCCTTGACATCGGATTGGAGGATGGAGTCGACGGCTTCCTTCACAGCTGCGTCGTTGCTGACGATAGTAAAGATGATGTCTGCCTTCTTCACGCCCTCCTCGATGGTGTCGACAACCTCGGTCTTGCCTGCCGGCAGGGTTGCCGCTAGATCTTCTGCTCGCTTCTTGGTCCGGTTGTAGAGAATCAGAGGTTTTTCTAAATTTCCTTTCTCAACTAGATTCTTACACATGCCCTATTCGACACGTTAATTAAGTATCCGTGTATGACTGTAGCGCGAGAGATTCACTTACTCTGCCCATATTCCCAAGGCCGATCCAGAATAATTGAGGAGCCATGATGACGGATTGTTTCTATGTCTCAATTCAATCAATATTTTGGATTCACTCTCGCTCAAGAATATATAAATGATGTTGTCTAGAAACAGAGAATTAGAAATGCCGTTCGAAGCTGCCGAGATAAGCACAAGGGGCAACTATAAGTCTATAAATAATGACGTCCGTCTACACTGGATATTGAGCGGAGAGGGGCCGGGAGCAACAATCGCCCTAGATTCAAGCCGCTTAAGTAATAAATCAGTCAAATTAGTCAAAGTCTATCTATCTCTTTTTCCCTGGATATCAATTAAATTGTTAATGCCCTTGAATGAATCCCTTTGACAACCGCTTCGTTAACTCCTATGTCGGACTTTGTTAGCCCCTCGAACGTTCAAAAGATCTAAGCCCCGCATAATCCCGAAACTTTGGAGACGTCAGACCTCAAGTGGCCATTAGTAAGGCTCGTAAATCACTCGCATTTCCTCTTCCCCTCCGACGCAAACCGTTCTTCAACTCGGTCCTAACTGTTTCGGCGCCGACATTTGCTCGGAGACAAAGCGGCCGTCTTCTATTTTAGCCTTGAACAAGGCGGTGGATCATAAGAAGCTTACCACCACCGCCCCGTTCGCGTCTATCTCGGAACAGCGATTCATGACAGGCCTGTTATCGTGAGCTTGAGCATACTGGCTGGTTGGTCACTTGGAGAGCAGGAATCGCTAGATTACGTGCGCATGCATCAAGACATCCTAGCGATGGGGACAACCAGACGTAGTACCTCACGATGTTGTCTAGCAGTAGTATGCGGCTGCGGGCCGTAACGGCTTTAGGATGTGGAACTAGACCCGTCCTCTCCCTTTCACCCTCGTCAAACATCGTCAGCGCACAGCTGCGATGGCGGCGACGGCAGCTCCATCTGGCTCCGCCTTTCCTGCTAGATGACTACATCCCTCGCTACCAATTGCTCTCCGAAGTCGACGCCGCAAAGAAGCGGTCGCAGGCATACGCCCATCTGCAGAACTGCAATCTCTGCCCGCGCCTCTGTGGTGTGAACCGCTACGAGACGACGGGCATGTGTCTCATCGGCGCAAATGTCACGGTCAATGTCATTGCGCCGCATTTCGGCGAGGGTAAGGAACCCCCACCCCTTGTCTCCGTCTCATGTACGGCTCTTAGTCAGGAAACCGACACATGAAATATATAACACATTGCAGAGCATATAGTATATAGCGTACAGCCGACTAACACGCCTCCCAGAACCCTGCATCCAGGGCCACAACGGCAGCGGCTCCGTCTTCTTCTCAGGGTGTAACCTGCGGTGCACATTCTGCCAGAACCACGACATCGCGCACCAGCGCAGCGGGTTCGACCTGACGCCGGAGGAGCTCGCGCAGTGGTACGTGAAGCTGCAGGACGTCGGGCACGTGCACAACATCAACCTCGTGACGCCCGAGCACGTCGTGCCGCAGGTCGCGCTCTCGATCCTGCACGCGCGGACCCTGGGGCTGGCGGTGCCCATCGTGTACAACACCTCTGCCTTCGACTCGCTCGCGTCGCTGGCGCTCCTCGACGGGCTCGTGGACATCTACATGCCGGACTTCAAGGTCTGGTCCGCGCGGACGTCGAAACGACTCCTGAAAGCAGATGATTACGCCGCGGCTGCCACGGAGAGTATCAAGGCTATGCATGCGCAGGTCGGGGATCTGTGCTTCACGGGCGACGGGATTGCGAAAAAGGGGCTTCTCGTGCGCCATCTCGTTATGCCGGGCCAGGAGGACGAGGCGAGGGAGATCGTGAAGTTCATCGCGGAGAACGTCTCGAGGGATACTTTTGTGAATATCATGGAGCAGTATCGACCTACTGCGCACGTTGGGAAGCCGAGAAGGAAGACGAAGAAGAAAGAATCTGGTGCTGGGATAGATGGGGAGGAGCAGAGCGCTGAAAAGGAAGACGGTGTGCGGTATGCCGAGATCAATCGCGCCGTTTCTGGTGACGAGGTCTCTGCTGTCAGGAAGGCTGCTGAAGCCGTCGGTCTTTGGCGATTCTGCGATCCGCCTAGACATGATGGCTTTGCTATATAAGGGCCGTCGGTGTATTGTACGTGTATGATATGGACTCCTTCGCCTGCTGATATTAGCTTGTATTAATGTATGTGTATCAGTACCTAGACAACTGCCTAGACTATGCTATTCTATATATTACCCTAGGTACGGATTGAGAGACTGGCTTGTTACTGCGAGTAGCTGGTTGCAATGCTGGCCCTGTGAAGAGAAGCGTCTCGCTAACGAGCCTTACATAGAGTTCTAACCTACCTAATCTTCCTTGAGCATATATATATCTAGATAGTCTTACGCCCCAACATAGAGTCGACCCAAATCAAGAAGTGGCCGAGTTGGTACGGCCCAGCGAAGCATAATACCTAAGTAGTGTTATACAGCGGTTAGCATTCATTACTTGCAGCGTTGGGCACCGGGGGTTCGATTCCCTCGTTGGTCGAAGTTTCTTTTTTGTCCCCATCTTGCTCACCAGCTTTACACCTTAAAAGGATATACCTAAATAATCTATCCCCTCCCATATAAGGTGAAACAGGTGAGAAGTATAGTGACCGAGTTGGTACCGCCTAGTTTGCAAAGCATTATAGAAGTGTAGATTGGTCCGAGTTCCTGTTCTTTTTTCCTTCCCCCTTTCCCCAATCATACCAGCCCATATCCAAAGTTTGAGCCTAATACTTTAAAGATATATACCTAAATTATATGCCCTCTCATACCAGTGGCAAAATCAACGAGATAGTGGCCGAGTTGGTACAAGCCTAGCGAAGCATAATAGTATTACACAGCGATCAGCATTCATTAAACAGCATCGTTAGGCATTGGGGGTTCGATTCCCTCATTGGCCGGAATCCTCCTTTTTCCATCGTTTTTCACCTTTTTGTCATATATTCATTCATTCACGCCGTCTGCCTCGTGCCGTTGTTTACGAATCCCCTTTGCCCACAGACCTTCTCCTCCTTTCCCGAGACTCTTGGAAACTGTAGCTGATGTGAACTCGGCTAGCCATACTAGCTGGCCATGGAGTCTACAGAGAACGTACGATGTAAATGGCGGGATCTTTCTACACCCGAGCCTCAAGAATTATGTATTTCATGACTCCAGTTTTATGACACAGGATACAGACGTTGTGATGTCACATCTACATGTATCTGTATAGCTTCTCCAAGCCGGACTCTTGAATCGGGAAATATACCCGAACTTGACAACGAGGCATAGTAATTCCCTTTCAACAAGATACACAGGGGAGTTTAAATATCGGCGCTTGGCCCACTAACCTACTCGACTCTCGAAAAAACACGCCCTTATAACATATTCTTCACCACATATTTCTCATAATGCTCGCAGCGGAATCAGGGAAACTAAAAATGTCGTGAACTTGAAAATTATCATTTGTAGTTTCGCCAAAATTTTCAATGATTTTGAATTGACGCTAGGATCAGATATGGAGCACCACCACCTATCTTAGTAAACTCTTGTTGCGTGTTGAGGTCCGCCCAAAGGGTAAGTCTTCTAAGCACCCTGAACCCTGAACGTCCTTCCACTGGCTGTCTTCCTTTCCTTCTCTTCGTTCTCTGGCCGGGCTCGGCGTAGGACTATGCCAAATTAGTAAGAGCGAAGAGGTCTCATATTTTGTAGTAAGCTCACCTTGCAAGAAGTCGGCGGTTCTCCTCCTCATACGTGAGTGGATGTATGCCTAGATTTGGTTAGAATGGAATTTGATCTTGTGATACATCATGCTAGTTCATACCTTTGAGGCCTTAATGTGGTAGTGGAAATAATCCCTGAAGGTCTGGATGTGGGAGATAACGTCTGGCATTCGCTGAGGGGTTAAGTGTCGAGGAAACAAGACTGGCGGCACAAGTCAGCAAAATTCTGATGGGAGCTTTAGATCAAGACATACCAAAAGTCACATATCCGACCTCTCCTCCAGTTGTTGTCGATACGCCGGGAACTCCTTGCAATTCTAGTGGTGGGTCGTTCCTGAACAAGACCTGCGGCGCATTTTGAATTGCTCGTCTCCGTGCGTCGACGAACTCTTGGATGAAGACCTTTCCAAACACTCTGTCGGTCTCTTCGCGGAAGATGGTGCTGAAGATGACAGTCACGCGATCATGGCTTGCCTTGACATAGATGGCTTCCTCGTCGCGGTAGTGGATTGCCATGACCTCTCCTCCTTCTCGAACGCCCTGTGGTGCCTCTTCACTTGTGTATTTGGAAGCTTCCTCTTTCAGCTTGTAGTGTTCTGAGTAGGCATGTTCAAAAGGGGCGGCCATGGCATTGCGTTTGAGGAGGGATATCTTGTGGATTAGTGCGTCTCGTTCCTCTACATAGCCACCGAATCTCGTCAGCACCTACGTAACCAATGCTCAAGATATCATGACCACTGCTCACCTTTCTCGGCGGGTAGGTTCTCGAGGTCTACCAAGACGGAGAAGTCATAGCCATTCTCGGGGGCGACGACATATTGGCCGTATTCGCGTTGGAGGACGTCCTCAGCGCCATATTGGACTAGCTCCTTGAAACATCGAATCTGTAGCGACACTAGAATCTGGGTCTTCGTTTCGGGAGTGGAGATGTGGAAAGTGACGCCATCGAAGTCGGATACGGTCTGGTCAATATGGGCGGGCGGTGCTCTGCATGCAATATCTAGGTTGAGTAACTGACGCTGGCTGAAGGGGGCGTCGAAGGCTGCAGCTTACCCTGAGAATCTCTCGGTTAGGACAGACTGAATCAGCACATTTTGGTAGTCGAGGAGCAGCATCTTAGCATTGAACTTCTGTGCTCGTTCGACACTAAAAAGACGATTGGTAGGCCCGTGGTGTTGGTGTTGGTGTCGAGATGCGGATTGTTGGCGTAAGAGTAGGTACTTAGGCAGTGGAGGTGGAGCAAGTCACAGCTGTGGTTCATGGAGGCATCGTCGTTGAGCTTTTGGTGGGGGCTGTGATGCGGCCCGCTTACGTCGTTTGTCTATACCTATGTCTATCCCTGTAGCAGGCCGCTATGGCATGTACTCAGGTACCTACTATGTCCTTCGTAGGTGCTTAAGCTAGGTATGCCTACAGGCGGCCTGCACTATTAAATGGCCTGTGCGTAAGAGCTTTCGATAAGACCTTATTCATTCTTATCGCCTTGTCCCTCCATAAAAAAGTTTGGGGACAATTTCTGGCCGAGGAATGCCTGCTACCTCATACCCAGGCCGAGTTCTTATGCGAGGAATTGGTCGCAACCATGGTCAAATCATATCTGTAAGGGAGAATCTACGGTCGCATACCCTTGGGAGGCCTACTGGACTAATCACGCATTCCTACTATAGAAAATATGAACATGCGAAATCCTTCGGTCTAGTAACTTCTGCCACCTCGAACATTCTCTGGACCTCGAAAGATGGCTCTACCACGAGCGCGGGCCAGGCCATTGTTGCTGCCAACGAGGAGGTCATCAGCTGGGATATCAAGACAGGCGATATACTGAACCGATGGCGCGATTCGAGCTGCGCCGCGCAGGTGACTGCCATTGCCCAGAGCAAGGTTGACAAAGACGTTTTTGCCGTCGGATACGAAGATGGTAGCATCCGCTTATGGGACAAGTACGGAACCATTATAGTAAGCTTTAACGGCCACCGATCCGCCATCACGATACTTGCTTTCGACCGATCCGGCGTGCGATTGGCGAGTGGCTCCAAAGATACCAATGTTATTGTCTGGGATCTCGTAGCCGAGGTTGGGCAATACAAGCTTCGAGGACACAAGGACCAAATAACAGGATTACAGTTCGTCGAGCCACAAGAGGAGGTTGCCGAGGAAGATGGTACGCAAGCCATGGTGCTGGACAGTACAGGAGACCCGTCCGAAGGCTTCTTATTAACCACCGGCAAGGACTCGCTAATAAAACTATGGGACTTGGGGTCGAGACATTGTATTGAAACTCACATTGCTCAGACAAATGGCGAATGTTGGGCCTTGGGACTTTCCCCGGATTACAGTGGTTGTATAACAGCAGGGAATGGCGGGGAGCTCAAGGTTTGGGCGCTTGATGCAAATTCCCTTGCTTCATCCAGACATCAGGTGGACGTGCCAGCAAATATCCAATATCTACAAGACAGGGGCACATTATTCCGGCAAGGAAAGGACAAGGCTATTGAGATCATCTTCCACCCCCGCCTAGATTACTTTGCTGTACATGGGTCAGAAAAAGCTGTAGAGATATGGCGGATACGATCCGAGGCTGAAATAAAAAAGAGTATGGCGCGAAAGAGGAAGAGGAGGCGAGAGAAGCTTGCGCAAAAGAAGGGAGCTCAAACAGACGGAGATGCGCCGATAGACGATGTCGAAGAACAAGAGGAGAACGTCAGCAAGGCAGATGTGACGGACGCTTTTGCACAACACCTCATAATTCGTACAGGAGGCAAAGCTCGCGCTGTTGATTGGGCCGATATTACAGGCAGAAAACGATTACAATTGCTGGTTGCTACAACTAACAACCAATTAGAATTATACCACGTCCCTTTGAAGCCAAAATCATCCAAATCAAAAGATGAGGATGTTCCAGACTACGAGAGAGCGCTGTCCGTCGAGATTCCCGGACATCGAGCAGACGTTCGATCATTGGCCCTTAGCTCCGACGACAGGCTCCTTGCCTCAGCATCAAACGGTTCCCTAAAGATCTGGTCAATGCTGACTCAAAAGTGCGGTAAGACCTTGGAGTGCGGATATGCATTATGTTGCGCTTTCCTACCGGGTGACAAGCTGGTCGTTATCGGTACGAAAAGTGGCGAGATCGAGTTATTCGAAGTGTCAACGGGTACACTCCTAGACAGCGTAACAGCTCACGAAGGTGCAATCTGGTCTCTCCAAGTTCACCCTGACGGCAGATCAATTGTCTCGGGAAGCGCTGATAAGTCGGCCAAATTCTGGAAGGTCCAAGTCGTCCAAGAGCCGGTCTTAGGAACAACTCGAACAACACAACGCCTCAAATTGTCACACGCAAGAACACTGAAAGTCTCGGATGACATTCTCAGTTTGAAATTCTCCCCCGACGCCAAGTATCTCGCCGTGGCCTTATTGGACAGCACCGTGAAGGTGTTCTTCACCGATTCTTTAAAACTATATCTAAACCTATACGGCCACAAGCTGCCTGTCTTAGACATGGACATATCATACGATGGCAAGTTAATCGTGACATGTTCGGCAGATAAGACGGTCAGGATATGGGGTCTCGACTTCGGAGACTGTCACAAAGCGATAATAGCGCACCAAGACAGTATTCTCCAAGTCAAATTTCTGCCCAACAATCGCGAGGGAAACGGTCACCATTTCTTTAGCGCTGGTAAGGACCGCACCGTCAAGTACTGGGACGCCGACAAGTTCGAGCAGATCCAGCGTCTACACGGTCACCACGGTGAGATCTGGGCATTGGCCATCAGTCGCAGCACAGAGCCACCCTTCATCATCAGCGCTAGTCACGACAAGAGTATACGGGTGTGGCACGAGACAGACGAGCAGATTTTCCTAGAGGAAGAAAGGGAGAAAGAAATCGAAGAGCTGTACGAGAGCACTCTCACGGGCTCCCTCGAGCAAGAAGCCGACGAAGAAGGCCAAGACGGCGAGATAGCAGCCGCGACAAAGCAAACATCCGAGACACTGAACCACGGCGAGCGTATCGCAGAGGCGCTAGAGCTAGGCATGGCAGACCTGCACATCATTTCCGAGTGGGAAGTATCCAAGGCCGCCAACCCGCACATCGGGCCCCCGCAGCGCGACACCATGTTCCTCGCGCACGGCAACATCTCGGCCGAGGAATACGTGATGAAGATCCTCTCGCGACCAGCTGCCTCGGCCCTCAACGACGCGCTCCTCGTGCTCCCCTTCGCATCCATCCCGCTGCTCTTCACGTTCCTAGACATCTTTGCCCGTCGCGCGATGAATATACCGCTGACATGCAGAATCCTATTCTTCATGCTGAAAACGCACCATCGGCAAATCGTCGCCAGCCGCACCATGCGCGCCACGCTCGACGAGATACGGATCTCTCTGCGCAGAGTCCTGAAGACGAAGAAAGATGAGATGGGGTACAATATTGCCGCGCTGAAAGTCGCGGGCATGCAGATCCAGGAGAACAGCGTCAAGAATTATGTCGATGAGAATTGGGATGATGGCGTGGATGCGCAGAGTGTGAGGAAGAGGGCTTTTGTGCATGTTGCGTAGATAGATATCTAGAGCGGAGGAAGGAAGGAAGGATGGGTGGTGTGTATTGTATTACTTGCTTAGCCGTGATGAAGGTGCCTTCATCACTCACTACCTAAGGTATATAGATACCTAGGTTTGGCTCGGAGTATGGGTTTGAAGAATTATGTATAAACTGCTGCTGCTGCTGCTACGTCTACTGCTAGAACAATGATAGGTAGTAACGCATCGTAACATGTTTCGTAAGTCATGAGTTAACTCGCTTACGACCGTGATGATGAAGTTGAATATAACTACTTACTGCATCTACTATTCCTTTTATCCCCCCTCTCCTTTTTTTTTTTTTTTTTTTTTTTTTTTTGGATACTAGGTAGGTAAGTAAGTAGGTAAGTAAGTAGGTAAACCTGTTAACGACAAACAGCGCTCGAGGCTATCAAAACTCCTATTAATTAGTCAGTCAGTCAGTCAGTCAAAATAGCATACATACATGACATGATAGTACGGCCTGCACACGGACAGAGTCGCAGTAAAGCAGGAGTAGTACCATTAGCATCTTCATCTTCATCTTCATCTCATCTAACCTCACCTTATCTAATTTCACTTGACTTGACTTGACTTCACACAGCACAACACCCATACTCACTCACACAGCATCGCACATACATTTTCTCCCCGCTACTAAATCAAATCAGGTTCCTCACAGCAAGTAAGTACACCCCTTTGCTTTCTTTCTTTCTTGCATGCTCGCTGCTCAATTATTTGTATCTAGGTTAAATACTCAGGTAAAACATAGAACCAATAAAACATACTGTTTCATCATCTAAGTATTTCTCGGGAATCATTTCGCTGCAAATGCCTTGGCTTGTTTTGCCTTGCTTTCGAAGAAACATCAATCAATAAAGAGCAAAAAGCAAGGATGAAAAATGGATTCAAGTTTCGAATATGCTTTCGGGTGTAAGTAAGATTGTCCTGTCCTGTCCTGTCCTATTCCGGAGTTCCTTACTCCCCTCCCCCATCTCTGCAGAGTGGAGAAGAGTAGAGTAGAAGAGTGAGTAGGTGAATGTTCAATTCCATTGGCATTTCACCATGATTTTCTCAATTCCACGACTTCAAGCCGTCTTCTGAATCTCCGCATCGAGTATTCCATCCATCCATCCACCATGTTCTCATCGCGCAACAAGCGATTCGGAACTCCATTCACTTCAACGCCCCTCATTAAACGCCTATGATTTCATGGAATCAACCCCCCCACCCCCTTGTCGAATTAAAATCGTGTACGAATAGCAGAGCCCACTTTACAGGGTTTTTGTTCAACCGATGTTTCATCGACACAACGGTTGTCGTCATGGAGAAATGGGAGAAAAAAGCAAATCGGAAAAAAACTATCCGTGGGGAATAAAAAATCGATGCAAACCCCCGTCTATATATGAAGTTCGAAAGATGAAAACGACCATACGCTCCGCAATGTTGAAGAATTCAAGAAAGATGCAGAAGAAGTTCGAACAGCGAAAAAGGAAGGAAGGAAAGAACGTATCATCATGCCGCTTATGCTTTGTCGCCGTGAAAGTAGAGTGGAATAGAATAGAGTAGAATCGCTCAAGATGCCTTTAGGGGGTAGATAGGTCCATTCCTATTTCTGTTCTGTATGTGAACTTAATGCGCTGCGCTGTTTTGCAAAACGCTTTCCCATCATCATATTGTCAGCCGCTCGAAACTTCGAATCAATGGATTGACTTCCTACGACTGCTGATAAGAAGTAAGCTGAGTAGGAGGAGCCGCGGCGTGTTCGGACAATCCCCACTGTTGATGATTGAAATGCCCATGGTGGTCCGAGCCCGCCATGGGGATATCGGAGGAGGATCCGGAAGACGCAGATGGTGATGAAGACCGGATGATGGGGTCGGAACGTATCTGTGAAAATGCAGACTGCTGCTCGCCCTGACTAGCGAGCATCTCCTCTGATAGCGGTACACCGATTCGTTGGAAAGGAAAGTTTTCATGGGGCGGGTGATGTAGTGGTTGAGCAAACATTCCGTACGTATCGAGTGCTGAACCAGGTGGAGGGTTCAGTGTCGTCGGTTCTGTCGTGGGATTGTGAGAAGGGATATCAGTATACGGATACTGTTCAAAACTCTTTGTCAGTAACCGGGGACTGCTCAAATCCACTCTAGTGCTCATAGGATGAAGAAAGGAAGTGGGAGCGGGAGCTTCTGGAGGAAAACTAACTGATGTGTGGGATGCGCCATTTGGAGTTGGGCCGCCAAAAACGCTTGTGCGAGTGGAAGGCGGGGAGACTCGCGCGCGTTGTCGAGCCCTACGACGACTGTCGGCAGCAGGCGGTGAGCGGCGTTCATAGCCCGCGTTCCATGGTAGTCGTACTGAATGGCGCATACTACTGTCAGGTCTCACAGGAAATTGACTGTCCAATACTTCAGTAAAAACACATCATGCATGCCAGCATTGTATTACTTACCGAACACGATCCGTAGCGTTGGTAGCGGTGGACTGTCCAGGCTGATTCGACGAGTCTGATTCTGAAGGATCACGATCGTGTGGCCGGGCTTGCTCACGTCCTTGATAACCTTGATACTCCTGCAAATACTGGGCTGTCATATGGTACGGAAAACGACTACCTGCATGGTTGCGCCGGGCAGACACGGTCTGGAGCTCAGAATGAACCTTATCCCTACAGTAGGGACAGCTATCGGACTCTTTGAACCATTTCTTGATGCAATGATCACCAAATACATGCTTACACTTGGGTAGTCTGAGTGGCGCCTCATTAACGCCCTCAGGATTTGCTACTCCAAAATCGTTGTAACAAATTACACAAGCTATGCGAGTTAGCTCTAGGCCAGATGACCAGCATAGAGGGAATAAAAAACTTACTTCTCTCACTCTCTGGTAGGTCTGCTATATTGACGCTCTGTAGAGATGCCAGGGCTCTTTTTGAAGCTACTCTTTTCGCAGGCCCACCTCGCATGAATCGGCCAGTAACCGGTCCCTCTCCATCCGAAACCGCCGCTGGATAGTTCTCAACATACTCCACCAAACTGACATCCGCCCGTCGAACCTGCAGTGGATTGCTCTCATACAACCATTCCGACGGTGGTGAAGCAGTATATCGCGACATAACTCGCCTGGATCGACTCATGGCCGCAGTGGTGGCTCGGCGTATCTCGACTGGGTTCATGACGCGGTCGCTAATACGCTGTGGTACGGTTGACGTCGTTCCCGAAGGAATGTGTGAAGCTATGGTTAATTGTAATGTTAGACCGATCTTCTCTATCTGGCACGACACGAATAACCGAATAATAACTTACCTGCACTACTTTCTTCGGTATGCGCAGTAGTTTGTGGCACAGAGTCCGGCGTTTGGCGAGGGAAAGGCTGCGATGCGTCTTGATGCGTCAACATGTTAGGAAGGAAACTAGGAAGCTGTTGTCCGGGGCGACTATTTTCGTTTCCAAAAGATGTTGCCTGACCCATCTGCCTTGGGGTGGTGGACTGTCTGGAAGGTGAAATTTGCGGAGCTGGAGCTGGAAGTAGCGAAGCCGCTGAAGGTAAACTAGTATTCGCTCTTTGGACGAGCGGCCTTAAGGGTTGCTGTGTATTAGGCTGGTTTGAATTCGAGCTCGCCCCAAACCCCCCTAGATTGTCGTAGCCAAGTTGACCCTGAAGGCGAGGTGCAGGATGCATCGTGGTCCGAAATTGCTGGAAAGCATTGGTTTGCGGGTGGGCATCTGGCCCGCTTGGTATGGGACAAGCTGGAAACTGCGATTGTGAGGGTTGACTGGAGGCCGTAAAGGGTGGTGAAAATGTGCCCATTGCTAATGGATCCTGCGGATAAGGCGGAATGATAGCCGGCCGCCAGTTCTGCGGACTCCTCGACTGCCAAAGATTCCGGTTGTTAATGTGGCCGTGCACTGGGTCATATTGTACAGTGCTTCTGGTCGACGAAACTTGAGGAAGCTGGATATTACGCTGCTCAGCAGCCGCACGAAGCGCGGGGCATCGATTTGCCGCGGCGGCAGATGAGGGACCAGTTTGGTAGTGGTGGTGATGATGGTGGTGATGGTGGTAATGTGGGTGGTGGTGATCAGGGTGCTGCATTGTATAATCCATACTGGCGGGGTCCATTGCCGGTGACCGGAGTGGCAGCCTTCCAAAGATGAAGACGAAAAGGAAGGGCTGTCACTCCAGCTTTGAAGCTCGAGAAAGAAAAGATTTAGACCGCCTAGAGCCAGCTATCTTGGATCGGCACGTATGAGGGTCGGATGATGAAGGTAGTGGTGAGGGGGGTCGGGCGGTTGAGAAGAGATGCTCGACTGTTAGTCTCTGGTCTAGTAACTTAGCCAGTCCATGGGTCCAGACATGGACTGTAGGGAACAGGGTATTGTCACAAGTCGAGAGACCGGGGGTTCCGAGTCCAGGACTTGGCTTTTTGTTGGCGGAGGATCCTCGCAGGCCCTTTTTCCCCAAGAGCAGACGAGGCCTACTTAGTACGGCGGAACTGGGATAGAGACCTAAGGTTACGACCGGTATATGCACGCACTGGAGCGAGCTGGAGTACACGGGGCGTATTGGGCGTGGTGTGGGATGTTGGACGGGCCAACAGGGCGTGCCAAGGATGGACCGGTACTGTACGGCTGATATACTTGAGTATGTAATCATGTACGGAGTCGCTGGATTGGAGGCGAAGATAGTCTGGAAGACTAAAATAGAAAGAAAAAAAAAACGAGCGCTTCGAGATTGGTGATACTGCGGTTGACGGAAGCGGAGGGGGGGGAGGGGAGGAGGAAGAGAGAGAAAAAAGAGAGTTGTTAGAAAACAGTAGAAATAAAAACAATGGAATCTAGCACAGAGCCCAGACTTATTATGGAGGCGTGGACGATAAGCCGTGTATGTATTGTATTGTAGGTATGATACATGTATGTAATGAGATGTAATGTAATGTAATGTGTGCGCTGCTTGTTGCCTCGCTCTTGGGCCGCTTTGGGAGCTCAGTCGCAGTGAATAATAGGAAAGCTCGGCCGCTGCTGCTGGGTGGTTCCCGCTTCCGAACCGAGTGAGTGGGTGGATGGCTGAATCACGCTCTCAATAGTCACAGCGACCCTGGTGAATGGGGAATACCTGGCTGGGCTCGAAGTCGGGACCAAAACGATCAAACGCACAGAGCTCGGGGCAAACAGATACTGGATTGCTGCGGAAGAAATACTAGAAGTAGTACTACGAGCACCGATATTCCTGGATGCAGGCGGTTCTGCTACTACTGGATGTATGTATCACAAAGGATAACAGGACCAACAGGGGTAAAAAGGGCACAGACTACCTTTGGTCTTTGGACGCTGGAGACGAGTCAATGGTCAATGGATGATGACGATGGTTGAGTATCAGCCGTCACCGTAAATAAGTAGGTACGTACTAAATAAGTAGGGTAGGTAGGGTATGTAGGTATTTCGAGCTAAGAGTCGAGGGAATTGGATGAGGTGGTTGTGTCGTAAGTAAGTAAGTAGGTAAGTCAGTAAGTAGAAGGTAGAAGGGAATACCGGGGCCAACCTCGCACTCGACGGCGGTGGCTGTCGTATGCGGGCTAATGACCTCGAATCATTTGAATGTTCAACAATGCCTACCTACTTACATATGTAGGCAGGGAGGCGGTTGCTCTCTCTCTCTTTCCCTCTTTCTCTCTCTCTTTCTCTCTTATGTCTCTGTCTTGTGTCGGTGGCTGTCTGACTCTCTTCCAGCTTATCCCAACTAATGCCACTTCTTGAGGCCGGCAGTACATGGCAACCGATCACAGTCTTTGAAACAAGTCACATCTCAGGACAGCACTAACCGAACACTTGGGTACATAGGTAATAACACACATAATACACCTAACACATCTAACACATCACCCACTAAAACTAGCAGTGCCGAGGTGCTGGAGTTCGAGTAGCAGCAACTTGCTTATACCTACTTATACGGAGGAGTCCCTGACACCAGCGGCACCCACGATGACCCTGGAGTGACACGGCGGTGTAGCCAGATCGCCAGGGAGCCGGGGAGCCAGTTGTAGGTAGGTGATGCAGACCATCAGTGTTGGGTTGGGCGTTACCCAGGTATTGTTCCAAGATGTTAGGTAAGGTGTTATGTTAGGCGTGAGAAATTAGGTAGAACGAACCCAGATGGTACATGATGTAGGTGGGTAAGTAGTAGGTAGGTAGGCACACACAATGCCCACCTACCTAGGTACCTAGATGATGTGCACTTGAATACCTACATATGTACCTACTTAACCTACCTACATGTAAGTACTACTACTGTAGGCTGCTACTAGGTATGTACCTATCGGTGTGTCTAGGTTAATATGTACTGGGGCAAGGCGAACAGAAACATGATCTGGACAGTGGATGGATGCAAGGCGAATTAGGCGACTAGGAAGGAAGGAAGGCAGGTAGGCAGGAAGGCAGGCAGGAAGGAGGGAGTGGAGGGAGTGGAGGCAATGTTGGATGATTTCAGATACGGAGTATCACGGCTCGTCAGGGCAGGAAGAGAGGGCAGGAAGAGAAAGAAAGAAGGCAGGCGACAAATAACAAATTGGCAGGCATATACGAGCAGTGGTCACCAACGTACATAACATACATATACTATTTATCTAGACGGAATAGTGATAACTAGTAGTACTTACTTCATGACGAGAATGTGACGGACCGGTGGTGGCCATTCACATTCACACAGATAACACATGCCGCCAGCCAACCAGCCAGCCAGCCCTGGAGTTGCTAGGTAGGATACAGTAATACCTACAGGAGCATGCACGCTTGTATCTCCCAAGTTAGCGGGGCTTCGCGGGGGCTTCTAACTTTACCCTAGGTACATACCTACAGTAGAGATAACAGAGACAACCTAGCAAGCATCTATCCACCGAGTAGGTAGTGTAGGTACGTGTACTTGCCGCTATATTTGTTTGCGGTGTGAATCAACTACTTTACTTGCATTTATCTAGTGGACATATGTTCGTCACCTTATCATACCAGGCAAGGTAAGTACATGCCTACGGTAGGTGCAGGTACAGGGTGGGGGTTACCACGTAACATGAATTGAATCATGAGGAAATGCATGACACCACTTTGTTGTTCCACGCCAATCTACGACTCAGCCCAGCAGCTATGGTAGCGGATAGTTTGGGCATTTACCGAGCCTACCTACCTACCTGGTACCTCATTCACGGCAGAACATCGTCGCACATGTAATTACATGGAATAACAAGGTAATGACAGGGCCGAGAAAAAAAAAAAAAAAAAAAAAAAAAAAAAAAAAAAAAAAAAAAAAAAAAGGGAGTGGGGGAGGGGCGGAAGGAGGTGGGTAACAAGATACCTAGAAGTAAGGTACTATGGTAACAACAGACTTGTATCAGATGACGCTCAATTTTACTGACATGTCTGGCCACTTGAGTCAGCTCACACGCAACCTCTCCATTTCATTTGTCCGGATTAACCAAAAGGAAATCTGTACTCTGTCCTTACCTACACAGTACATTAGAGGACTAACTTAAGTATGGTAGAGTTTAAGCTTGAGATAGACGCTCAGGTACCCAAGGCAGGGTCGAGGGTAGCAAGTACGGACTCTGATACGGAGTAGATATAAATATCATCAGCATCACTCCCCAACAGGCCCCATTCCTGCCCGCTCCTCTCCTGCCACTTTCCTGCCACTTTCCTGCTCCACCAACTGTAGGTACCCTGTAGATCTTCCGAAACCCGGCCTACACTATGCCTCGCTATTACGCCCATCGGGATAAGGGATGCGAAAGAGGCGAAACAAAGCCGCAGTCAGTGGTGGGACAAGAGTAGAGGCAAGGACCTTCTTTTTTTTTTCCCCCTTTGGAACTTTGGTCCTTCCTGTTTCCCCTGCTTTTCAACTCCAACGCCTAAGACATGTGGGTTTTGGGGGCCTCTTTCTACATTTGTATTTTTATTTTTTTTTTCCAAGAGTTGTGCCCTTTGTCTTCACATAGCCGCCGGATATCATCCTACCTACCTGGAAGGTGACACCATTGAGGCCCTTCAAGGCAGTGGGTTCGAGAGTTCCAACAGTTCCAATGGTTCCAATGGTTATCGTCACCCCGCATTCAATGTACCTACGTAGGTAACGTATCATAAGTAGCTCGCTAGGCACCACCCCCCCCCTCCAGGTCACATTTAGAACTCTCGACTTCTACTTAGGTGTCTACTTAAAGCGCACGCCCGTCTCTCACATGATCTCTCAGACCTTACAGGTTTCCAGGGATGCGCATCACGCGTAGCTACATGCCTACATACTAAATCAAGACCAGGGCCAAGATGGTTTTCCAGCTGTGTAACTTGTCGTCTTCGCCTTGCAGGGCTTGAATTTGCACGGCATCCGCGTCTAGAAGCATCTGGCTCAGTCTTGTCTAGAAGACCAATAAATTGGCATTGCCTGGACTGGGCTGGGCTGCTGGACCAGCATATTGGAACATCACGGACATCTAGCCCTGCCACCTATCTCTACCCACGCAGATGCTTTTCACGACTCACACCTACATCTGAGTCAATCTGATATCCTTTCGCTGGTATTCATGTCCGTTATCAGGTACTTTCGGGAAAACGCTGGCTGCGTTCCTTCTTAAGCTCCAGCATTTCATCCCTTGCTTTAGCTCTTCAGTCATGAACCATCAATCGGGTCCGTTCTCGCAAGTTGATAGCTGGCTAGGGCAGAGTGGGTGCGACAAATGCCATCGCGTTCAGCAGCCTCCTGATATCAGCCGCATACTAGCATGTGCACATACGGCTCTCAAAATACAACAGTGACGAGTCGCCACTTGATTCTCTGTAGGCATTACTTTCTGCAACGCTCCACCCAGGGAGCGAGATGTCGCCTTACCTCATGGCGAAGAAAGCCATGCTGGCTAGATTCTCAAGGTAGCCGCGTAACTGCTGCGAGACCGTCCGTCTTTGTCAGCTATCTATAGTTCGATGCGGCTGCGCTGACCACACAGTGACATCGTCATACCAAGTCCTTGCGATGCATGCAAAAGGCCGAACCAAAAGGATAGATCGGTATGTCTGCCCCAGCGCTACTTAAGTTCCATATAGCCCTGGCCGGGACAATACAGTATGATAAAAGTAGGCGAGTGGCGAGCCTAGTAAGTACACACGTGTGAGTGCGACAGCATGAGGCGGCGGCGAACCTCGCCTAGGGAATTAAGGGGTAATAAATTTACGTGGGAAAAATTCTGCCGGTCCCTGTCCTTGCGCGTGAGAGCCATTTACTCAGCCATGTGATGAGAATGAGAACCGGCAGGATGGGTCGTGCCACGTTCTGCCGCCGTCGGGCTGTGAATTCCTATCAGTCTTGGGTGCATCATGGCAACAAATAGCAGGCCACAAAACCCAGCCGATCTCCGTCTCGTAGTGTCATCTTTAGGCGTCATCCATCATCGCAGCTAGCGCAGCGTATCGTAGTGTAGAAGAGCAGGAGGACAAGCGGCATCTGACGCATTCTGCTCTTTTGTTTTCCCCTTTCCCCAATTCGCCCGTTGGCCAGCCCGGTTATTGATCGCGGCTGGGGTAAGTAGAGCATCTCCCTGCGCTCGCTAGCTGGCTATGTCCGCGCAGGCGAAGATCGGGGTAAGGTAAAACGCGGACGACTTCCGAATTTGCAGGTGTATGCTTATTGCGATACAGCTGGCGCCCATCCACACCGCCTAGTCTAGGTAGTTGTCGTTCAGCATGCTAGGCGAGGAAAGGGAGAAGAAGAAGAACCGGCACGGCAAATTAAGGACCGATTTGTTTTGTCATCCGGAAGAGATAAACAATAGATAAAAAAAAAAAAAATAGAAAACTCCGAGCTCGCTTACGTCGTGTTCCGTAACAAGGGACAATGACCGACATAGCCGGCAAGGCTCGCACTAATTAGCTATTCCAACAAACATTACATTTCATCACAAGCGAGTGGCCGGACAATTTGAACAAATTCCCTTCCCATGGGTACCAGCATCTGACTGGCGTCAGCAGGTCCCGACTCAGCCGACACGTGAGGGTTAAATGGAACATTACGAATCGAAAGGCAACAACTATGTATAGCCGTCGTTTTAAGTACATACTTAGTCAATCAGCGAGTGAGTGAGTGAGTGAGTAAGTGAGGAGGTCTAGAGCGTCACCTGCCTGCACACATGTACTTAACTCGGTGCCTACAGATGTGTGTAACGCGTGTTACGAATAGATGTTACCTAGGCTACATGCAGCTCGGCTTATAAGGCGGGTGAAAATACTACCTACCTACCTACTGCTCACTATAAATGCCTCCTACCAGGCATGTAATTAAATGCCTGTATATGTGCGCTCAGGGCATACCAGTACCTACCTACCTATAACATCCAGCACAGCACATACGCAGTGATACCTCAACCCACCTCATGCCTCATGCCTCATGTGCGTACATAGGTAGGTAGGTAGGTATGTAGGTATATATGTAGAACAGAATCCAGGATCATCGAGGATTACAGGCCCTGTCCAAGCGCCCTGCCCAAAGCCCCGTCCGTCGTCTTGAATCGGATCAGATCTTACAGTACACGCTGAAAGCCTCGGTGGTTATCCATATCCCCGTCGTTTCTCTCTCTCTCCCTTACTTACATTCCAGTCTTAAGTGCGTGCAGGTGGCTGGCGCTTTTGCGCTCGCATCTACCTATACGGGATATCCAGAGTTGTCTAAGGTCTATCGGAACGCCTCACACAACACCACCTTGCTTTTCTTGCGCTGTTGCCATGAGGACTGTCACAATTCGCTACCGTGGATCATACATACACACATACATCCAACCCTCACATCCTGCTGATGTGGGTTGTGGGCCGACGAGACATCACACACTTGTCTCCATGTGTCACTGCACGGCGGTTCTAGGTATTATGTATGTATGTGTGTATGGCCTTGCTTCTCGTCATCATGATTGCGTCGTCCTATGCCTCCCTGTCCAGTTGCCCTCTCACCAATGCTACCACTATCCCTATCATATCACTCAGACCGCACCTCTCAATCAGCTCTGCACAAAGTGGCGAGTCGCCCCAGGCAGGTAGCGTAGCCCGCGTGCGTCGTGGTCCAACTTGGCGGGTATTATATGGCCGTATATATGAGTGAATGGGATGCACAGCGGCCAGATTTTTTCAATGCCACCATCGAAATGCCCTCGACTCCTGTTCCAGCTTTCCATGCCGCCGTTTCTGTTTGTCAGGCAAGTTTTGAATGGGCCAGGAAATGCCAATCAGGGCCTTCGACTAATATAGTGTGATGTGCGGCAAGGACGATCATTCGTCGCCGTCTGGAGATGTACGTCCGCTTACGTGTGCTCCCGGGAGAACGAGACCTGTGTGTGCGTGCACCACTACCGCTACCACTACCATTGATGGGCGACAAACAGCGATGCCAGACTCTTACACACGGGACTGCGCCTCGCACGGCAATGCCAATAAAAGGCGTCATCGGTTGGGAAATGCGACCTCACTAAGACCGACTCCCCGGACTACAAGTACTTAGTAGGCAGCTGGTGCCTATCATATCATGGCTCGCTCGCTCGCTCGCCGATGCGTTGCGTTTTTTTTCCTTCCACCCCCTCGACCTTCCGAGGTCAGTAATCGTTGTCCCTGTTGAAAATGCGGGCAAGGACAAACGCAGGCTGATTAGCGAAGCAGTAAGTGCATGCTTCTTCCCCCCAGCTCCCACCCCAAGGGAGATCCTACACGCATGCATCGTTACCAACAAGTCACACGAACCCCCCGACTATTCTCTTTTTAGCCACGGCTGCACGCACTTTGGAACACGCTGGGTTGTGATTTTTACTCGCTTATGGCTCGGGTTTGGCTGGTCCAACACTCTTCGGAGCTTACGGTCATGGACTCCAAGGTTAATATTACCGTATCCGTGCTTACTTACTTACCAGGCCGGCCGGGCCGGAATAAATCCAGTCACACGTCAGGTATTGTGCATACGATACTTGTATCGCCTACGGTACCCATTTCGTTTGGCCTGACTGACTGTTAGGAAGCGGACCGTATTTTATCATTCATTGTTGGCTATCTTCGGTTTCGAGCAGGGTCTAAGTTCCTTCGGAATCTCCTTTATACCACCCGCACTGGTGTTCAATACGGGCCCATGTTACCTAACAATTGTTTAGGTACGAACTTTGCGGCTGGTTTTATCGTATTACCTATACCTATACCTACCCTTGAGACTTCCTAGTCATCAAGTCCCATTCCCTCCAGGGTTCGTAGTGAACTTCCTGGAGTCCGGGGAAACGGGCAAACATATGTGCGAGTGCGCCGGACTTCCATCTCCGCCGGTTCTGTTGCCGGAGGAGTAAACTGGTTCCCGCCGGGACCGGTGGAAGCTGATCCCACCATTGGTGCTCTGACTCCTCGCTACCTAGGTATCAAATGGTCCCTCCCCCATAACCGGATGGAAAACTTTGCGAATAGCCGCCGTAGGCGGGGCGCAGTATCGAAAACTAGTAACTCGGCCATGTCGAGGGTCATCATAGACTTTGTCTGCTATCGTCTGCTTTGTACCGCTGCCACCTAGCATATCCGAGGTGGTATGTATCGGGCACAAAGGTCAGATATTGTAAACCCGTGTTTCGAATCCCTAGGCGAGGAGATACTACTATCGAGAATTACCCCGCCATTAGGATCCCACGTGCTGAGAGCCGAGAGTAAATCCCGGAATACTGTGATAATAGAACCGTTATTTGCATCGCTGATGGCAAATGTCTATTCCCACTGCACATCTGTCAACACTTTGTGGTTCGGTGCGCATCTAGTGCCATCATAGTCGTCGAGCTCTAGGCAGAACCAGATGTAGCGGACGAGAGCCCGATGGCGATAGATTATCGAACGGAATTAACGGGGCGCGATGGTGTTAGTTTGTATACGAGCGAAGTCCTCGCTCAGATCTGCTTGTCGCTCTCGAGACACTGCGAGACGGTGTGCAACCGTCTTGCATCACGGCTTCTTCGAAGATAAGAAGCCGGATTTCTCGAGACGAGCCATGTCATCCCATGTTTGAATCCCATTGCCTCTTTGCCAAGTGCTGTTGAAAATATGGTGTGATGGGCCGAGAGGGGTGATGATTTCGCGATGTAGGTAGCACTATGAGTTGGACAATTCAAGATGTACGCGTGTGCGAATGTGAGCGGGAATGAACTCCGGCGGCGGCCAGATGTGCGGTAGGTATGATAGGAAACAGGCCAGATTTAGACACTTTATCCGACGAAGCTTTGATAATGCGATTCAAGTTTGAATTTTGTTCTATTCATATGGCTAACCTAGCATCTTTATCGTTTGGTCGCTGTAAGATGTATATTTTTATATCCTAGGCGCTACAAGTCTAGGTAGTGTATTGAGTCCCTGAGTTGCGCTGCATACTTCTATACGTGTATCCCGTCATATAGCGAATAGCGGGATTCCCGTGATCTGGCTGGCCTTCATCCACCTTACCTACTTGTACGTGTATTTAGATAGGTAGATAATGAGAAGAGCGTCGTCGCTCTTTTGTGTGCTACCTATACCTGCCCCTACTACCCACTGTAGCTACCTACCTCTAACTTGATCTAATACAACATCGTCGTACCTTGTCTTTCTTCCGACACATGCCACCCGTAATGCTGTAACAGCGGCGGTTCGGAACATTGTGTCGCATCGACATTTTAGAAAATTTTGTTTGGGGCTTTTCCATCCTTCTGTTGCGAAACAAGGTCGATCCCCCCGGTGCGCAAAAAAAAGGACCCCTCGGCATGCCGCCTGATGTACAGATATGGCGCCAGATGACAAGCACACCATACACGACATGCTACTAAGTAAGACTACGGTAGTAATCTTTACCCAATACTCCGTCCCATCACAAACACGGGCCAGGTTGATTCTCGGTCTAATGTGTCCCCTCTTGTGACTTATGCAGGCACTTTGTCCTAGGCTCACAACCGCCGTCCCGAAGCTATCCGGCAATTACCATCTATCTTACATAGTACTTACTATGTAGTAGTTGCTGGTTGGTTGGGGTGTTGGCCGGTCAAGTAGTCTGGGCAGTCTACCTGCGCTACTAGGCGTCCGGGATCACAAGCCATATATTGGCCGTGTTCAAGCTAGGTACCGTATTTCTACAGCTTATCATGCAAGGCCTGGTGAGGTAGGTACATATGATTTCGCCTCAGCCATGCTGCTATCAGCCGGACTTGATCTGGAAGCCAAAACTTGGCAGTGCGTGTATGACAGCCAGTATAGCTGAGTGGCCAGCCAGAGGGGCGCATAGCCGAAGTGTTTAACGTACAAATAAGAGAGGGTGGCTCAACTCTGCGGCGCAGTCGTCCCCGTTAAGTTGTTATGTTCGCTTCCGCTGATCGCCTATTAGCTTAAGTGTTGGTGCTCTATCCATACTAACATGGCTATCCAAATAATTAAGACGCGTTTCACACTTAAACGCGCCTCAAACTATACTCGGTCATCTTAAAAGTGTCCAGCTAAATGATCTGGCAGGGCATACATCATCTTCTCGAGATGCCAAATAGTCATAATGGAGGGTCGGCAATCGTTGAGCGCTATTGATCTTCAGCGTCTTACCTATCGTCGCGTGAGGGTCAAAGATAATACATTAGATGATAACCTCTTACCTTCGCGACCTCTATCCAAGCGCAAGTATTTCATCCTACAGACACCACCCACCACCAATATCGGCCTTCTCTCCGTTTTGCCTCTCGAGATCCTTCACGAAGTTATATCGCAACTAGACATACTCTCTCTCTCTCACTTCCGGCGCCTTAACAGACAAGCTTTCGAGCTCATTGGGTCTCATCCTGCGTATAGGGTGATCGCCAAGTACGCGCGCAATGCTCTATGTGGGATCCTGGCTGTAAAGACTGGCAAGTGGATTACCTGCGACACCCTCTACCAGATATTATGCACTTCCAAGTGTGAACAGTGCGGCGACTTCGGCGGCTACCTGTACCTCATCACCTGCAGGCGAGTTTGTTTCCTTTGTTTCACGTCGAATCGAGCGTATCTACCGATGAGACTCGATCACGCCAGCTGGAAATTCGGACTACACCACCGTGTCATCAAAGACCTGCCCTGCGTGAAAATCGTATACGGGCGATATTCGCCCGACCAGAGACGCCCTATCCACAGCGTCCTTGTTGACTACGAGTCTGCTCGCGACGCGGGCATTGCGAAGCACGGGTCGGTGGAGGCTATGAATAGTTACGTGTCGGACTTGGCTGCCCAGAAAGATCAGGTATTCATAGACGCCAAGAGAAAAGCCGAGGGTGATAGTGATGCAGAGCTTCGAATTACCAGGAAGCACTGCACCTGGCGAAATAGACTGACTACTTGGGATCTCACGGATAGAAAAGTCGGGGAACCATTCCGCTATGTGGCGATTGTCCGAGTGCCGTATTTCGACAGAGCGTTGCGGCAACCGGAATGGGGCTTTCATTGCTTTGGATGCCGCGACTTACGCCGTGATCGACAATTTCATTTCCGACGCAAGTTTACTGCTGCTTCGTTTCAGGAACATCTGGACCGGTGCGGAGATATCGTGGGTGGAGAGCATCGCCTGGTCAAGTCTCGGAACGACATTATTAATGTCTTCAGACCCTATGGTCCTCATTCGACCAATCACTTTGATGACACATAGGAGACGCAAGCTCATGTCGCTTTCTTGGGAATCCGATCGAAATATTTCCACTCTGTCGCTTTGACGGCTGGTAGTTCAATGGCGGCGTGACTTAGGAAATCACGAAACTTGGACATCAATCAGATTCAGCCATGGGAAGATAGTTCCATGTTCTTCCGACTCCTAGAGATGCAGCAGCGTCGACTCAGCGGCGGAACCCGATGAATCAGCTCAGCTGTTCTTCTGTAACTCAACAGAGGAATTTGAGACGGATCTATCCATTCGTAGGCCACTCTCTCAGGTTCTAGTCATGATATTTCATGCGCAATCCCACGAACTTGACAACAACCATCCGTGGATAGGTCGCCTAAGAGCGAAGATTCTCATTCCATCTAGATTAGATGGTCAATCCAGGTCGGGCATCACGTCTATTTGATGCCGATATCTGGAAACAGTACCTCTGAGACGAAAGCGAAATGCAGCTTAACCTAGCAGGTTTGCGCGAGATGCGCCCCTTCTAGTCTCTGGGCTCGACGAAAAACACATGTCATCCGGGGAGTAGATCCCGTTATCGATGGTGAGTTATCGCACCGTCTTACAGTTGGCGGATTTCGCCTTCGAGAATCAACTATGTATGGAAGGAAGCTAATTTTATTGCAGGTTAGGTAGGTAGGTGACTTGCCGTAGATTGGTCTGAAAGAGGCTAACTAGTTCTCGATTACCTAGGTAGTGAGAGACTTCTTGAGCCATCATCGGGATTGTTAAGTGCGCTTAAATAGGTATATATAAGTGTTTGCTTTGTCTTCGTGACGACGGCATATGATAACCAACCAACAAGACATGCCTATTTTAAATTCATGAGAGCCGAGAGGTGCGGCGTAGATGTTGAGTACTATCTACTCCTCACTATCTACTCATCTGTACCTAACTGAATGAACATGTTCCTTGAGCAGTAGTGTTAGGTCTATATAAGGAAAGGGAAAAAAGGCGTGCGCGTCTTTCATGTTATATATAGGTATTCTGTATGTATGTAAATACACACGGCGCAGTCCAACATGAGAGAGGGGCCATTTTACCTAATCGCTGTCACTGTGGGTAGCCAAGTACCAACTCGTCTAGCTACCGGTACTTAAGTACCTACCTAGGCAGGTAGGGAGTATGAATGGCCTCCATAGGTATTCACTATTGAAGATCACCCAGGTCAACAAGCTTATTCTTTTGATTTGATGACTGACGGTTGAATACTGAACGAAGACTAGGGTCTTATAGCATGCATGGTTGCTGTTGCTTGATGACTTGCTCTGACGCTTAGAGACGGAGGACCTACCTAGATGGGTAGAACAGTTACCGATGGCAAGATATATAAACTTAATTCAAAGCTATTATTCCACAAGCAAATATCTGGATTGGCGACAGGCTCGGTTAGCTCAGTTGGTTAGAGCGTCGTACTAATACAATCATAAGTTGTATCAAGTAATGCGAAGGTCATGAGTTCGACCCTCATACTGAGCATTGCCTCCTCCCTTAAATAGGGGTCAACATTTTTATGATTTTTTTTTTATCTATGTTTCCTTTCACGGATCTTTTTGCATCTTGTCCTATGCGTTTCTTTTGAATTCATCATGGAATGTATGTAAACAGTACAACAATAAAATAAGACGAGGATCGCTATAAACCCAAGTCTTACCTAGTTGCATCTCTACATAGTACACATCATAGCATCTTGCCTATACTAAGTACGGCTTACATTGTCGTTTTTGGGAATTCCGGCAGACCCTCGGCACCGTCAATTGGTCAAGTCCAGGCTCTAACGCAGCTAATTACGTGGGATACCCCGGTTCCCGAAACTAGCCTGATCATCATGCACAGCTACTCTCTTTTACTCTAGCTTCATTGCGGTCCTTTGGAAAAGTCCGGGATTGCTCGGGTCCGACCCGGATTTGGCGCGGGTTTGCACTGGAACTTTTGTATCAACTGCGACGTGGTGTGTTAGGTGTTCAGACAACCGTCGGCGGAAGATCAGCATCCCTAACCTATTCGCGGAGACTACCGTATATTCCCGTATAAAATACCCAGTCTCGCCAGCCCACTGCGTCGCGTCCAGCAGATAAAATAGTAATTTGTGGGCGGGCGGTCTCGCCAACACTTGCCGAGTTGGTAGCGCTTATTGTGTCGACTCACCATCACCTCTCGCCCTGCTCCTCTAAACGAATACCCTATGTACTATGGTCTGCTGCAGCTGTGATTTGGGTAGATTGGCAGAGAGCTGATTTCCGTCTTGGCCACTATGTCCTACAAGGTTCTACCTATGACATATCTCTCCCTCACAGCGAGTAATAAAGGGACCCGGCATATTTTGACGATTCAGCTTGCCTTATTGCCTAACTTCCTAGGTAGTCGATGAGACCACAAATAGTCCACCTTAATTGAATCATGAGGTACGATCATTTTATCTCACCGCTACTCGTCTAAGTATGGAGAAAGGGGGACAGAAAAAAAAAAGACACACATCGCTTGCGATTTTCAGCCGGTTTTTTACCAACTGCATCGCGATCAATGGGGCAACCGCTCCAAGACCAAAATCGCTGGCGCCCAGCACGCGCGACGAATCATCTTACTACGCTTTCACACCTTCTGTCCCTTGGCTGTTACTCTCAACCGGGTTGTCCAAAAGTCCTACACATGCATCATCGGCTATACACAGTAGTGTGTCACAAGTTGCTGCGCTCCCCTTAATTGCCTATGTTAAGTAAATGCGGTAACAACGTGGCTGACTAACTGCGCGTGACCACGCTGTGGAAGCTGAGAGGTAGTTTACTCCCGACCTAGACAAGCAGTTCTTACATATTGAGAATTGTGTACCACTACTTATCGCGTATATTAGAGCAAATTTTGTGAAGGGCTTTTGAGGCCCGCCGCCGCGAGATCGGAATGATTGAATGAGATTGCTGGCGGTTGCACATCGCACAGCCGAACATTGGTATGCTACTCTAGAGAGCTAATATCTTACACCACGGCCTCTAGCCTGCGCCGCCCTTTTTTATTTATTTCCTAAGCCCCTAAGTTTCAAGTAAAATAACACGTAGATTGCGGGTCAATGACGAGTCAGTAACGGGATTGATTGATTACACTTGTCTCGCTCCCAGGTGAGAAAGATATACCTATCGGATCTCAGTATGAATTCGTGCAGCTCGATACCAGTACGCACCGCGAAAAACGATGTTCACTCATAGACATATGTCATATCACTTACACGTATAAGCAGAAGTGAGAACATACGAGTTGTTTGATGTTTCAGCGATGACCAGGCAACGTGTGCCTATCAGTACCCAGTCCGTCAGATCTCATCAAGGGAATCAACGCTCGTGATATGTACATGTCGCTTTCCTCACATGGGGTGTCTATCTCTATTCGCTTGTCCTATGACGATTTGAATATCATCTTTCAAACTCGACAGCCTGGAATAAGACGTGTCCCCTTTCATCAAATGTTATCTGAGTAGCCGTATGTGTGTTATTATGCATCGCTTAGCCTCAAGGGGCGAGTCAGCCCTCTGCAAGCCTCCTGAAGGGTTGGCGATGTGTCAGAACTTTGAATTACACGCAAGTCACGTAACCAGCCCAACTAATCCAGTGCTAAGGCAGCCATGAAGCTATTACATTGTGAATTCAACGTATGGTCTGCGTTTCATGGAGGCACGTGTAAACTCTACAAGAATGACTCGATAGGGGTAATATCAATGACTCGCTTCATATGTTCTATGGATTAAAGGGTACGAAGGGCCGTGAACGACCTGTTCCTTTACATATGGCGAGGCCCCCCGCCTCGTCATATGCAAGTTTGATTCCATGTTACGCTCATGAGCATTGCATTTTAGCACAATGAATCATCATCTTATCCTAGATTAGGCCGTTAATGTTCAACTAGACTAAAAGGAGCCATATAATGATATTTCTGTCCTCGATTTTAACTCCTTCGTGAACCCGTGTAGTTATGGGCTACCGGACCTGCATCTACCACATTGCGGACATCAAGGTATGTGTTTCATGCCGTAAGTTACGATGATACAGCAATCCACCGAGACCAAGGCGTAGACAATATGTGTGGTGTCTTGCGCAAGTGTAGGGTTGAGATAAATGGGAACAGGTTTATATATTGTCATTGCGCGGCTATAGGCTTGAAGGACTTGGAAACCGCCATCTCTTTGAATCCTGGTAGATGCTATAAGTTAGTCTTCCCGATGTATATGTCCGACGAGTCAATATGGTATCGATCAATGCAGCCTCATGTGAATTGTACTGCCTGCTGTAATGTAGCCCTATCCTTTTCTGTTCGCCCATAGCGTTAGTCTGAAGTGTTCGAATCTAGTATCCAGAGAGCATGTAGGACGCAGCTACATAAAACAAAATCTAGCGCTGATACAGTATCTCAGCTTCAAGAACCCTCCGTACACGGACAAACCTAGGAGGTGTATGCTTATTAGAACTTAAATAATTTGGGATCAGCTTTAGTTATATCTAGCTACTGAGTACAGAACAACAACTACAAACTACAGAAAACGAGCCCCTTCTTTCCAACACTTTCGAATGAGATTGGATACCTGACTCCTATGCTTCATTTCTAATGAGATCTGTCGGGCTCAAATCACCTTGATATAGACCTATAGAAGGTTAGCAGAGCAAAGTGTCTGATGACCGCTAGGTTAGGTTTTGGTAGTGCACATACATTAGCCTTCATTTCTCTCAAAGCAGTACACCAATATCCACGACCGAAGTACCTCTATAAGAAGCTCTTAGAATCTCGATAGACGACGAATTTAGAATAAAACATGAGAAAGACTTGGAAGCTGAACTTTGGAATATTTCACACTACACACATAGTACCTGTGTTCTTGAAGCAGTCACTAGAAGGTAAAGAAACCTCTAGTCTCTTTCCATTGCCATCAATCAGTCAAGACATAAGACCCAGCTTTAAGTAAAAAATCTGCGTTTAAAATCTCCTCTTCATAAGACAACCGCTAAACAGTCCAAATCGAGATTCACACCAGATTCTAGTAAACGTAGCCCTCACAGAACGACTTTATGAATAGTAACGGAACCGAATGAGTCGTGGTTTAAATGAAAACTAGGACGCAAAAGAAAGATGTAGATCTATACCTTTAAATCATAATTAGCACTCTCTATCACGGTACCATATATAGTATATACAGACGGTCAGGTTCCGGACCTTATAACCTTTTACCTTTCGCGTAGTGTAGTGGTAATTATAGTTCTTCATTTCTGTTTCATCACACTAGCTATCTAAGAAGAAGTAATGGGAACAAACCTTTTCTATCAATTACAATCAAGTTGTGAAAATCACATGTTGACTGCTTTCGGTTTCAAGAGCCCTGAAATGAGTTCTGTGCCTCTAAAGTATGCAACCCCAGCTATTGCCGAGCAGCAGGTCTGCCAGTAGAGTTCGGATTACAGCTAACGGGTCCGATTGGGGCCGAATTTGGAAGGTATTAAACACTTTTGAAAATACCTTGTTTATCGTAACGATTACTAGACATAAATATTGATGAAGAGAGAGATATGGCTGCAGCCTTTACCACTTCGCTTTGCAGTAAAACATTATATTTTGTGTCTATCTTCCATCATGCTATTAATCATTGATACTGACATTGACACTGCCGACAGCGTAATTAATGTCTACTTAGCATTTCAAATTCAATCTCAGTTGTTGAGTCAGTCTTATTATATTAATTCTATTGACCTAAGGGTCTATTACAGCATGTTTATTGCCACTCTCTTGTGCTAGTTGAAAGAAGAATAACGTCTCACGCGAACTCGATGTCGCTCCTTCTGTTTCGTGAGGGTCGTCGAAAGCTTGTGGACGAGATCTTTCTGAGGCTAATTTGAGCAGCGACGAGCAACTCGTGTCACAATTCTTGGTCTTTCCAAATTCCATCAGACCACAGGTTTAAAAACTTTACAAGTCAGAATACGCGGAAACGCTCCACTCTCAGACAAAGATAGGGGTTCATTTTCAGATCTAAAGAGCACCTAGCCTCAGAGGCATCTATATTGGCTTTTCCATATCACTTGTGATGAAATAATAGTATACATTTCCCCTTCAGTAAGCAAGATGATTCTGCTTCAGAGGCTTATATAAGTGATATCTGATTAGAGCCTGCATATAGCAATTGCTGCTAACAGGGCCTAGAATTGAAGCTATTCACAATACTATAACCTGCTAGGTCTGCCAAGGTCCTTGGCCCCCCTGCTGATGTCAGCCAGCAGAAGTCTGGATAGCCTCATATTTTCGTATGTCTATAGAGGGTCTTTTGCGTGACATGTACCTGTAGCTGTAGGTGTTCTGTATGTCCAGCAGCAGTTGCGTGCAATACCGCAGGAAACGTATGATCTACCAGATAGATACTGCAAAGCAAATCACGGGAATACCTCAGGTGTCAATCGCTCGCGCCGTATCTGGAAGGTAGTCGATGGCTTAATAAGGACATACATCTGTACGCACACCAGGGTTATGTGTCATACGGTATCATAACAACAAGCCTTAGGCAACCCTCTCCCACTTAATAGCCGGTATTATCCACTCTCTGTCATTTTACAGGAGGTTATCCAAACCCCGTCCTGCAGCGCAAACCTTCAAGCAGTAGTTTGTGGGGCATGTAAGGACGATCGATGCAACATTCCTATCTTACTCAGCTGCTGGTTAGGCTACTGACTTCACATGAGGGGTTGCTGAAGAAATAAGAGGAGGCCGAGGCCGGTCTTCCCCTCGCGTAGAGCAATGACCTTTGCTCTAAACGTGTAATTATTCTCGTTTCAACTTGAAATATCATCCACTAAATTAAACCACCATGACGGGCATAGATTCTAAGAAGCCAGATGAGTATAATCTAGGGCGTAACTATGCAGATGCCTCGAGGTATTTACACCTTAAGTCCTAAATTGGAGCTAAATGTGAGCTAAATGTGCTGACAAAAAGTCCTAGATTGAATCTCCAACACTTCATGTGGAGAGACGCCATCAAGTTCCTGTTGCACCCCATCATCCAGATTCATTTACGTCATGAGCAAGAGTCAAAACAAAACAGAGATGAAGGAGTATTACAAGTAGCAGATTTGGCAACGGGAACAGGGTAGGCGATATGTCCCTCACGAAACCATGTTGCAAGACTGGCTAAGCACCTGTCTATAGGATCTGGCTTTTCGACCTTGTCAAGTCAGCCGAGGTCAATGGACTAAACATCCAGTTTCATGGCTTAGATATCAGCAGGGCCCTGTTCCCGCACAACGCCTGGCTGCCGAAGAACATATCTCTGTCTACGTCGAATTTACTGGAAGAGCCACCGGAGTCCCTTCACGGCAAGTTTGATGTCGTACATGTGCGCCTGGTTCTGTCGTTGATCGGCAGCGGCAGCCCAAAGCCAATCATGCGGCATATCAAGATGCTTCTAAGTCCGTAACTCGCAATCTCCAAACTGTAAACTGTCAAAGCATAACCTGACTGATTGTCCTATATAGAACCCGGTGGCTACTTACAATGGGACGAGCTGGACCCGAACAATCACTATGAGGTGTTGACTCCGAAGCCAGATGAAAAGGCACCAAATATGACTTCTACTTTTGAAAGAGTCGGGACCATTGCAGATTGGAGGTAGAGCGCCACTATACCAATCTTATACTAAAGCATACTAACACTTAAACCCTCAGTTGGATTGCGAAGCTTCCCGAAACACTACGTGAAGAAGGGTTTGAAGAAGCATCCCAAAGCCCTCACGAATCAAACCCTGAAATGTTCAAGGCCTGGACGTACATGGACCTCTGTCTGGCTGAAGAGCTTAGCTACCACTTGCAACGCATGTACGATGATGGTGAACATGGCGAGAAATGGCGGGGATTCCTCCCGAAGGCCTACGATGAAGCCGACGAGGCCCATGGTGCTGTGCTCAGAGTTCGTCCCACGGTAACTATTGCTAGGAAACCGCTATGCTCATCGTCCCGGGAATCTCGTCTCTAGGTAGAAGATGCGTCGGAGTACGCTTTCAAAGGCTCAATATCATCGCTTCTTGTGTCGATACAACCAATGGAGTTAATATATGGTCGTCATACAGCTAGGTGGTGGAAGAAATACCTTGTCCGTAGGGTAATATTTACTTAGCTCGAGAGCTGCGGAGACACAATCAGAGCTCAGAGGGCAATACGTATATATGAGAATATCATCCAACCATACCTACAAACCCGGCATCATGGGAAGAATAATGCCTGAGGTTATGGCATAATAATAGCTTCAATCTAAACCTGTGATTCATGTAGGGCTCGTCGTGCAACAGCTCCAATTTCATCAACCTCTTTATTGTATTAATCTCACTTCATCGAAACACGGAAAGTCAGACTCATATTTTACCTTAGCTATTGGTGTCTCTCCGGATTAGTCTAGTTCTGTAAGTTAATGAAGAGTTAAGTGAATGAAAAATGGTACACGACCAGAAGACTTTCTGGGGGGTTCGCAATGCTACTTTTCCCGCCCTTGAGCATGCTGAATGAAGTTCAAGGTCAAAGGGGAAATTGATATCGAAAGTGGTTTTCTCGTAGATCTAAACATGTCGAGGAAGGGTGCACTATAATGTGTGAGAGCCGTCCAGTAAATGAATGATGTCGATCTCTAACCATATTGTCATTCTTCAAACCTATAATGGCATACCTTGCTCCAGCATCTTCCTGAACCGCATTACCTTGCCCTCTGGAGACTGAGGAATGAACTTCTCAACGTGATATGAAGGTATATAGGTACTGACATCATGAACTACGACAGAATTAGATGCCCTTGAAAGGCTCTCCTACGAGGTTTCGTCATTGCTTGACGGTACCTTATGGCTCAAGATATTTCAGGTTATATGAGAGGAGTTCAAACCGTAGACCTAGAAAGACGTACGACAGAAAATAACTGATACTTTTGGACGAAATTATATAGGAGATATGCTACCTCACAACTCATTAAGCTTGATTGGATAAATACAAGGCTCCCTGGGAAAACAGCGTCACAAGAAAACCTAACACAATCAATTTCGCTATAATTCCATGCCCCTATATCGTCTAGACAATAGTCACATCAGAGTTGTTCGATCGCAAGCAATACTTCCTCATCTCCAATGACTATCTGTCCTCTGTCAAGTGTGCCGCATACCATTACTCTCGACCTCTGCTCTCGGGAGCCCAGGGGTGATCACGACACAAATGACTGTCTTCAAAGCTCTTCAAAGACAGCCTCTACCTGAAACTGCGATACGAGAAACCAAAGTGAACCGTCAGGATTTGGGCCAGACATGAAATGGTCTAAATTTTCTTTGTAACTACATGTACCGACAGGAACCAGAACCGCCTCCCTCCCTTTCTACGTGCGTAACTACGTGAGCCCGTCTCTCCAAGTCATGACTTGACTTCCGAAGCTCCGAACTGAGCCCCCTCTTTCTCAGCAGCTATACACATTCCCCCTTAACACATGAATGAGTCAGAAACAAACCCTCAATACGAGATTCTGACACAAGCAAGCGAGCTTGTACTCCCCAAACAACAGGACGTGTATCTTTAGGTTTAAAAAAAGGATACCACACAGAGCGACACCTGCAGGGGCATAAGATGGCGTTCCTTACTTAGTCGTCGTGAGCAGAATAGACGGTAGATGCCGAAGCCCCAAATAACTTCCCTTCCCTTCCCAAGAGGCGCCCCCCGTATATGGATACGTCAACGGCTAAGGGAAGTAAGGGATAGGTGCGGCATCGTGTTCTCGTCTGCGGTTGCGCAGGAGTTGGTTTCTATTCCTGAATCCCTCCTCCTCTTCGTCACCGAGTCAGTTACTCTGGATTTCCAAACTTGAAGCAGCGGCGTCAGGACTCGGCTAATTAGTCTAGCCTTACGAGAAAAACCTACACAAATAACACAGGGAGGAAGGATACGTACGCGGGAAACGCGATGGCTGCTTTCCTGGGGGGGGGAGGGGGGGCGTGTAGTTTTTTCCCACCTTCATGACGCCGCACTCGCCACTCCTAGTAAGTTAACTGTGCCGCGGCCGTTGAGAATACGGCGGCGGCTCTTTGGCGTGGGGCTGCTCGAACGCCGCGTTTCAAAATACTACTTACTGGTCTGCCTTCGGCTCGCTAATCGCCACCCAGGACCAACAGTACCGACTTACTCTCCCTGTCGTCCGTGTATATCCATCCATATTTACACGCTTAGTATAGTTCACGAAGTGGATGTTGATCTGGTGAGATCAGGTGACATGTGGCGAGACGGGGAAATCGGGGGTTGGTTGGTTGGTTACATACGCCCAACTTTCGCGGGTGCATATTCATCGCCAATCCGTTTATTACTCCTGGTATGGACGAGGTACTGTGCTACACGTGGACTAGGTAGGAGAGGCAGGCAATCGAATGTAACAATAGATTTTCATGAAACAAGAAACAAGTTTCTGTAAATAGATACACCCAGCTCCAGTAGCTGCGGCTCTGAGCCGCTCGCCTGTGTTTTAGTTGCATGCGCGATGCGTGACGAGGCGACACTACTGTACACTATGGCTTGAAGGGTCGGGTGATACGCTCGCTACAGTACGCCACGCCCTACATGTACATGATTTAGGTAAATAGATGGTATTCTGTGAGTTAGAAATGCACAGTCGCGGCATGGGGGACCCAGTGCGCGCAGAGACTTTCCGTAGTTAGTTGTTCGGCTGTCCCTGACGTAACGGGTCTTCGTCGTTGTCGTCGCCGCCGCCGCCGCCGCCGACGGGGCCCCCCGGATGGGGGTGAACATGCGAGGGGAAGCGCATGATCTGGCATAGAGCGATAAGTTAAGCGGGGCCGAGTTATAGAGAGCTGCCAATTGATCGTTGATTTGAGATCCTGTGGCAAGGCGAGGCGAGAGAGGGATGTGCTGGTTGCTGTCACCTGCCCGACTGGGGAGGCGGCATTGTGCTCTCTCTCTCTCTCTCTCTGCCTGTCGGCATATTTTCCTACGCTACACCATGTCGCACAGCCTTGTTTCAGAGTTCGCCTCTGGGGTGGCTGCTGCTATTCTTGTTCACAGAGATCCGATCTACTGCTGTGCATCAGCGGGAGAAAATGGTAAGTCAAATGAATTGGATAAACAGCATCTGCCTAGATGTAGTAATGTAGGCGAGGGTAAGTACCTACACTCAGATTAGAATCATTCATCGTGGTCCCTGGATCGTAGGCCAAGCCGCAGATGTAGATCTATCTGATGGCATGGGGAGGGAAGGAATACAACTAGGTACTACATGTACGTCAAAAGCTGGAGAGATCCGAAAAAAGAAACCACCCGATTCCTGACCACACATACAATACAGTACGTATACTCGCTCGGTTAGGAGAGGCGGACTTGCTGTGACGTAGTAGCCAATGCGGTTCCTGTTTCGTTTCATACCATCTGCAGGCATTGGGCACAAGATTGCCCACCGAGAACCGAAACGAAACGATACATCCGCTGGCTGCCGGAGATGTAGCTGGAGCCTCAGCTGAAATCAACATGCTGTCTACCTGCCTAGTTTCCCCTCATATGCACAGAACGCCTCTTCGGTACATGCTTGGTCTCGCCTCTTCGGCTACGATGGGCTTTCTCGGGCTCTAGCCAAGTGCGCGCCTCCCGAAGCCGGAGACGCCTCTTCTCCCTCGAAATCTGCACACGCAAGGCAAAGCAAGGAGGGCGTCGTAGTAAAACAATTTCATAGACTAGCGAAAAAGTCCCCTGTTGATAGTCGTATCTGTCTACAATAGATAGTATTGGCGAGAGGCGTAGTGTAGTATCAATTCATTCAGCAAAGATCATCAAATCTCGGATGCCTCGGTACCTACATGGTCGGACTGTATTAAATAGGCTTTCACCACGGAGTGTTATCGTCGTTAACTAACTAATGACAACCGCGCGGGTGTTACTCGAAGGGGACGCGTAATATAACGGAAAGGCCTGGTTGGGCGTTATCGCGACTATTGAAACTGTAGCTTCAGCGGACAGCCCAACGCCAGGATGAACCGTCGGGCGGACGAGCTCGACAGATCGGGACATGGATTCCGCTGGCTTGCTTCGGAGAAGCGCAGCTATCTCGTTTTCCTCCCCGCCCTCCCTCTTGGTGTTACACACTCGAGGGGTGTGTGACTTTCTGAGGCGGGTATGACGGGAAGTCCTCCTGTTGCTATCCTCTTACCCCCATTCGTCCTGATAGAAGTACGCCAGTAGGTATCGTGCTTCACTACATACCCATAGGACTTCCCCTCGCCCCTAGCGAGTCTTCACAAGCTACCATGAAGTAGGTAGGTAGGTACATTTCACCCACACGACTCGAACGGCTGTTAGTAAGCTATGATGCAGCAGAAGCAGTACCAAGGGTACGCAGTCTGAGTATCTGCAGAGTAGACAAAAAGGCATCATACCTACATATCAACCTTGCAGCAGGACTAGGTCCTCAGATGATCAGGATATCTGGGCATGATGCTGGTCGATTGGCATTGGCATGGCTACTGTGGTAGGCTGGAAGGCAGATGTGCTTCCCAATGCTACCGCATATCCCACCATGTACTTCGTACACTTGCACATTTCCAGAGACGGACGAATCACGCGCAGCTGTACAGGTACTGGATCAAGCTTGAGGATCGCCATCCCTGCCGCCCACATGGCAAGGCGTGGGATGTGTGTGTCGGGATAAAAGAGAGAGCGAAAGGGAGAAAAAAAGGGGAGGAGTTGACGGGGCGTGAGGGGTGTGAGGGGAGAAAGGCAGAAAAAAAAAGAAATCCTACTCACTAGCTAGTCACCCTTGACCCGTGTAAGTAAGTAAGTAAGTGAGTGAGAAATGAAGTGTCTGAGGTAATAATTGTATACGCATTTGCCGGCTGGAGCACAATAAGCAAGGGGTGTTTTTCATCAAGATGACACTTGGCGACACAACAAATGGTATTTCATCTTTCACCGTTGCAATTAAAGGGTAAAAATATAACACGCTTTTCCATACCAAAACATACCAAAACATACCAAAAGGTTAGTCAGCTGCGGTGGGCCTTTTTTTTTTTTTTGGTGCCTCGAGGGTCTTGAGGTTACATCGTTATATAGTGAGTGGGTTTCATGCCTGCTGACGCATGACATTTCTTCTCCATCGGCCACTACCTAGGTACCCTATCACGATCATCATCATTATCATCATTATCAGGGGGTGAAAAGAGCGACGAAGTCTGAATGAATAGCTAGGTCATATATCCTACACTAACTAATACCCGGAGAAGAGACAAGGAGGGCCGTCTTTGAGGGTATGCCCTTCTCCAATGCACGCCAGATTGCATGGTTGCG